GCAGTGCGCTCCTGGATACTCGATGGCCTGGGTCCTAACATTGCAGACACCGTGCCGTGTGCGTCCCAGCCGTGCACCAGATAAAACGGAGTGTCCAGGCGAGTGGCACCGAACGCTGTATTCAGGGCAAACATCAGGCGCTCAGCATGGTCGTCCCAGTCACTCTGGTCCGCCTCAGCAATGTACGCTCGAATGCTGCGCACGACAGTCTGCACCGATCGCTCCTGTTGTCCGTTCGCCTGGGGGCGATACGCCAGAGTGGCTCGCTGCTTGCTACCCAAACGTTCACGGAAGCGCGTGAACACCTCACTCATGAACCTTGGGACTTGGTCGTGCCTCAGCATCGAGCTCGCGCCGAATCTCCTGAAGACCTGCTCTTCGTACACTTCAGCGACATCTTGCGCCGTGGTGGAACGCATGGGTTTACACATGACGAATCCTGAGAACGCGTCCTGATAAAGCAGCAGGAACGTGTTCCCACGGTCCGACTTAGGCAAGTGTGTCGCGAAATCCATAGACACAACTTCAAAAGGGCGCCTCGGTTCGATGTTCCCAGGGGAAGGCCCTGGATTCTTAGGGCGCCCCTTGCTGCTGGCGCAATCCACACACTCTTTGACGAAAACTTCCACATCAGCGTACATGCCGTGCCAGTAGAACTCAGAGCGCAGCTTCTCGTACGTCCTTGTGATCCCCTGGTGCCCACCCTGAAAATCTTCGTGAGCGTAATGCAGGATATCCGGTCGCAGAGCTTTCGGCACCACGAGTCTGAGTTCGTCAACCATGTCTCGGGGTCGATCTCTGGTAGACGGACTCAAGCGGTACAGGACTTCTCTGGAATCCAACACGAAATCATCAGCGATCTTCGCGAGTTTCCTGGCTTGAGCGTGCGACAGCTTCGTCGTGTCTCCTTTCAGGAAATCCTTGAGTTGCAGCAGGTGATCATCTTTGTACTGGTGCACTTTGATGCGTCGCCAGCTTTCCGCCTGGTACTCCAGAGGTCCCATGGGTTCGCTTTGGGCTTCGATCTCCTGAGTTCGCGCCCGAGTCATTACTGCAAACACTTTGGCCGCCACAGGCAACGGAGCGCACTCAGGTCCAGGGATACCCAGAGTTTCGACACCCTGAGAATCACTCCCCTGAATTCCAACGTTCAATAACACCTTCGGTCTTACCAACTTCTCGTGAATCTTGGACACCAACTGCAGATGTGTTCGTTCGTCAGCATCCTCCACCTTCCAGGATTCACCAAGCGCGAGGGTCTTAGACGTCAGGTAGTCTGCGGCCTGGTTAAACTCTCGCTTGACATGCACCAGCCGCACAGACTTGAACTTCGTCTTCAGCACTTCATACTCGGCCAGCTTCCTCTGGAGATTTGGCTGATTGCAGTTGATGAGACCCTGGGCTTGCTGGATGGCAATCCTGGAGTCCCCAACCACAACGATGTCCTGAATTCCACGCTCAATCGCCAGAGTGAGGCCCATCAGAAGTCCATGGTACTCAGCGTCATTCACAGTCACGTCCTCCAGGATGAATCCCTGGGCATCCAGGATTTCCCAACCAGGGACATGCCACAGAATGCAGCCACAGCTCCCTTGTCGCGTGGAAGTCTTAGCGGCGCCATCGAAACTCAGAATACACCCCTCATAGTCCGCTTCCAGCATTTCCATACTGATAGGCACTGGAGGTTTAACGCGCCCCTTGGCTGGGATCAGGTTTTCAGCGATCTCATCTAAGTGTTCTCTAGGGGTAATACCCGCACCTAGCCAAGCCGTCATCATCCCGTTGAACTCTGCGCATCTCCAGGTTCCAGTGGGACAACTTCAGACCCCACTTCACCGTTCGACCGTCTGCCGACTGCGAGGTCAGCAACCACTTCAACACAGAATATCGCGTGTAGACGACGATCTTAGGGCTGGCTTCAACCAAAGTGCGAAACACCTCCAGGACTCTCAGGATAGCAATCACCTCCTTTTCCGCAATGTGATACTGCAGCTCAGCGTCATTCAGGACGCGACCTGTGAATCGAACCGGGTGCACAATCCCGTCGTACTCCTGGCCCAACACAGCAGATGCTGCCCACGGGTTTGCGTGGGGAATAATCACGAAGGGCCTTAAGCGATCAGTATGTCTGAGCAACGGAGTCGAAACAATCTTGCGCTTCAGGATTTCAAAGGCTTCCTGGGCTCTCGACAGGTCTCTCCTGAATTTCACTTGTTCCTCAGTCAGATCGTACAGGACGGCCGCGATCACGGGTAGGTCTTCAATGAACTTGTTGTAGTAATTTAAACTCCCCATGAAACTCTGGACACCTTTCAGTGTCGTCGGGAACGGCAAGTCTTGAACCCCCTTCGCGATTTTAGGGGTCGCTCGGATACCCTCAGCACTAATCTCGTGAGAGAGATACGGAATATACAACTTCCCGAATTCGCTCTTGGGAAGACTCACAGAGATATTCCAGTAACGTAGTCGGAAGAGCAGCGCGTTCAGATCCTGACACAGCTGCTCCCAAGTAGGCGCACCGTGGGCGATATCGTCGATATACGAGATTCGACCGAGGACAGGGCCCATCTGAGAGGGAGCCGGGATGTTACGCTGAAAAACAGTCATCTCATCCGTCAACACTGAAAGCCGCAGGGCATTTTCACCTGAAACTCTGGGTTCCCCAGAGTTCAACCCCAAAACGTCCAAGACATCCTGGTCAACCTCAGCTTCTTCCTCAGGGGAAAGCCGCAGAAATCCCCACAGACGGTTATTGAGAACTGCCTGGTAGATCAGCGGGGCGTTCGTGAGGCCAAACGGCATCCTGACCCACTGGTAATGCCCATAGGGACAGACTAACACAGAGATCAACTTGGCTCTCTCGGCCATCTTGATAGCCCAGAAACCACTCGCCATGTCCAAGCTCATAAACCACATCGCTGACTCAAAGCCAATCAAAAGATCATCAATAAGCGGTAGCGGGTAGTGCGAGAGCTTGATGAAGCCATTCACCACGCGGTAGTCGATGCACATCCGGATGTCAACGACATTCTTCTTGAGGACGATCACGAATGGAGATGCCCAGGGGGACGTAGAAGTCTCGATCAGCCCGTTCTCCAGAAGCTTCTTCAGAAGTTCATACACCTTAGTCCACAGGTGTGGTGCAACGGAACTTGGACGCTGGGCAACAGGTTTAGCGTCGCCAACATCCAGGTCACAAACCACTCCACGGGCAGGTGGGGGAGCTGCATTGCCGTCGCCCAAGAAGATCTTCCGATGATATTCCAGAATTCGCCTCACTTGGTCTTCCATCTCGGGCGTCGTTTTCCCAGGGACTCCAACATCTGCCTCCTCGATCTTGCACTCAGGGGTCAAGTCACGCATATCAGGAAGCATAACCAACTGGTCACGCAACTGAGACAGCAACTCACTTCCTTCACGTATGTAGACCGCAGACTCGTAGTCGAGGTCCTCTGTCGAAAGCCGCATGCAGCGCTCATATTCCTGCTTCAGCTTCACCAACGGAGTTCCCGGCATCCCTGAGATCGGGATATCCCAGTAATCTTCAACAGCACCCTGAGAATCGTCGTCATCCACATCGAATCCCAGAGAATCACCTTCGTCGCACCACTGACCCTGAGAATCACTGCCAATTTCAACCTGTAAACTCAGGGTTTCAGCGGCCGTATCACCTTCAGGACTCATGCCCTCTGGGGTTCCGACAGTCTGTGAGGCAACATCGGTCACCGCCTCCTTCTGAACGTCACCCAAGTCACTCGTATCAACAGCAACGTCTCGGAGTTCAGGAGGGTCTTCAGGAGGCACTCCTTCAGTCTGAGTTGCAGCGTCTTCAGCGAAGCGCACGCGATGAGGCTTCGGTTTCCTGAGAACCGAGGCAAGCAGTGCCACGTCGGGGCCCTTTGCAGGTCGCGGCAGAATCTTCGTAGACCACTGATACTCTGGGGTCTCGACACAGGATGGCTCAAGCGTAGCCAGGCGTTCCGCCCGAAGTCTGCCCTCACGCGACTGAACACTCTCCAGAATAAGCGTCTGCCACTCCCGATACGCAAACGAACCAGGGCGCACAAAGCGTCCGGCACGTGGGAAGAAGCCGTACTCCACAATTCGGGCGACTGGCGTTCTGTTGTGAATCCAGACGTCCTTGTCCGAGATATTGACCACCTTCACGGCGACCGGCCAGGATCTCGCAGCGTAAATCCGGTGCGTTACCCAGCGGTCACCTCGTCCTGCCCACACAACCTCACGCTGTGGGTTCATCGGTCCATACGAGATCTTCACCACCTTGGATTCCCCAGGGGCCAGGTACCAACTACCTGTGGTTTCCACGGGCATGTCGACGTCCAGGCGATCCTCTGGAGTCCATCCACACATCATGATCGCCTCTTCATCCGGAAGTGTCACGAGACCTTCGCGAACACTGATCCTCACTCCAGCTGCAAACATGAAACTCATACCCAGAAGAACTTCGATCCCTTCGCCGATGTTAGCAATCCAGACATCCAGGAGATATATCACCCTCGAACCGAGAGTAATCTTCACCTGAGCACTGGCACCGATGTACGTCGGAACGCTTCCCATGCCAAACACCTTGGTTTGCTTGTGCGACTTGAGTGTGAGTCCGAGCTTACGCGCTAAGTCGAAGCTCACAATATTCACAGTCGCACCGGTATCCAGGAGAACTCTCGTCCGGCAGTCGTTCACAGCACCATGCACCATCGCCACATCACGTTTCTTTGGGTCAGGATCATTGTTTTCCCACCATCCGTAGCGCTCTCCAGGGTTCAGCTTGTACTCCACAATTTCTTCAGAGTTCACCGACCCAGAGTTCGCTTGTTCAGGATGCTGATTTTCAGGGGAAGTCATGAAATCCTGAGTCAAAGTAGTCATGCATTGTTGGTTATCTTGGGTTCTTGTTCTCAGCTCCGGGCCTACATACACTAGAACACATAACTCTGGGGCCTACTTCAGCCCGGCGCGTACTGGGTCCCCACCCAGCGGGCTTATTGGTTTGACGGCCTCCCAGAGTTTGCTTCGCCATCCAGGAGTTTATCCAGGATTTGGCTCGGCATGTCCTTCAGTGCACCTTGGCGGGCGAGTTTCTTCACAGCTTCCACTGTCTTCCAGTCTTCACACGGTTTCCCGAGATGCAGTTTGCCACAGTTCTCGCACGGTTGCGCGCGACACAAGTGAGTCGGATGACCCACTTCCAGGCAGCGATCACACTTCACGTCTTTCCAGCAGTTTTCCTCTGGGCGCCCCCACTTGCCGCACTTCTCGCAGAACTTGTCCTAATTCGGGTTTTCGCGGCGAGGGGAACGGAATCCAGAGTTCGCGTTCGGTCCTGGTTGGGCGTTCGGTGGACGCCATCCCATGTTATCCATCACGCGATAGACCTCGTTCGTCAGCGTCTGAGTCCACTCGTCACCCTTCATACTCGCCAGACTCCCAGCGCTAGGCGTAAAAGCTTCTTCTCCAGAGATCTCACGAGTTGACCCTGAATTCGCGCTCGCACTTCGGACTGAAACTCTGGGTTCGTCCGTGATTTCCTGGAAACGCGCGTGGATTTCAGGGTCTTCGTCTGACTCAGAGTCAGAGACATCGCCCCTAGTCACATACGCACGTCCTTGTCGCTTCGGTTTGAAACGTCCCTGAGGAATGTTGTCGGCACGAAAGTCACGAACTCTGGGTGGCGGAGCATCATGGTCGCTGCGGCTCCAGACATCTTCGTCCTGTTCCAGAGCGTACTCTAGATCAGCGATACTCCTGAATCTCTGGCCCTGCAGCGACGTCTTGAGGCGCGTGTCCCTGAGTTTCGTGATGAACCTCCGGATATGTTTCTCCGGGCGCTTCGAAGACTTGCGAAAGTCAATGTCAGCCTTCCCAGCGGCGGAATTCAGACGATAAAAGAAATCCAGGGCGCTCTCTGAGTTCTTCATCTCCATCGTGAAGTAACGTTCAGAGTACGACGAGTACTTCTTCCTGAATGCAGACGCCAACTCCTTCCAGTCACGCTGAGTGTCTTTGGGCAACTGGTTGAACCCGTCACGCGCAGCTCCCGAGAGTTTCAACTTGAGTTCCTGAATTCGCATCTTCGTAGACCAACCTCCCTGAGCCGCCATGTTCGCAAAACGCTCCCACCAATGCACGCGTTCCCTGAGTGACGCCTTAGTATCGAACTCACCCAGAGTATTCGAGTTGATGTACGGTCTGAACGTCAGGAGCGTAGTGCCAGCTTGAGCCGTAGAGGCCGTCGTCAGGTTAACCCCAGGGTTCCCGTCCAAACTGTCATCCGAACGAGAGGACGAGTCATCATCGCTGGAATCGGAGCTTGGGTCTGAGTCCGAGGGTGGATTGACATCCTGACGCTTCATCTTCTTCTGCTGGTGTTTCTTGGGTGCAGAGCGCTTGGAGTCTGTTTTAGAGTCCTGCGAGGCCTTAGAGGTCGCTGTTCTCCTGGGATCCGACGTCTTCCCCAGAGACACAGGCTCGAGCTTGACATCCTGCGTCACCTTGGTCTCCGTAGCGCCATGTCCCCGCTTGACGCGCGCGATTCTGCCGGAAGTGTCAGCGGAAGTCTGCGCGAGGGTCGCTCTTAGCTGGGAGGCGGCGACTTCGGAAGTGTTCTTCGGATCAGCTGTCTCCCGTCTCTGGCCTGTGACACTTGCGTTTCCGTTGATTACGCCACTGGATTCTTGGGGTCGGGTTGCAACTTCAGGGTTCTGAGCCACTGACGACCTCACATTTGTTGCCAAGTCAGGGGCGACGGTTGCACGACGCGCTTGAACTTGGGCCAATGTTGCGCGAAGGTCGCGCACTTGGCCGGCGTGGAAGCGCTGGATATTCTCGGAAGACTCCCGCTCTCACTCTTTCTCCGCCTCAAGTTCTTGGACCTTCTGCTCCATAGTTGACATTTGTTCCTTCCAACCGGCGTAGGTCTCGGAAACCCAGCGCGCGCGCTCCGAGTCGGCTTCGGCTTCGTGCTGTTGCCAGCGCTCGGCGTAGGCGGCATCCAGGCGCTCACGCTCAAAACGTACAGCTTCCGTGATACTCTGGGTCATCCTCTGAGTTTCAGTGGAACTCTGGGTCTGGCGAGCCTCCACGTCCTGCGCACGCCGTTCCGCTCCTCCTCGGGCGATCTCAGCGTGGACCAAGCGATCCGTAAGTTCCTGGATCTGGCGACGCGCGTCCAGGTCACGTTGTTCCCTGAGGCGCTCGCGCTCCAAGGCATCCAGGCGTTCTCTGGCGAGAAACTCGCGTTGCTCCTGTTCCATGCGGGCCTGCCACTCCTGCTGTTGTCGCAAGACGTTCATCTCGATTTGGGCGGGCCCAGACCTCGCGGACACGGACGAAACTGACCCAAGATTCCTGGATCCACTCGAGCGGATGACGGTCCGGGTGACCTGAAATCCAAGATCACCGGCAGCTGCAAAGCCACCGGCACGCTGGGCCACAAGCGCTAGAGCTCCAACTCGTTGTCCAAGCGACATCATCGACGAAGACGAAGAGCTACCATAAGCCGTTTGAACGCCCGAGGCAGTACTCTCATCCGAAGCGCGCGAGGTACGATGACGCTTGGCACCGCGCCTGGGGCAGCGTCCTCGGCTCCCGCCTCCAGAGAATCACGTCCATTGGACATGGAATTCAGGGGAGTGGAATTCTGAAGCTAGGCACCAGTCGAAGACTTGTACGCTGGAAGAGAGGACAGCGACGGTGTAGACAGCGCGGATGGCGTTGACGGGACTTGTGGTCGAGGCGGTCCATGCTGAGTACGCTTGGATCGTGGCTCACCATCACTCGACCCTCGTGGGCTCCGTGAAATCCTGAGTCCAGTGACTCTGAATCTCAGGACAGACTGTCGGCCCAGTAGATCCGCATCATAGTCCGTCATCAATAGATCACCGTCTCCATCTTCCTTGTGGTAGTCCAGTCTTGGTGCTTGCTCTTGGGCGCTTGGTGCGACGTGATCTTCAGAGTTTACCTTGAAAGGCACACCAGCTATCACCAATCTCCACTCGACCAGTTCCACGGCGATGAAATTCTGGGTTTCCTCCATGACAGAGCGCACCAGACTTTCTGGAATCCTGGAAGCACGCGTCGAAGACCAGCCAGGGATCAAATTGACAAACTCAAATCCGACTTCGAAGAACAGAGTCTGCAGAATGGCGACGCACTCGCGGGTGGTCATGATACTCTGGGGAATCGTAGTCGCCATGAGATCCTGAGCAGTTCCGACGCCCCACCGGGCGAGGTGAAACTCAGAGATCCAGGCTTCATCTTGATTCTCCAGAGACAAACGCCACTTGAGGTAGTCTCCCGTTGCGTACGCGGCCGCGAAGTACGAGTTGGCATCCGGTTTCGGAGTCGGCCACTCATAAACGACACTTGGCGGCGTCACCTTCCCAGGATTCACCTCTTCCCAGCGTCGAACTTCACGTCGAATGTACAGCACCATGCTCCCGGCGTCCAACGCCGCTGCTCCCGATTCCGGAGCAGGCGCAGCAGCTTCCCGGATGTCGCTTTCAGGCGTCTTCCTGGGTGCCGCTTGCGAACTTGGCGCTGAAACTCTGGGTTCAGGTGGTGCGAACCCAGAATTCACCTTGGAACTCTGAGTCTTCGCCTCCTCCTTCGCTCGCACGGGCTCCGACTTCACGCTCCGACTTCACTTCCACAACAGACTCGTCCGAAGATGAGATCAAGTCAATCACCTCCGGGGGCTCAACCGCATTGGCGCCTCCCTCAGACGCCTGAGCACCACCCTCGCGGGTGTGCTCCTCTGGGACTTCAGGAATCCGCGACCCAGAATTCACCTCCGTCGAACCTTGGAACCCAGGGGAAACTTCTTCCTCCTGAGTTTGCGATCCAGCAGCAGGCTGACCTTGGACTGCAGACGCCTCGACGTCCCCACCTCGCACTGCCTCGCTCTCGCGAGCAGCCTTCTTCGCCTTCCGAGCGTCGCGGACGACTGTTCCCAGGTCCTTGTGCTCCTGAGGCTCTATACCTTAAACACGACGCGACTGACGTGACGCCTCACCGCGTCCACTCTTCTTCGCCCCTCGTCCTCCAGGCATCTTGGTAGCTTGAGGTTGACGGGCACTCAACACTTCTTCAACACTTGATTCCGGTGAAATCCTCGACAATCGAATCCGGGCACGCGCACCAGCTGAGGCGAGGCCGATGAAACCTTTGTCGCCCAGGGGGGTTCGTATAGCGCAGCCCAAGACTGTTCCCCAGGGGTAGACCCAGAGAATCGACTTGAGAGTCAACACCAAGAAGATAGACCCAGAGATTCGCAGCCGCAAAGCTTTAAACCCTGAGAATCACACTCCTTGGTTGGCGTGGGTACCTTGTGTAATCCCTGTCGGCTCGTTTGTCTTCGACGGAACGGCACTCCACCGGTTGAAAATATAGCCTCGAAGCAGTGCGGGAGCGCACGTCTACTTCAGAACGCACCTCCACACCAAAAGGCAAACCCAGAGAATCAGATCCCCTGAAACCCAGAATATCACGAATTCAGGGTCCAGGATTTCAGTCAACTCTGGGACTTGGAACTCAGAAGACACCTTACCCAAATGCCCTCCTAGCTCGATAAAACCAACAAATACAGAGTATACAAACACTACAACTAGCCGTCACTTATTCTTTTGGACCCTTGGACGGTGGGTCACACACACACTAGGCTCACTCGAGTCTGAAATTCAGGGGCCTAGCTCCCCTGAGACTCACACAAACGCGCACCACCTCCAATAAAGGAGGAAAATACAATCACTATCAGTTACCTTCCCTTCACACAAGCAGTCAATACAAAATCCTGGAGGCGACTACCTAGCACCCCAGAATACCCTCTGGAATAATATGAAATGGGCTACCACGAGCACAGCAAGTGACCCAACTAGGATATGGAATAGATGGATCACCCCAGGAAGCTCAAGGCCGTCGCTGGTCACCACCTAACTGGACTTGAGTTTGATGGAGCCCACACTGACGGCTGTCCTTCGCTGTTGATGTGCCCTTAGCGTCCCGCGGTCGTAGTCTCGGGTCCTCCGGATTTCCGTCGGCAGGCTTGGCCGAAGTCACTTGCGCAGTACAGGGTAAAAGGAACTCTGTTTGGTTTTTATCAGCTACTTCTCTCTCTCTCTCTCTCTCTCTCTTCTTCGGGCAAATATCTTCTGTTCACTATGCTTGGGGTCAAAATGTCTTGTCTTGAGTATACCTTGGGATCAGCGGTCCAAACTTGCGATCGGCTTGCGAATCCATTGTCGCACGGCGTCGAAAGTGCCAATTGTGGGTCCTTAGACTTGGTTTAGTATGGTGCAGGACTCCCTCTCGACTCCTCGAAAGTATCCAGTCTGTGCATCCATGACGGTTCTTCAAGGTCACGCATCATTTGATTGCAGACTGGCTTCGAACTGACTCGAATCCCTGAAAACCAGGTGACACTCAGGGTCATCTTCTGAAATCCTGGGAATTCTGAGGAATCTTGGGGAACTGTGGGGATTCTTGGGTGTTGGCTCGGGAAACAGTTAAGTTCAGTATAGAGAGTCTGGATTTATGGTCCAAACCCAGAGAATCATCTTTGGAACTCTGGGTCACCTGCACTCAGGGAGGTGAACTCTGGGTCATCGTGCGGCACTCTAGGTTTCCGTGCGGCACTCTGGGTAACAAGTCTGCTGCAGTGCAGACTCGTGTGTATCTCCTCAAAACCACACTTTTAGTGGGTTTAGCGGCCTCCTGCGCATGATCATGGTAGTAGTGGGTTGATTCTCAGGGTAATTTGATCCTCTGGGGCACTCTGAGCCACAGCAAGATGAGGTGTACTCTGGGATACATTCTCCAGAGACACTTTCCGCCAGACTTTAGGCACTCATCGTAAGGGAAAGTCCGCGGCTGGACTGAGTGCTCTCTGAAATTCTGGGCGTGCACTCCCAGGATTCACACTTCCAGCCAGTTGGGCCCATCTGCGGTCAGACGCTGGATTCATCCCGAAAAATCACTTCTCTCCCACAGTCGCCATCCATGTCACACGGGTACAGCCACGCCGTATCCCAGTCATCCACCAATCAGCATCCGATACAAACTCCAGGTCACAGAGGTGACGGCACATCGTCGGCAATTTTCTGGGGACTGCCTCGTGTCACGAGCAATTTAAAACACATACGTAATGATAATCCGCTTGTACGATTTTGACGACGCGCTACTCCTATCCTTTATGGGCGTTCTAACTGCTCGCTCTACTGATCATTTATCAGGCAACGGCGGGATTGAGCGGCTGTCATACCGAAGCCTCGCAATCTAAATTTATTGTATCTACGGCCATGACAGTGTGCCCTGTAAGATATGGCGGCGTGACCTGCTCATCAGAAATCTTTTTATTGCATAATCGAAAGTTTGCACTATGATACATGCTATGCAGCATTCAGGGATAACTGTAAAGATGTCACTCCTTTAGATACATGTAGTGACCCAAGCGACCCCAGCGCCTCCGTCCGATACGTCTATTAGATAAAATATTCGAAACTTAGTATTTGTATGCTGGCCCAATATTCATCAACCGACAAATATATTTAGTAACCTCTACTTGATTGCCGTCATTGAGAACCAATCAGACTACTTCGACCACGAATTGCCGTTCGCCAGGCGTTTGGGCATGCTCCCTCTGTGCAAGGTGCAAGCGTGCCCGTACCAGCTTGGGCTACCGCACTGGAGCAAATATCAGTCGCTACATCAGTGGCTAAGATAGCCGCTCCACACGTCAAGCGAACGTCTGGATCAAACTCGGGCAGTGCCGCAAAACCCGAGCAATCAATGTTTCCGCACTCACTATGTAACGGGGTACAATCAAGTGTACCCATTACATGAAGAGTGACGGGTGTCACTCTCCCGAGTTCATGGTACATGGTACCAGTAGCTCCGCAAGCCAACCATTTGAGTTTGCGTGGGCTTTTTTATAGTTAACTTGTAGTTTGTATTACGACCAAGTTAACCTCTACCAAAATACAGTCAGTCTTATAACCTACTCCTTTGTAGCAAACCGTTCCCTTTGAGGCCGGGAACTGGTGAACTGCTGTTCACCTGGATAGTAATATCCGCACGCACTTCCTCTGTGCATTGTGCTGTGTGACCCCGTCACACTTGGTAGCATTTGTAGTCAATCCTACGCCTACGCGGGTAGATTGGTCTACCTGAATCCTCGGTGGCTCAGGTCTGTGAGCCACGATGGACCGAAGTGAGTTTCCTCACTTGATTGACTCGCAGTTCGAGTCGGTGTGGAAGATGGCGGGTATCTTCGGAAGAGATGCCCTCCGGAGCTTGGCGGCGGCGACGCCACCGAGCAGGTCGAGCGGGTGAGCGCGTTTGACGAGTACGAACGCGGGCTCATCGCTCATGTGCAGGGAAACCTGCTGGCTCAGATGAGTGGGTACAGCCTAAGCCTCTGCGGCTAGCTGTGCCTCCGTTCGAAGGGAAGGAAGGTGAGAAGCTTCACTTCTGGATCCGGGAGACCGAGATCGCAATAAGCGCAGGTCTCATCTCGGCCGAGAACCTTCGAGTCGCCTTCGCGCTCTCCAATCTTGGCGGATGTGCCAGGACTTGGGCGTATACGCGCGAAGCGATGTAACCTGGATGTTTCACATCCTGGGCTCAGCTGTGTGAGCATCTTCGAGCCGCTTTTCTCCCGGCGAACAACGGGTTCCGCCAGCGCTCGCGCTTCCTTGCCTGCAAACAAGGGGAGCGCGAGCTGTACGCGTACGTACAGGAGATGCGCACGTTGGCAACCTCGCTGGTGGGGAACCCACTGTTGGAAGACGTCAAGATGACAGTCTTCGTGGACGGCCTGAAGGTCGGTCCTGCGCGCACGCAGTTGTTCCGCGTGCGCACCGCCACTATGGAGGAGGCGATCCAAGTCGCCCTCCAGGAAGAGTACAGCCACAAGCAGGCTGGTGCTCTGGCTGTTGTACAGCCTGTGATCGCTGACAGCGAACCATAACCCATGGATCTGAGTTCGGTTGAGCAGTACTCAGCCCGCTGCTACGGCTGCGGCGGACTACGACACTATCAACGTGTCTGCCCATCGCCTGGGTCTGGGAAGAAGACCTACCCGAAGACCAGAGGGTCAAGGGGGCGCCGACGCCATGCACCGTCAGGTGCTCAAGGGGGACACAACCACCAGTAAGGACGAGGGCCTTGCTGGGGTTGCCCGAGTCTTTGTGATGGGTGTACGGGTGGCGTACACCACAGAGACCCGGGGTCCCTTGCGAGCACTGACGCTCGCATTGGTGAAGGACAACGGTGGGTTGTCGGTAGTACACGTGAGTGTACGGCGGTAATGGTATCCCTAGACATGATTGAGTCTGGGACGTTGCGCGGATGTTCGCACGTCGTCAGATGTGTCGGTTGGAACAACGACACAAGTGCCAAGACCCAGCGAGAGAGTCGAAGCACAAGGGCAGGTCTCATTGACTGAGGCTGGGCCGAAGAAGAACCTTGGGGTCCGCTGTGACCCTGGCTGTCGCGCGCGAGGGCGCTGACAGCAATGGAACCGCACATGGTCCCGGACATGGAACCGTACAAGGTCCCGGACATCGTGCCGAAGTCGGCCCTGGGCATGGAACCGTATATGACCTCGGCTTAAGCAAGTATGATTTGGCCCTGAGTGCGCCGTGCAAGCTGCACAGGTTCTCGGTCGAGTAGCGCGACAACGCCTTGACGCTAAGCCGACCCTCTGTGTCTGACAGATCATTGGTGAGTCATGTTTCCACCTCTGGACAGACACAAGGGCGTCCGACAAGACGACGAAGAAGAAGGGAGGCATCACTGACACTCCATGAAGAAGGTGCAGGGTATCTGCAACCGAGGGCTGTTATGCCTGGCATGTGGAGCTGCCTCAACAAGCAACTCCAGTGCTGAGAGTCATTGCTCGGCATGAGCATTGACAAGGGTGGTGTTCGATGACACCACCAGGTAGGTAACCAAGGACCACTGACTAGCGGGTAACTTAGCTCCGCACAGAGCATGTAATGCTGAGGAGGCCGCTCAAGGCACCTCCGGCGTGGGTAACCAAGTACCACGGACGGTCGCCCAGACCTTAACTGAAGAGGAACGCGCTGCACGCGCTTCCTGTGTGGGTAACCAAGTACCACACCCGGTCGCCCAGACCATAACTGAAGAGGAAGGTGCTGCAGGCACTTCCTGTGTGGGTAACCCAGTTCCACACCAGGTCACTCAGACCTAAACTGATGAGGAAGGTGCACGATGCACTTCCTGTGTGGGTAACATAGTTCCCCACGCGTCACTCAGACGGTAACGGATTGTGAAGCCGCATGATGCGCTTCCTGTGTGGGTAACGTAGTTCCACACGATGCCGTAAGGCTCCGCATGAGCCGGAAGGAGTCGCTCGAAGCGACTTCAGCGTGGGTAACTTAGTTCCACGCACGGTCAGTATGACCAAGACTAGTGATCAGGTCACTCGGGTCTCCTCGCGTGTGGTGGATGACCACACGGAGTTTAAGAGGCTCGTGACACCGTCACGATGTCATAGCCGCACGGTCCTCTTGAAGGCGCCGCGCGGCTTTGATTTTAAGCGGGGGAGGAGTGTGCGGAAGCACTTCCTTCCTTTAAGGGCTTGGCACCCGGTCATCATGGATGACGTTCGACTGGGTGGCGACCAGCGCAGCTGTGGCCATGCGCACAGAAGACGTGGCTTGGGTACACGACGTACCTGCGGCGATGCATGTTGCGTCGCCGCCGACTCGGCGAGCATGGTCGATCACGACTGGAACGTGTCTGCCGGAGGGCGACACCTCAATGACCACATGCAGGAGCATGCTCGGTCTGAAGGCAAAGGCCGCTGCACGGCAGGGATCGTTGGTACGGTCTGTCGCGCCTAGCACTGTGCGGCGTTGGGACAACAAGGGTCCATGACTCGGTGCCGAGATGGCTGAGTCTGAGTATGCGTGCATGCCATGCAGCTACTCTGAATGCAGGACAAGCCGTACGCTGTCATGGGTGTCATTGCCCGAAGACATGGGTAACAGAGTAACACGTCAAGTCACGCAGACTCAAACTGCATCCAGGCTGGTAGATGCCAAGCCCTGGTCGACGATGTTGACCCAGAGCCAAAGAAGGGTAGCTGCCCGTGCCACCGGAGTCTGCTGGCACGGTGACTCGGTACTGCAGGGCGGCGCGAGGTTAGGCGGCCGGCTGGCGCCTGACCCGCCGGGGCTCAAATCGTAAGTGGGGGAGGGGATCGGAAGTGCCCTTCCTCCCGAGGTCTTTGGCATGAGACTTGCTTCGTCGTAGAAGCCAGTGTAGTGGCTGCATGGTGTAGCCACTCACGAAGTATTGCACGAAGGTGCTGGACCTGATGCATCGCTGCTCAGGTCCCATGGTCATGGTGACCGATGGCCAGCAACCTTGGCAGCGGCTACTGTCGCTGCTGGGCCGAAGATGGCGCGCGCATTCGCTGCTGGAAGGCTGCCTCTGTCAGGCAAAGACATGGCAGCCAATCTGCGGCTTGGTCCGTGGACGATGGCATGTGTATATACGCAACACCATGCCGCAGCGTGATGCTGTTGCAACACTGGACGCAGTACGTCTACCGGCCAGGTAGCCATCAGCACCACGCCAAAGCTCCAGGCTGTTGCTACGCTGGGCGCGGCACGTCTGCCGGCCAGGTAGCTATCAGTCCCGAGCATGGGTGTTGCCCACGAGGGGAGAACCCGAACGTGTTGCCTTTGCAGACATTCACAGTGGGCGCGGCACATGCCGCACCTGTAAGGCGCGAAGCCATACGCGTGCACGTGGTACATACTACCTGTGAGATAGTCGCGGTGCGTGACGCTCACTGTGTGCGTGGCACTTGGTGTACGCGAGGTACCCCTAGTGCACGCGACACTACTTCTGCACGTGGCACTTGAGGTGCACGAGGCACTTATGGCAGTCGTGGTACGTGCCATACACGACGTGCCTTTGGTGTATGAGGTGGTGCCCTCGTACACCTTGAGGTCCTGTATGGACTGTGTGTCATGCGGTCTTGCACGCACACCGACCTGGTGTTGGTCGCCGCGACGCAGGATGCGATCGCCGGTGACGGAGGGCAATACTCCCCACACCACGATGAAGTACCCTTGCGGTACCCTGGTGTCGAAGGAAGACACCTTAGCGTCGGCGACGTGATGGCCGTGACGCGCTGCAGGGCTTTAGACAAGTCCACCGCGCTGCTCTGCATGATGAGCGGGTTGCTGGAAGCAGCCATGGTCGCTCAAGCAAACACGACGTTAAAGCATGACGCTTCATGGCTGTGGTCAGCGCTTGACCATAGCCCATGGGTCGAGCCGACGTATTCGACCGACCGGCACACCGTGCTGTGACGAGCGGGGCCCTGTCGGGCCGCTTTCATGGCCGGAGATGAGCAGCACAGCTCTCTCCATGGTTACGCTACGCGCTGACCGGAAAGGTGCTGTCCCTCGCGGGAGGCACTGCAGCACGAACGTGCCAGCGGGGCCCGAGGGCCATGCGACGCCAACTGCTGGTTGTCTACAAGGGACACCGCAAGTTTGGAGGCACATGCATCCCGTGCCGAGGCACTCTGCGCCTGCTAGCGCCGTGAATACGGCCACTAAACGCGTCGGCTTCGCGGCCAACATCGCCGAGGGCAGGGGGGTTCCGCGCGGGGGTGCCCGCTGCGGGCACAAGTCACTGTGGGCGTGACGATGAGGCGCGCCAGCCTTGCGGCGGCAGCGCCCGAGAATCCGACCTTTGGGTGTTCGGATTCTCTCGAAGCTGATTGGAGAATCAGATGTGATTCTCAGATAAGTGGGGGAGGATGTAACGGGGTACAATCAAGTGTACCCATTACATGAAGAGTGACGGGTGTCACTCTCCCGAGTTCATGGTACATGGTACCAGTAGCTCCGCAAGCCAACCATTTGAGTTTGCGTGGGCTTTTTTATAGTTAACTTGTAGTTTGTATTACGACCAAGTTAACCTCTACCAAAATACAGTCAGTCTTATAACCTACTCCTTTGTAGCAAACCGTTCCCTTTGAGGCCGGGAACTGGTGAACTGCTGTTCACCTGGATAGTAATATCCGCACGCACTTCCTCTGTGCATTGTGCTGTGTGACCCCGTCACACACTAGGCAAGCGTTCAATCATCAACTTTAAATCAATCTGCTTCGCTAGCCTATTTTGAGCGACTACAATGAGCGTTGGCTTGCGGCAGTGCATCTTGACAAGGGTTGAATGCCTGTTGCACATTGGAATTCGGTGTACATTGCGAACAATATCAGCCGCGCCAACCAGAACCCGCAGGTTTACATGTACGCCTATCTTTATTAACATGTTTTTATATAATCAAAGTGAAATTATATGATTTTCACATTGGATTTACTCTGTCTTGTGAATAATGGAAGAGTGCTTAGGAGATTGGATTTACTAGATTTTAATATGCCGCTCAATCGGCGGATTTTCAATCTAATAGGACTAATCCGGTTTCACAGTTGCAGTCCAGCGGTGTATTGATCCTACAGTATCTAGTTGCATTATTTTCCGGCTTCTATTTCTGTGCTTTATCGCCGGTCCAATTAACCAACTGCAAGCCATTTAGGTACATATCACACACTCGACAAGAGTATTGCTACTATTATACTTGTTCTTGGTGCACTAACTACCAGTGGCTAACGAGCATAGTCATGCCAGGGCTTCTTCTGCTATTCTTACTAAGGTAATATTGAGAGCAACAAATGTAACCCCACTCATCAAACTGTCATACGAATGCTCGACACAAGTGATTCATGCTCTTTCGTAACACGATACTTAGCCCCAGAATGCCTGTCATAAGACAAAGCGTCATACGTTTTCCGGTCAACGCGTTTTGACGACATCTTGGTTTTTGTATACCGGTGGCTACATTGCATTTTGTCTGTCAAAACATAAGACAGCTTGTCTGTCACTAGTTTGCGCCATACAATTGGCCAAAAGTGTTCAGGTCTACTCGCCACGACAGCGGCATCGTTGCCGCGGACGCGGTGGCAACGTTGAGCGCCGAAACGATGCAGTTGCATGGCGCGGTAGTGTAAGTAGCCTTTTGTTACAAAGCAATGTGCATGTAGTTAATAGTTGACCGCTGGCAGCAAGCTTAAAAGGATCGGCATACTGACTGCATGAACGCGTGCATGCAGTCCGTAGGGCTGTTCCACTAAGAAGTGCAGCCGTTGTAGAGCACGGAGTTACGACGACGTTGGCAGACGTAAACAAAGAGGGCCAATAAGCTCGTAACGGTACTACATTAAATGTAGTACTTTAAAGTAAGTTTTATGCATGAGCGTACATCATAGTAGTTGTGAAGGCGTGGCAGCCTGCCAGTGGGCTTACCGAGATCCTCCAACCCCCTCACACCTTATTATTACAGTCCAACAACAAAATGCAACCACGTACTCTGCAACGGCGATAATCTTAGTGCCACCTACGACACTGAGGCGCGGAGGAGCTCCACTGCTGCGCGGGCGCTCGACGCGCGCCATATCGATGCTGGGCTCGATCTTCTGCATCGGCGAGTTCGAGGGCGTACGTAACTCGGTTGCTCCTGCAACTGGACCACTGCCTGCAGCCAGTCGATGCTACAGCGTGGACTGGTTCGCGTATACGCGCTCTATCCGAATTTCCGTCTTCTATGTAGTGTTAGTACTTTACTGTAGAAAGGAGAGTTGGCGTGGTGGGGTGAACGACAACAGTAAAGCGAAGAAACATTGCCCCAAATGGGAACAAACTGTCGCGTGATAACTGTGCTATGATGTCCTACATTTCACTCCTGGCACTCATATTTAAATCTTCTAGCAGGAGGTTAGTGCATGACGTCAGGATCAAAAGCCCGGGCACTTCAAGTGCGCTGCCTCAAGTAAAGAGGGCAGAATGCGCACACAAATGAAACAGTTCAATTTATTAAAAGAGTTAACTAGCCGAGAAGCAGCAACACTCAGACTTCATATTACAATATTAACCAATGAAATTGCTACATTTGATTTGAACATCCACAAAAAAGAAACTGTTGTCGTCTGCTGATGGCGTTGTTTACCTAAATTTCCGCTCGGCTTGTCATTGCTCGAAATTTGGCTCGTTAGCATTTGACATAAATAAATCTCTTCCGTAGTTGAAAGTTGGCACAATCGTGCTATCTTCGATCGGATAAGTTGCACGTGCCACCGAAGCAAAATTTCGATGTGAACTTCTGCGGGGTTACAGATGCACGCACACTCCACACAAACAAAACGAGTATGCCAGCAAACCCTATATACATGTAAGACGAGTCCACAGTGCAGTAGGAGCATGAAATATGTCTTGTGGACATCAGCAACAATATTCATGATTAGCTCTGAATTTATTGATCGTTTGCCTGGCCCTTCTTGGTGATCGCTTGTACTCGCTGGCCCATAACACCCATGATCTGCAGCCTCATGTTTTCGCCGCCGCATATTACCGAATGCTGGTTCGGGTGAGCTGCCACAGCAGTCATGATGCTGCTCATAGGGATGCGGAATCGATCAAGCCGCTCTATCGCAGGCAATTCAGGACCTGGCGTGCTGTTTCTTACCCCATCGACTTCAACTTTTCCATCCTCACGTTTTGTTGCTGGCTGGGTCTTGATGCGTCGCAGCTGCTGTAAATCGATCACGTTCAAGCTCGTGGTGTCGTGGATCCCGGTACACATGATCGATTCATCGAACAAGAACGTGCCTCTGCAACGATGGCAGGAGAGCCATGAATTCCGTAACGAGCTAGGCAAGAAGTCCCGATGATACTGGTTCTCACTAGCCATCGACAGCACCGATGGCGAGGCTTCTGCCTTTGACTTCTCTCTCAGTTTTAGACCTGATCACACAGTAGCAAACAGCAATCGTTAGATAGTAATGCCTTGGTTGAAAATTTGTCTCTGCTTACATACCTCGGATGAACGTATGAAGCTTTATGACTGATCCAAGCAGGTAGTCGATGACCACGACCCAATCATTCCGCAACTGACACAGCACCTGCGTCTCTGCATTCGGTACCAAGCGCATCGAGGTGATGCCGGGTGAGCCGGATCGGTTCGAGAGAATTACCGCCTCAATCCCCGCAGATGATAAAAATGCTGCGTAAATCCCAAGGGCTTGTCAGTAAATCACAAACAAATAATATGCACGCGTTGGGTTGCTTACGCCTGATCGCTTCCATGATGCTGAATGCTGCTTTTCGCTGCGGCACGGGTTTCGAGCCAAATGCTGGGACAGACTTGTGCTGTATGTCGTACGTCTGCACGCCCATAGATACATTGCTCCGATTAGTACGCGTGTACATGTACGAACGAGTACTCATCATGCGTGGCTTACCATAACCACCCCAGCCTCGTTGCCGCAGATGATAAACTGTTTGTTCGGAGACAGCACCAGCGCGTTAATCGGTTGCGATCCTGTGGGAATGCTCCACACTGGCCGCAACGGGAACCGGGTATCCCACATGCGGATAGCCCCATCGATATCTCCAGCGATGACACTGCAACCTCCTGCGCGTGGCTTCGCTTTTGTCGCACCGATTTGGAGCGCGTTCGAAAGCTTCGACTCGGTCGCAGGAAGGTACAGCATGTCGTTGTACCCGCTGGACGGGTGGTTCGAGCTCTTCAGCACCTTGTGCGGTTTGCTAGGAAACTTGCGCAGATTGAAGACATGAATCTCGTTGCGGTTCGAAAACGACACCGAAATCTCGTCCTTCACAATCAAACCCACAACATCGACATCATCAACATTATAAACCCCACATTAACACCGACCCAATTTGTTTACCTCATTAACTGGATTCCAACGAATGCACTTGACTTCAAATGGAGTGAAAATTGTATGAATCTACACCACACCACACAGCAAACGTTAGCTCATTCACACAGAAACTCGGGCAACAACTATAACACAAAGGTCAAGCCTACCGGGTGCAAGATCTCGTCCGCCACCTTCTCCTCCTGTTGCACCTCCACGTCTCCACCTTCAACAGCATCCTGATCCTTTCCGTCCTCCCCACCCTCCATCTGCTGCTCACCACAAAAACAGCCACAAAACCCCGTCAGTTCATCCATCCACTCCCCGAATTTTTCCTTGATCCTGCTCTACCTGTCCGAGGTTCAAGCTGCGGTGGAACACGTCGTCAAAGTCGTAGAGCGCGACGATGCCGTTGGACGCCCCCGCGGCCAGGAGGACCCCCTGCGCATCGAACTCGAGGCAGCTGGCGTAGAACGTCTCGGTGCTCATGGCGCCGGCCTGGCGCTCCCAATGGGGCGGCAGCTGCAGCTCCACCGGGAGCCGCTGGAAGTGCGTGAGCGCCCAGCGCACCAGCTGCTGCTTGCGGCGGCGTCTCGGACCCCGCAGGCCCCCGACGAGCTGCCGCGTGGACGCGCAGCCCACGAGCTCCCGGCGCTGCAGAATGCCCGTCAGGTCTTCGCGCGCGTCTCGACGGGCGGCGGCGCTGCGTCCGGCTTGCGTCTGCTGCTGCTCTGGGTCCTGCTCTCCGGTCGGCTCTGTGGTCGTGGTGTCGGTGGTGGCGGCGTCATGGTCGCTGTCGCTGTCCACGGACTCGATGCTGATGCGCCGCACCTGCTTGCGCGGGAAGAAGGCCGTGATCGGCTGCGTCCCGAGGCGCTTCATGGTCGGGCTGGGCGGTTGCTGTGGTGCTGGGGAGCTCTTGAACGCGTTGATTATAGTTGCCGCCAAAATGGATCGGATTTAAGAGGGAGTTGAAGTGCCATTGGATGCTTGTCAACAAGGAAAGGTGATGGAATGGATCACCGAGAGACTACGGGAGTGAGTGGTGAAGCCATCAGACTGGAGTGAAGCTGACTCTGCATTGCTTGGTGCCATGCTTCGGGACGGCAAAGACACTTTCGAATTCGCCTTTTGGTTGGAGCAACGCGGCCTATTGCTACTCTCTTTGATGACGCTGGAACGACTGCGGACCGCGTTTTCCTTCCGGCGCCACGACGCTTCTACCAAGCAACAATCGCGTCGTGCTGGTACAGCTTTGCCTGCGACTCGGCTATCGGCGCGCGATCCCGACTCCTGGAGCTCCACACATGAAGATTTCACGTGCCTGCGCTTCTTCGTTTGGACTGGTGGAGACCCGGGCTTCACCTTGACGACGAATAACGACGACAGGAAGCACGCACTGGCATGTGACGAAGACGCAGAGCTGAAGGTGGATCGCGTCACGGCGCAGAAGGTCTGGGAGGCGGGGGTTCGACCTGGGGATGTTCTGGAGACCGTCGCGAGCAAGCGCGTCCATACGATGGACACGGAGGCGGCGATCGTGCTGGTTCAGATGTCCAAGAGCCCCTCGATCATCCGCTTCCGCTCGCCGACGACAGGTAAACGCGTGCGCTTTGACGTTTTACTCGGCCAACGGAAGCTGGGGCTGTTTTTCACACCCGATGGCGGTAACGCTGTCCCCGTTGTAACGCGGCTCCCAACTCGCCGTGGCTCGGAGGACCATTCTTCTCTCGGCGTGCAGCTCGGAGACGTTCTAGTGGCGGTCAACGAGATGGACACGATCGCCGCTGGGTTTGGGCCGACTATGGAGTTCGTCGAATCATGTCCTCGACCATTGCGGCTGACGTTCGAGCGTGCTGCAAATAACGATGCGGATGATCAGTGGTTTGGTAGCCAGGCTGCAAGCGAGCAATCCAGAGAGCAGCGAAGAGGTTCGTTCTCACTACGCAACGCCATTCCCAGTCTGACGGCTACCGGTATGACAACTCGAGCGCTTGCCAGCCTTCGATGTAAGGAATTCGTGCGTTCACTGCTTCCCTCGGGTGGCCATTTGGCTCAATCTCGGCTTCGCCTGGAGGCTGGACCTGGTGGCCGGTCTGCTCAGCCGCCAACTCATGTTGACACACACGGTGGCGTTCTGATTGAGTGGAAAAGCGGTCCGCTGGGGTTGACTCTGCTGGAGGACCCCATTTCAGGCGCATCTCTTGTGAACCGATTGACTGGCAAAGGGTCCTCCGCCAACATGGAGCGTTTGCAGCATGGCTTTCAGCTCTACTCAATTAATGGAGTACGAACTGAAGGTCGCGCTCTCGATGACTTGTGCCGTGATCTCCAGACGTTACCAAAGCCCATACAACTCGTATTCCGTCCACCCCATTTCGACGACTCAAGCGATGACGAGAGTCGTAGTTCGAAGTCCCCACCTCCGTCACCGCCTCCAAGCACTCAAGCCCCTAGCGAAACCGAGCTAGATCCAGATAATCATCGGACGCTGGTTAGGCGAGCATCGCGTGTGGAGCATTGTTACCCCCACCGATCGTCCCTCGTCCGTGAACACCACGAGTATGAAACGATTTGGACCACGAATCAGCTTGGACTGCAGCTGGAAATATCACACGCGAACAAAACCTCTCCAACACCCAAGCGGGGCCAATACCCGATCGTCCACAAGGTCCTGAAGGAATCCACTCTCGATCTACCGAGTGACGCGGTTGGGCACCTGTTCGTAGCCATCAATAACTGGACCACTTCAGGCTTGACGTCAACTGAGCTTCGCACTCTTCTCCGTGTTGCAGAGAAACCGGCAGTACTTCGCTTCCGTCGACGTGAGGGCCCACCGGGTTTCCAGCGGACATTATTGTCGGGGTCTTCATACGACGCGGAGGATGGAGCACTGAACGGCAGACACTCCACGTTCGGATCAGCGTACAGCATTCTTTGGAGTGAAGGTGAGCTTGGAATCACCTTTGGGTGCTACGAAGACGCCGATCGTCAAAACGCTCTGATCGTCTACGTGAAACGCATTGGTTCTGGTCAGGCTTTGAGCTCTGGACTCGTGTCCGTCGGCGATCTTCTTCTCAGCATCAATGGCCAAGAACTACCGCCGAAGCAGAAGTTCAAGAAGACTATGCGCAAGTTGGTCGATACCCGTCAGCCGGTCACGCTGGGATTCCGCAGGCTTCTGGTTGAACGTGAACGCTGTTCAGACTGGAGTCGACACGAACACTCTTGACAAGACAGGGCCGGCCCCGCGTAGCATTAAATCGCGTTTATATTGCTTTATACTATTCATTGGACGCTTTCTTCTTGGCCACTCGCGTTACATCTCGATGATTTCCCTCCTGTCGCGAGATTGCTTCTATACAACATTACGTTTTGGTATGCAACATGCACACGCCCGGAGCTGCGTCCCTTGGTGTGACGCAAGCCTGCAACCCTCGCCACGGACTCCATCCATCGCGAACACTTGGTGAGCGCATTACCACTTGGGAGTAATCCGGTCCTTGGCGTTCCAGTGGAAGAGGATCACGTCTTCCTTGAGCTTCACCAGGTCGTTGTTGCAGCGTGCCAGCGTATGCACCGCAGGGCTGTTACCCTTCAATTCTCCTTGCAAGAGCCGCTGGGTCTCCATAATCTCTCCTTGCGAGATGGCTGGAATGTCACTCACGGGTACGAACACCACCTCAGTGGTTGCGTTTTCACGGCCCTCCTGGTAGAATCCCAGCAAGTTCATATTCATATCAAATGCTGGGAAGCCAATGGCGTTGCTCGAGTTCAGCGTCACCATGCGCGCAACGACGTAAAACACTTGCATCTCAATGGCATCAGCAATCTGGCTACCACCGGCGCTTCCATTTCCACTGGCAGCGAGGTTCTGGTAGAACATTGGGTCATTTGAATCTTGGTCATCCAGCGAGCGCATGAACTCCGTGAGACCACCCGAGTTATTCCGGAAGAGACCAGGAGGACCCTCCATTCCTGCGAGCCCAGACGTCGCGGTCGCCATTGCGGAAGAGCTGTTGGTCATCGAGAATTGGTTGGACGTAGCAGTAGATCCCATACTGGAGTTCATCATCATGGCCGAGCTCATCGCATCATCCGTTAGCGGGTTCACGCCCATCATGCCGGCATTCTGTGGGCTCACGAGTGATGGCGTTCCGGCGTTCTGGTTCTGCATCTGGCCCATCGGCTTTGCTGCTGCCTTTTGCGCGGCAGCCTGCGCACTGGCGATCATCGCTGGGAACCGCTCGATACCCTTGAGCACGAAGTCGAGGTGCCCCATGGTGTCCGTCGCATACGTCAGCAGGAGATTGGCGATCAGGCATTTCGTATCGTGCTGCGCCGTTTCGTACGTCATGACGTCCTTGTAGCGCCAGCATGCTGGGCAGCGGTAGATCGGTCGCTCCGGGTCGGCCGTGCCGTCGCTCTTGCTTTCGTAGCCTACGGTCTGCCACTCCAGCTGGTGGAGTCCGTTAACGACGCCGCCAGTCCACGTTAGAATGCTCTCCATGGCACCCGTAAGAGAGTTGCCGGACTGTGGGCTGCCTCCCACGCGAGGAGTTCCTGGCGACGCGCTTCCTCCTCCAGTGCGCATCCTCTTGCGTCGGTCGTCCGCTGTAAAGGCGGCCGTGCCGAAAGCGCCAGCTAGCATCATCTCGTGCTCGGCGTTCGAGGCAGGCGACGACGTGGTTGACATGGGCGTGGACGCGCCAGCGATAATGTGGTGTGTGATCTGCGCGGGGGCGTTCTTGCCTGGCCGACGCTTGTTGCGCTTGGAGCGCACCGAGATGGAGGAGCTCAGGTCGTAGGCCACGTCGAAGTTGAGCGGCGACTGCGCCGTGTCGGCCTCCACCTTGAGCCGGAAGGCCTGGCCCTGGTGGTTCTTGGACACGTCCTCGATGCGCAGCTTGAGCACGGCCTTGCCCGTCGAGTCGATGGTGCGCTGGCAGTCGGGCGACATTTTGAGGATGTCCTGCTTGAGCACTGGGTGCTCGTTCTCGTAGAGCAGCGTGACTCGGAGCGGCACGGGGCGGTTGCCCACGCGCTCGTTCTTGGCGTTGACGAGGAAGATGGGCAGAGTCATGCACTTGTCGCGGCCGCCTTCGTCCTTGTACCAGAGCTCGGGCAGCTTCTCCTGGATGAGCAGGCGGTGCTGGATGACCGTCATCTCGGACGTGACGGCGGGCGAGACGTTGAGGTTCATCGTGTCCTTGGTGGCGGCGGCCGAGATGTGGATCACGAACTTGCGGTTGCCCAGCGCCATGGAGCACTCGCTGATGCTCACGCGCAGCTTGCAGATGCCGTCGCCGTTCATGACGGGCTTGGTGCTGGGGTCGATGTGCAGGATGTCCTTCTCCACAGGCATCATCTTCTCGGCCGCGTAGAGCTCCACGTTGAGCGGCACCGTGATGCCCGACTTGAGGTGGTCGGCCGGGTCCACGAGGTACACGGTGAGCTCGAACGGGTCGTCCCGGTACGGGAACTTGGGCGGGCTGGGCTGGATCTTGAGCCGCAGCCGCTCGTTGAAGGCGTCGGCGTCGGGGTCCGAGGCGCTGCTGGTCGCGGCCGTGCCCAGCGCGGCGGGCGGCGTGTACGTCTCGGTCATCAGCATGGAGGGCGGAGCGTCGTCAATGCGGCGGTGGAGCGGAGCGGAGGGAGATTGAGGTGTCAGCGATACAGCGCGAGGGGCGTACGGGCGGGCGGACTAATAACAAGGGCGGATCTTATTCACGCGCGCGGCCCGGTTTCCGCTTGCTTTCGTCGCGGCTTCTGCGCAGCGTTTTCGCTTGTGCGCGGCAGGCCAGGAAGGGTGCTGGCGGGGCGTCTGCCGCGGATGCCGCAGCGGGGGCTATGCCGGATGGCAGGGCGCGGATTGGATGGGCGGCCGACGAGAATTAATGTGCCGAAATTATGGGATGTGCATACAGGGTCCAAATGAGAATTGAGTCGCGCGTAGTTGTGCGCCGGATTAGAGAGGAGACCAACGCGAGTTACGCAAGTGCTGATGAAGAGCCCATTGTGACTGTTCGATGCGGCTGCCGTCAAAAAGGACGAACGGAATCGACTTGAATTCACTATACTCTTGAAAGTGGGACGTGCGGCAGCCGCGTCAAAATTTCCCCAACTCAGCCCGCTGCGCGCTTTATGAAAATGGCAGTCGCGCGGAAAATGCCAGGCGAGCGCACAGGAGGCTCGGCCGAACGTTCCCAAATGCTGACGAAATGCTATGCTGCAGCAGTCAAGGTTTGCTGCACAAGTATAATAGGTCTGCTGGCAACTCGGCGCGTCAAGTGCCGGTACTGCTGCATGTAGCATCATCCCAAGCTCGCTGGCAAAACGCCCACCCTCGCGCTCACCACGGACATTGGTTGACCGTCGGCGGGCGGTTGCTGACCCTGAATGGGTGGCTGCAGCGACGGCGGCGGCGGTGGATTCAACGCTCATCTTTTTCGCCTCTTGCGCAGCTGATTGGCAACGCGTGCTTCCCTCGGCTCCCCAATCGAAGCCGTCGCCCCGGAGGTCGAGGCGGCGATAGCCTAAATCAGGCCTCTGCGGCGGCAGCGGCGGCGGCAGCGGCGGTGGCGGCAAGTGCAGCAGCAGGCATCAACTTGATCAAGGGAACTTCGAGCCAACGGCGCTGGCAGGACGAGCTAGTCAGCGCAGCCGTTTTCTCGGTAGCCGGTCGTGCGTGCCATTATCGAAAGCCCAAAGGTCGCACGGTCCGCACCGCGCCTGTGATGGCGCGCCATAGGGATGGCGAGAATGCTGTGCGTGTGTACCGATCATCCGTGCTATTTAGTCTGGGTCGCGGAGGCAGTGCTCGGCTCGAGCTACGATGTGGGCGCGTTGCTGGTGCCGTCGACAGCCACCGAGCTTTGGTGAGACCGCTTCAACGTTGCGTGTGACTCACGTGCGTGAGTAACAGCCGGAACCACCATAGCACATACAGTCACACCTCTATAAATGACACCCAGTTCGCTCGGTCTAATACGCTGTTTCAGTTAAAGAATTGTTCAGATAAAGAAATGACTACACTTCTAATGGCTACATGTTCATACGTTAGGTGCACAAGGGCTTTCTTTACCTGGTACCCCTCTAGCATTTTCGTACTCTTGTTTTGTTTCGTCTTCACACAAACAGAACTCAACCAATAACGGTAGGCGCGGTATTGTCTGTTCCTACTCCTTCTTCTCATTGGTATTAGCAGAATCGCATCCCCTCAGGTTGTACTTGAGTTTCAATACAGTGAGGTTATAGGAATATTTGTTGTCCCGATATCCTGCCACCATGCCTGCAGTTTTATCTTTTGCTTGGTATCTACTGCATAGCCCCAGTTGTCTCGACATCATAATATTTTAATTTTTCGTAATATATATATGTAGGCTGCGCTGATTGTAAAATACTGTGGCTAGCTTATTTATCACAAGCTTGCAGTTACTGCAAACTCTTTGTTCCAACTTAGCATCCCAAATACAATATCTCTCTTCGCTCGATTTCTTGTGGCGGGAGTAGTGGTAGCAATGGCATACGTGGGAGGAGGCAGGCAAGTGATTGAGAAAAAAATATATGCGTTTGGATCTATTACTACGGCGTCCATTTAGAGGGTTGAGGCGCCAACAATGACGACCATTTAGAGAATAAAGCGGTTTTTGATCAGTTATAGAACACCTATAGTGAAATCCATATAATCCCGTTTGCAGTCGAGGAATCCTAACCAGATAGGGAACACATGGTCAGTTAGAGGGTTCATTTAGGGAGGTGTCACTGTACAGTACTTGATGCCAGGAACGAGGTCGTGTTGAACCAGTGGGTGTATCAATCAATCCAGTCGAAGCAGGCATACTGGCTGCTATTCGCCGATGAGCGGCGGCAACGGCGTCGACACTGTATGGATGGCTAGCGCTGACAATGAGACCTCGTTTGATATGGGTGTGCGCAGCTCTCCAAGTTGCTTGCCGTGGCGACTGGAGTCGCTTGCCCAATACAAAGGTGGATCAGAAGATCGGGCGCTGGTGGAGGCCAGAGGTTGCTCGAAAGCTCGTGGCGAAGCAAACCCGTTAGGATAGCAAAGACGTTGCGGTATTTTTTGCTACATAGTGACAGCTCCTCACTGTGTTCCATTTTTCGAATGCACTACTACGGTACCCTCGGAAAGGGCTCGATATATATATATTTATATAACAAGCCTACAGCATTTCAGTGGTCACATGGGCCTCTGTTACAGGTTTGACCCCACCATACAAAATTTAGTATAAAGTGGGAATGAAAGGGATACGCTCACTACAGGGATGCGATAAGAGCCGATAAGGCCGCCAGAGATTATATTTGATACAAGTAAAGTATTTTAACATGCGTCATGTACACCGAAAAATGCTGATTTGTGAGGGCCACTCCAAAATAAAAATGGGAGTGGATACGCATACAGTCTTGGAAAAAGGTGATGAGAGGGTGATTGGGTCATACAGTCTCCGACCCTGGCGACTGTATGAATAGTGCACAGTCTCGGCGTTTCTATGCAAGTTGAAGCACTTTCTCTGGCGGAGACTGTATGCGTATCCCCTGCCAAATAAAAATATGCGCTACAGATGGTAAGGATATACAGCAAAGGTTTCAAGCGAAAGTAATGGCTGGTACATTTTCTTGAACCCGGTACGACTCCGGTGCCGCACTGAGGGCAGATCGAACCGGTGCGCTACCGACAACACTGGTATTAACCAGTAGATGTATTGAGCTGGGTACGTATGAACGAAATGAAGTAAATATTATTGTGCCTTGCAGTTATTTTGCCCTTCAGTTTTACCTCGGATATCGTTGTGGTCGGAAATGATAAATCCGACGTTGATAGGGTTAGGTTTAAATATATCCGCCAACCCACTGTTTTGCCACCCCCGAGTTTTTTTAAATCGGATCTCTGAGTCCGTGCTTCCCAGCCATCCAGCCACCTCGAAGCGCCGACCTCATCACGAACCCCCTGTACCAGCCGCGCCGCTGCGACTGCGCCAGCTCCTAGCACAAGTCGTGCGCCCGCAGCAGGGCCGATCCCCAGCCACCCTGCTTAGGTAAGGTATAATCTGCTTCTTACGTAAACTACCAAGGTGCTGACTTGCGCTACAAGCATGCTGCAATGTAACGCTACTGTGCCACCAGGAGCTTCTCTCCGACCCGCGCTGGTGGTGTTCAAGGACCTGCAGCCCGAGAACGTGCACGTGATGCCCGAGAGCGCTGCCTGCGCGCGAGCTTCTTCCCGGTGACATGGAGGAGGTCCGCATGGAGGACTAGGTCTGTGGAGACCTGTGCCTGCTGTCCGTGAAGACGACGGCCACCCACTGCAGGTGAAGGGCGAGCCCACGTGGGTCAACAAGGACGTCGACGTGGCACGGAGAACTTCATTTAGGGCTAGACCAACATGAGGTTAGATGCCACGGTCGTGGTCAACGGCCTGGGCCACGGCGTGGTCACGGGGATCGGCAAGATTCAGCAGTCGGTGCAGGACGCGTCCAAGGGCGAGGAGAACACGCTGATAACGGGCGACGTCGAGGAGCTGTTATCCAAGGCCATCGTCAGCAGCGCCGTCTGGACCATTACAAGAACGTATTCGACCCCATCTACGGCTCGGTGCTGAAGCGAAGTAAAGTAGCGTTCTTAGGGCCTGTTTCATTTGAGAATAACTGGAATAAGAATAGCGGGAGTTATTCCTCCCGCTTAATTACGACAAAATACGATAATCTTATTGGCTAAGAAGTTATTCCCAGGAATAAGTTATTCTGACTTTGAAAGTCAGGATAGCAATTCTGAGCCGAATAGCTACATGGCCGGGGCTTCCTCACCTCTCCGTCGAGGACCGCCAGACTCCGCAGGCCAGCCGATGCTGACGCTGCTGGGAGTGTGGAGAGACTTCGTGGCGAGGTGAGGAAGCTCCGGCCTATACAGGGGTTGGTTGCGACTGGGTAGAGCAGCTTTAGTGCTCCTCTAGAGCCCGCTCGAGGCCTCACCACGGCGCGCTTGGTGACGAGCAGCGAGCAGTGCTCGAAGCAGTGTTCGCGAGAGCGGACTTTTGTGAATGTCGCGCCAGCCAATGATTTGCTTCCTTCCATAACGCATATTCTTTTTCCCAGTTATTGTGGGGCTTTATTCTCCACCTGTTTCGTTTGAATAGCGTATAATTGTTATTCCGGCTCGGCGCTATTCCCGACTTATTCTCAAATGAAACAGGCCCTTAGAGCAAAATGGTGTGGTATTTGCCCATGTAAAGCCTACTTAAGTAAGTTTCTTCTGCATACGTCACTCCTGTTCGCCTAAGCCTGTCATTGTTTTCTCTTGCTCGTCGTGAACGACGCTATCTCTCGTGTACCAGCGCCTGAGCGACGCGGATCCGCTCATGCGTAGCTGCCGAAACAAGACCTGGAGCTTGCCCCACCGGTCCGACAATTGTCCTGGTGTATAGTAGCGCCGAAGTCGACACGGAGTCGGCAAGGAGGGCGACATCCGATATAACGCGACGGCCGCCAGGGCAGCAACCGATATAGCTGGAGGGTAGTCATTTTGGCCGATTTAAAACGGCAATTCAGACCTGTATGGTCAACTCGACCGAGGTTTAACCAGCTAAATCCCACCTCCAGCTGGGGTCCCTCGTCTTTATTTCTGAGCTGAAAATTATATCTGACCCGATATATCCGACTTCTGAGCATCGGAATTGCCAAAAATTTTGCAAGGCACAATAAAGGTAAGCTTGTATTTCCTACAAGCCCCAAACAGATCTCAATCAAGATTCGCATTTTTATTTTGGAAAACATTGCCGGTAGACAGTTTGAAGTGGCAAATTTCCGGGCAGATGCTGCGGCTGCGAAGCAGGCGCAGGAGATGACCGTAGCTAATAAGAAAAAATATAATGCAAAAATTAAAAGAAGGGGTTTATACCAAAATTCTCCTATCCCAGCCTTCGCGGAACCCTAGTCTATGCCCTACATGTTGGTAAAGTCTGCAATGCATTCCATTGTTCAGCGGATTTTGTATTTACTCAAAAGTCAACTCATGTCCCACTTGAGTAGTGTACAGATAACGACGGAAAAATGCGCCCCACCAAAATGTTTGACTTCTGATTCGATACGAATAGACATATATTTATAGCCAATGAGGTTCAACCTACCGTAAAACACGGATCCAACGCTACACTCGTAAAAAGTAGATAATAAATATAAAAATAAGGACAGTACACTATTGTTTACACTGGTTAAAATTTTCGGGGCTTTTCCTTGCCAGTGATCCTGGTAGGTGCCAAAGCCGACATCCTTCCCCTTTTGCCTTTCAGTTTTCCCCCTCTCACGGAATGCCAAGCCGCCCAAAGAAAAAAAAACAAGCACAAGCTGTGTGCCCTCGCCATGGCGGCGGGGACTATTACAGCGACTGCTGCAGCTGCCGGTGTGCACCGCACCACTATCTACCGCTGGCAGAAGGACGATGCAGCCCTTAGGTCGCCAAACCCAACAAGTACCACGTAAACCCCGACAACAACCGCTCGATGTACATCAGAAAGCCAGAGTTGGAAGAAATGTATTCATTATTAGCTTAACGTGAAGAATTTTTAGTAACAAACGCTCGCTCTGCGGAGTACCTCCTTATCATGCATGCTAGGTATAATGCATCCCTCTTCTCATCAAGATCAAGGGCTGCAAACGTTTAGTTCCTGCGGCGCCTGCTTAAGCGAAACCGACTTACTATCCGACGTATCACGCATAAAGGACGCAAAAAGAGGTCCAACATGGAGGTGAGTCTACAATTATTACTGGTTTTACATATATATTCTAAAATTCAGATTTGTTTTGTATTTTATAGCGCGTCGCCGGCGTATTTTCCAACTCAATACAGCATGTGATTGAGGAGTCCGGGTCGTTGTCGTTTATTAAGGGGGCCCTGAAGTACGAGTCCGTCTTCAACATGGACCAAACCGCGATTTTTATCGACATGAACGGTAAAACGACGATTGACTTTGTAGGGACTCCTATAGTCGACATCGTTCAAGGTGAGATTATTTGTTTTGGTTTGACGAAAAAAATTCTAACCTTTATCTTTTTTAACAGGCAGCGATGTAAATGGCTTCAGAGCCTCCGTTTCCCTGGTCGCATCCGCCACTGGAGTAAAGCTGCCGCCACTTATCGTCTTTGCCGGTATCCCTGGTGGGCCGGTCTCGCAATCGGCATGGAGCCCATACTTTGGGTCACCGCGATGCGAGCACACGGTGCAGCGTAAGGCGAATTGCAGCGAGGACGTGATGCGTGAGTGGATTCAACGGGTATGTAGCTGATTGCATTGTTTGATTTATTGTTAAATTTTAATTCGCCTAACTTGTTTTATGCTGTAAAGATTTGGAATTCTAGTGTAGATGGCTGCAAGCTTTTGCTCCTCGACAGCTTAAAAGTGCACAAAGTGCAATCGGTGAGGACTATGCTTGAAGAGGAGCGCTGCACACAGGTGGAATTTATTCCACCTGGCATCACCGGCATCGCGCAACCGATGGACGTGGCTGTAATGAAGTCTTTCAAGGATCACGTCCGGTACGTCTATGCTACGAACGATCTCGCTATCACAGCGTCATTGACTAATTGATTGTCATTATTGCAGGAATTGCTACCTGACATTCCACGTTGAGAACGACTTTCCAGAAAGACCTCAGCAGAAGCGCGAGCTGCTCTCCCGCTTTGTCGCGGATGCATGGAACAAAGTGTAGGCAACAAGTATCCGAAACGGATTTATTAAGAGCGGCATCGTCCTAATTGGTCCGCGAGATAGTGCGGACCGGTTTCGAGTTGGTGAAGTACAAGAAGATGAGGCTCCGATTTTTTGCAAGACGTTTAGGTTAACATCAACATGAGAGGGGGGTGTCACCATTGATAACTTTGTGTTCTGCCTATTTTGTGTTTTGTTTTTACGGGTTGCTGCACTGTATCCATGTGTAGCATTGGATCCGTGTTTTACGGTAACATTCCTAAAATACTTTAAATTCGCAGAAATAATGGTTGCAGTAGCTCTGCATCATCGATTTGAGAATGTGCGTCTAAATCTACATTCTCCAGATTTTGCAGGACATCGATCTGGCTCACGAGCATAGAATGTCCTGTATTTTCCAAATCGAAACATCCCGGCGTCAAATCCTACACAAAATCTAGTATTATTGGCACAAGCTTGGCAAAGTCAATCTTTAGTGTTTTTGCAGGACAACATGTCCTGCAAGATTTGCTGCATTGCGGGTGCGGCATCGCAATGCAGCAAACTTCCGAGCTAATGCGCCAAGCAGAATATAACACACACGTGGTGTCCGTTAGCGTAGCGTGCCCACCAGGAAGATACAGTATTCATGGCTCGCTCTGTAGACCAAGGAGCATTTTAGTCGTACCAGTTAAAGAAATCTAAGCTCAGCCATACATTTCATACATTCTCAACACTTTTTTTTTTAACTAAGTCAGCAGTAACGCCGAGTCGAACCAGTACGTGTATGAACGCTGAAAGATGTACAAACAATAGCTCTCCATTACCCATTGCTAATCGCAACATTTAATTGCGGGGGCACACGCTGTGTCGACGCTTGCCATGACTGTTGTATGTGTAGTGTCCCTGGATAGCGAAGAGCAATTGCAGCACCTTCCCTTAGGGTCTGACCCGCTGAAGCCGCCCACGTTTGAGCCTCCGCCGAACGCCCATACCTGAAATGCCGTACCCGTACTTCCGCGTGTTTGGTGAGCACGTGAAGCCCAAGATGAAGAAACTGTCGTTCGGGTGGGGATGGATTGGAATTGGCGTTGGTACTTCCACGACAAGAGTGAAGCTGCTGGGGAGATGGCTGGCGATTGGGATTATTGGGGGGAGTGGAGTCGAACCTGGAAAATCCCTTCCAAAAAGTAAGCCAAGGGATTCCCAATATCTGCACACTGACGGGGTCATTCTTTGCCATGCTTTAACAAAGGCCTGACCCACGTCCCGTATTTTTTCACTTTCCTCCTCTTTGTCACGTTCAAACACATTTTTGCTGTCTACCAAACGAAACATGGAGAAGTTCCCGTTGCTGCCGCCGCCGATCTTGCGGAGTATCTTGGGCTACGCAGTACCTGGCTACACCGAAGACCTCGCGCCAACTAAACGCACAGCGACAATCGCTATGCTCAAGGAATTGGAGTCGGTCGCGCCGACGTGGGCAGCTGCTATGCAGGAGATGGCTCGGCAGTATCAACAGTCCGCCCTCACCATCGTCTTCAAGACCGCTTCATCTCGAGAACTGAGCAAAATATACTCCACAATGGAGGAACAAGGAGCAAATGCAAGCGAGCTGTACGTACTAGCGCCAACTTGACCCATTCTCGTCAGTTCACGCTACGACCAAGTCTACGAGGGACCATAGAGGGCGTTTACATCGATTGGGAGCGCATTTTCGTGTGCTTGCCAGTGCTGAAGGTGCTCAATTTAGCCGAAATGCCTCTCGACAGTCGCCATGTACTTGCTGCACTGGAAGCGGCCTCTGCGCACTGTCTGAAGCTGGAATCTCTGACACTACCCTATGCAAAACAAGAGGTCGATCATGAAAGTGTCCACATGGTACTCATGAAATTGTATGAGGCTCTGGGGAGATGGCGTGTGGATGGTAACCTCGGCGGACTCCGCCGCTTGTCGGTCCCTACTCGAACGAGCGAAGATCCCTTTCGTACCAGTGAAGAATTCTTTAGGAATGTGATGACCCATTGCCCACAAGTGGAGCTTCTCGATGGGTACAAGGTATCTCTGTTTGAGGAGGACGGGTTGGCAAGAGCGGTCTCTTCCGTGCTGCATGCGAGCATGACACTGTTGAAGGTGTATGTCTCCGCCTACGCAGTGACGTCGTACTCATACGACGCCATGGTGGCTGGGTGCTTGTGGGGGGGCTTGGGGGAACTTTGCTAATGGCGCTGCCGGCGCTGTGTGCACCGCAGGAAGATCGGTAGTGTACATGTTATGTGTGGGTACATGTTGTATACATGCTGCATACGCTTTATATACATTCCGGACTGGTATACATGTGTGGGGCTATGCCTGAAGAAGTTATCACGGACCGTGATAACCGTGTGCATTGGTGTGTCTCTTTGCGCCACCAGCAGCATCGCAAGCGTCGATTTCTTATGATAGATTTATGTGTTTGTACATAACCGTATGATTTATACCTATGAAAACGCATGAGTATTCTATATCATAGGCTGCTTTACGTTCCCGCCATAATTTCATTTTGATAGCCATGTCGAGTCGGGAGGCGAGCAAGAAGGCGGCCAAGGAGCTGCTGGCGCTCTGCGCGAAGGAGGGCGTCAAGGTCCCGACGGTACGCGCCCCAGTTCATACATCCACCACACCCACCTGCACTCAACTCCCTCTAACGCCTGCGCTGCTTCCTGTCCATACCCAGAACCCTGTCAATGCTGCCGTCGAGGCCGGCACGATGCTCAACGCCACGCGCGAAAATGTGCGGCGCCAATAGCTGCAATGCAAGGGACTTGCTTACTGTTGTGCAATCACTGACGCTTTGTATGCAACGTTAGGGCGAGTTCCAACTGGACGCGGCACTGAAGGTTTGCTCCAAGGACATGACACATTGCCAATGTGACATTGGACTGCAATTTGGTTTTCAATCTAACGTTGACTCGCTGTGTGTTGCTCGTGCCAATGCAGGAGATGATCAAGAAGTTCGGCGTGAAGGAGTCGGCGTCTCCCAAGAAGGCCAAGAAGGGCAAGGCAGACGACAGGTGCGACGTCAAGACGGAGAAGAAGACGCGCGGCCGCAAGCGCAAGGCGGACGACGTCAAGGACGAGGACGCACAGGACGACGACAAGAAGGCCAAGAAGCCACGCAAGAAGGCCGAGGCCACGTGCGAGTCCAACCAGCCGCTGGCCGACGCCTTCGCCGAGCTCTCGGGCTTCGAGTTCAAGCGCGGCGAGAAGTTCAAGGGCGGCACGTGGTCCAAGGTGGCCAAGGCCATCCGCGAGTGCGAGACCGAGATCTCGTGCGGCAAGGACGCGCTCAAGCTCAAGGGCGTGGGCAAGTCGTCGGCCGCCAAGATCGACGAGTTCCTCGAGACGGGCACGCTCGAGAAGCTCGAGGAGTACCGCGCAGGCAACATGTAGCAAACACCACCACACCATCAATCACACCGCGGTTAGCTCAAGGTTCTGCTACACTTGCTTTCAGTATGGAATCTCCGGTTGTGTGCGCCACACCAACTGGCCGCCAAACGTCAACTTCAGCAGTATCTTCTTGGGCCTGAGCCCTAGCATTCAGTCGCTCGCTCGGGGTCAACGGCCAGCACATCGCGCCCCTTCCCGGACACTGGCCTGCTCTCCGAGTGAGCGAGCGCCTGAGACTCTCAGGGGAAAAGCCTTTTTTCTCAGCTCTCAGCGTCTCCGCTGTCTGTCGTTCTGTCTGCCTGCACCTTCCGAGTGTCTCGCTCTAGACTCGTTTGAATTTTTGAACCACCACCAGCAGCAGCAGCTCGACACTCGCTCCGTGTCAGTCTCAGTCTCGCTCCTCACTTCGGAGGCCCATTTTCTGATTCAGAAGGCGCGTTGCACAGCAGCAGAATGCAACGAGGCGAAGTGGTCGTGGCGAGCGCGTTCACGTCGCCCACCAACCAGTTCGACCAGACGCAGCACATGCCGCAGCACTGGACGCCCCCAGCAAGAGCAGGCGCGAGGCCGCCGAGTCCGCCGCCCAACGACCAAGACAGACTGCATCAGCAGCAGCATCAACAGCACTACCGCCACCCCATGGCGTTGTCTGGGGGAGCGGGTCGCCGCAATCCTGCAGGCAGCAGCAGCAGCTACAGCAACAAACACAAAAAGCCCAAGCACCCGCAGCAGTCGTTCACGCCCTGCTCGAAGTTCCTGTCCGGGTACGGCTGCCCCTACGGCGACAAGTGCCACTTCTCACACGATATCCGCGCGTTCTACCCGGGGCTGCACGAGTACGGGTGGGTATACTACACTATCGATCGGCGGAAAGTGCAAGGTTGATGTAGAACTAACTGAGGTGGTGGTTCTGTGTGTTGCAGGCCCGCTGGATACGACGACCCCATTTGGTCAGCCAAGTACGCCGCTCCCCCAAGATCCCATCAGAGCTACCCACAACGCCAGATGTCGACGCCTTCCAACCCTCCGTAAGTGCTGATTACCCGTAACTTCTGCGATTGCCTTTTCACGCCTTAGCAGGTAGGGAGGTGGCTCGCTCGCTTGGCGGCGGGCGCTACCTGTTATGCTCTGGCTAATGTGTACATTGTGACTGTTACAGGATGCCTAAAAGTGACCCTGCTAGACGACACTCTTCGACATTTCACATGCAACCACCGCGGGATCGAGCGGCCTCCTTTGCGGGTCGGACCGAGTCTCGCGACAACCAGACAGACGGCGTTCCGATGTCGACTGGCGGGAAGATGCTGTTCAAGGAAGCAGTTCTCCGGCAAACCAAGGCAAAACCTGCTCAGAGTAAGCACCACGAGTCTTCGCCACCCAAAGCCACTACAGCAAATGGATATGACGACGAGAACAGCCGAACGAATCGAGAGATCGCGACACCGGAGAATGAGTATCCTGACGTGAACCTACAGTACCCGCATCATAAGCACTATCCGCGGTACAAGAAGTTCGTGCGTGGGCGAAAGTGCGCCTCAGGTGACAGCGCGCCGAGCTCCGTCAACGGCGATTCACCGAAGTTTTGTCGCAATCCGAAGTATTTATTCAGTGAAGTCGACGGCGTCGATCTTCAGCGAGCACAGGCCATCCAGCAACTACAACAACCTCAGCAACAGCAGTATTATTCACTCCCCGTGCATAGAACACAGATGCTGAATTCGCCGTACTCGCAGTACGTGACTGAGGAGCAGTTTCACAGGTACTGCTTGCAGTGATTACCGGTCGATTGAGTTGTAGCTGACTTTGTAACTATGATGTTGGTGGTGTGACAGCAATCTCAGTCAGCAAGTTGAAGGTTTTGTAGACTATATCGACGCCCAGCTCGCATCGAGGGAGATGCACCAACAGCAAGCCATCGACTCCCTGCAGGAGCTGGTGCGATCCCTGTGGCCCGATGCTATGATTGACGTTTATGGCTCAAGCTACACGCGGTTAGCATTGCCTGTGAGTGACATCGATTGTGTGCTAGTTGCGAGATCGTTGGCAGGAGAGAAACCTTTGACAATTTTGGAGGCGCTAGCAGCCGAGGTGGAACGCCAGCCGTGGACAAAAGAACTGGAGCTGCTAGGAAGCGCGAAGATCCCAGTGCTCAAGATGACCTACTCCATCGACCCAACCCAGCAAGATGTGCTACTCGACCTCACGTGCGGTCATTCCGTTGGCCACACTGGGCTGGGTGCCCGTGACCTAATTTATTCGTTCCAAGCGGAGATGCCAGCCTTGCGCCCCCTGGTCCTGATTCTGAAAAGCCATCTCCTCCGCAATGGTAAGTGCTTGCTGCTTGTTGTATTTGTGCTGACGCTGACTTGACCTGGACTTGTTGTATTACAGACTTGAAGTGCGCGTTCATTGGCGGCATCTCCTCCTACGTGTTGGTGATCCTGGTGATTCGATTCTTGCAGGTACGCTGCGCTTGTGTCCCGAACGTGGTCCGACTTGGTGCCTGATGCGTTCGATCTGCTTGCTATTTAAGGCTTGTGGCGACACCCATCGGAAGTCATTTGCGAATGCCAGCGTTCGCAAATTGTACGGAGGGGGCAGGAGGAGAAGCTACTCAGAAAACGCATCACTGGATTTCCCGGAAGAACTCGCCTACGGTTTGGAGCCCAGTGAGGCTGGGCCGCAGCCGAAATGGTGCTACATCTTTTCCCGCAATGGACGCGTTACGTGGCGCACTGGCATCGGCAGCCTCCTGATGCTCTTCCTGGAAACGTACATTACGTTTGATTATCGCCATTTCGGCATCTCCATTGAGAACGAAGGGTTCGTATTTGTGGCTTGTGACGAAGAGATTGTGTCCCCAGACTTACGTTGTGAACTGAATGTTGTATGTAGAGAGTTTTTTCTGCTTCCGCCGGAGAAAGTGGTCTCCTCGCAAGTCTCCGTTGTCATCCCGTACGTCGCGGATCCGATCAAGCCTGGACGAAGCATCTGCAACTGCTTCCGTATGCACGAGGTGAGCACACGACTGACTACTGTATCTGCGCTTTCCCAAGTACTAGTAGTATTGTAAATGTAACATCCTTGTATTTGCTAGGTGATTCAAGCGTGGCTCGCATTGTACCAGAACCTGGTGGCTGGCGCCCCATTGGCGGCGTGCATTGCAAGTGGTTTGAATCCTTGAGCAAGCTCACTCACACCGTCTCGAATGATTAAAGAATGAAGCTGGTGGCGTGCCGTCGTGTGGAGCTCGCTGTCTCCGACGCTATCCGTGACCCCGTAAACGTTCGTCCGTGTTCACCATTCGTGCAGCAAGGCCGTCTCCTCCAAGACCACCGCTGACACACTGATTTTGCAGTTCATCTCTCGAAGAAAAAATACTCCATTGCGTTTTCGCGTCTCGGTGGTGTCGACACTGTAGTAGTCCACGCTATTGAACCCCGGCGCGTCTGCATCATGGAGAATACTGAACAGTACACCTCACAAATACAAATGCAGACGCAGAAATGACACTGTTAAAGCAATAGTCTGGCCTGCAAAAAACATCGAGCTAACGGTGCCTAAAACTCTAGGGGGCGCACGCTCATGAACTCGGAGACGAGGTCGTCGGTGATGGCAGCACGACGCTGCTGGAAGTCCAGCGTGTACTCAGACATGACGTCGATCAGCTTCTGCTTCACCTCACCCGACATCATGCGACCTGCGCCGTACTCGCGGCCAATGCGAGCGAGCTCCTCGTCGTCCTCGAGCATGAACGACAGGTACTGGTACGGGATGTCGGCCTCCAAGTTGGCGCCGTACTTCTCGTGGTCAGCCTTGGTCTCACCTCCGCCGCTGTGGAATTAAACACCCAGACACAGTCACAGTCAGAATATACACCATCATCTCAAAAGGAATCAGCGCGTAGGGCTTACCTGAAGGCGTACTTCTTGATCTTGTTGGCGATATCCTCCGGCGAGTCCGAGATGTAAATAGTGGTGCTCGCCTTGCTGGCACTCATCTTGGTGGTGCTGCCCTGCAGAGCCGGGAAGAACTTGGAGTGCATGGAGGCAGGCTTGAGGTAGCCAATACGCGGCGCCACATCGCGCGTCATACGGAAGTAGGGGTCCTGGTCGATGGCGTGAGGGATGAGGCAGCGCAGGCCCTTGCGTCCGCCTAGCACGACGGGGAACGTCTCCGAGAAGGACGGCACGGCCTGGATGGCCGGGAACGACGACTTGCCGATGTTGTCCGAGCCCGTGAAGCCGAAGATGCCGCGCACCTGGTTGTACGTGACGCACTTCTGCACCTTGAGGATCTGCGGGTACATCTCCTTGATGTAGTCCGTGTTGGCGAAGATGAAGGTCTTCTTGACGTCGAAGCCGCAGGCGATGATGTCCTTGGCGTTCTCCCACGCCATGACCTCGCTCTCCTCGAGGGTCTGGTCCTTGAACAGGAACTTCTCGTCGTTCGTGAGCTGGATCACGAGCGGCACATCGAACACCTTCTGCAGCCAGGCCGTGAACGTGAAGGGGATCAAGTGGCCCATGTGCAGGCTGCCCGAGGACGGGCCGCGGCCCGTGTAGAGGAAGAACTTCTCGCCCTTCTCGTACGCGTCCAGGATCACGTCCAGGTCGCGGTGCGAGAAGAAGTAGCCGCGGCGCAGGTAGCGGTGCGCCTTGTGGCCCGTGAGCCGCTCCATGCGCTCCACCATCTCGGGCGGGATCTTGGTGCTGCCGAACTGCTCCACGAGCTTGTCGTAGTCCACGCCGTCCTCGGCCTCCACGTCCCACGGGGTCACGACCTGCGCGCCGGCGGCCGCGCCCGAGCTCAGCACCTGGTGCTGGAACTCGGTCTGGCGCAGCAGCAGGTCGGCGTCCGACGGCACGGCCGCACTCTCGGCGGGCTTGGCGCTCTCCGAGGGCTTGGCCTTCTTCTGCTTCTGCTTGCCGGCCTGCTTGCCGCCGGCCTTGGCGGAGCCGCCCGCGGCCTTCTTGGCCGCCTGCTCGGCCAGCTTCTTCTCCTTCTTGAGCTGGTTCTTGGACTTCTTGGGGGCGTCGCCGCTGTCGGCCGCGGGGGCAGCAGCAGCGCTCTCCTTCTGCTTCTTGGGCTGCGGCGGCGGCGCGTAGTCGGCGCCCGTGAGCGCCTTGAACTGCGCCTTGAGCGCCAGCAGCTCCTGCACCTGCGCCGCGATCTGCTCCGCGTTGGCCGCGTCCTTGGCCGCCTTGAGCTCGCGGATGGCGTTGCCCACGGCCACGATCTTGTCCGTCAGCTGCTGCGCCTCCATGATGCCGGGTGTCGGTCGACTCGGTTCAGGTTATGCCGAGGGGGCCATACAATCAGTGTTGGGGAGAGGCGAGATACCATTGGATGAAAAGAATCGATAGTGGAGATGAGTCAACACACGTCGCAGATGGATGCCAATCACTGACGTGGCCTGGCCTCAAAGGCAAAGATCAAAGCGTGCAATTCAACTTACATGCATGCATCCGACTACATAGCAGTCACCTACGTCTTCCACACGTATTGTGGGATGTTCTCCAGCATTTCCCCCGTCAAGTCGACGCTCTCGGAGTCCAGTTCAGCTGGGCCCCGCGAGATTTCCTGCTTGGTAGTGAGACTTGTCGAGTTGTCTTTGGGGGCGACGAAAATCAACGCCACAGTCAGTGGGTCAACAATACGAAGACTGTATACTTTTGCGCAACAAACGTCAGAAATCCGCTTCCATCAACCGATCTTAACCGACGCGTTACAGTTCCGCCAGCTCGAGTTTTCATCCACCTACCCACCGCCGCTACTTGCAGCCGACGCCAGTCCCCCCCCATCCAGCCAAGTTTGTCGCCAACACGCAGCAGGGGAGCAGACCATGGACGCGGGGCAGACCAAAGATTTTCCTACGGTGTTGCCGATGGAGAACAATTACGGCTTGCCCAAGTACTTTGTGCGTCCGTGCTACCCGGTGTACTACGCCGTGATTTTGACACTGCTCGAAAAGTTCGACATCGTCACTGTGACTGGAACGCCTGGTATGTTACTGTTAAGGCTGTTCTCCTGTTGCTATCCTGAGATGCCCTGACTTGTTTTGCGCTGATATGTTGCCCAGGAACGGGCAAATCGGTCTTCTATGGATACTTCTTCGAGCGCTACAAGAGTGAAGTTGCCGCGACAAAGAAGACCACTATCATTACGGCATCATTCACGCAAGGATCGATTATGAAGAAAGCGGTTGTGTTCAGAGACGACGACAAGGTGGAATCTTTTTGTGGAGAAGCGTACATACCTATCGGCCAAGCACACGACGATGCTTTGGGGCGCAAGTCAGACTTGGTGTACCTGTACGATGGACCGCCAAGATATGAACCAGAACGTCCGTCAAAGATGGTATGCTTCTCCAGCCCGAACGAACACTGGCTGAACATGGCGTCCAAGAAGCCAGAGGCGACTAAGCTGTACATGCCGCTGTGGGACGTGGAAGAACTGGTTGCTGCGGTGACCTCTCTTCGCCCCGATTTGCTGGTGCCGCGCAATGTGGTTGAAAGTCGTTTTGCCATATTTGGTGGTGTGGCTCGATGCTGCCTCGCAGTAAACGAAGAATTCGTCAAAGACAGGATTGCGGAACTCGAGAATGATATCAATGGTATCGACGTACTACCTATGCTGAAGCGCTTGGCCAGCAATATAGAAGGAGGGCCTACATATCACCGGATGTGCCACTACAGACCCAAACCCGACAACCCAAAGTTGTATGATGTCCAACTCGCATCGGAGTTTGTCTCTCTCCGAGTGCTGGAGAAGATCGCTTCCCGCAATTTCGAATACCAAGACGAAGTGTTCTTTTATCTCCGACGGGTTTCCACAGGAGCGGCACTTCGCGGACATTGTTTGGAATAAAAGTGCACGAGATCTGATGCGCGGTGGTGAGACGCAATGCATTTTTGACGACCAAAAACTCAAGAAACTATTTAACACCCAACGCAGTGGCCAGTTTTCCTTCTTTGATCCCAAAGATTTATCCAGTGCTGCGCTACAAACGGGCTCGTGTCACATTTTGCGCGCGTCTGCCTTTAACTCTATTGACTTCTTCTACTATCCGCTGCTCGATGACAAAAAGTTTTGCAGGAAAATCCTACTGTTCCATACCGCCGAGGCCTCGATTCGCCCTGTACAAGCAAAGGATATTGTGGAGATACTGGAATCTGCGGGCTTGTTGGGCCACGAAGACACGCCAATGACTGTCGTCGCGCGATCACCTTCATCGACAATCATTCGTTGTTGAAGCCCAAAAGCACAATTCACTCCTGAATGGACCATTCAATAGCTGGACAAGCGGCTCACTCGTTCCGAACCGTAGAATCTCCTTGGGATTCTCCGGCTCAGCCGCCAGATTGCCGATGGACATCGCTATGTACTGCTTCACCACGGCATCGTTCTCGTTCTCAACGTCCTTGGAGAATTTCACGAGCGGCGGCCCCTCCTCCTCTGGCGTCCTGTTGTCTGGGTCTCCGCTCCGGTGTCGGCGCCCTTGCAACTGTCGTGGTAGGGCCTACCTGTTTGATTTGACCTTCGACATACGGTTGCTTTGTCCGAAGCTAATGTTCGTTTGCATCACGAGCTTCTTGGTTCAGCTCCTTACCCGGCTCAACACAACGAGTAACGAGCTACATGTATTAAAATACTAACAGAGGCAACATTCCACCACTTTGCATCACAGACACCTTCGTCACGCTTTGCTTCCCCAAGGCCAACGCAGAGCTGCACATCCGCGCTTGGATACCGGAGCAAGTCGATGAGAGGGGGCACTGCTCCTTCCTCAATCAGGCGCAGCTTGTTGTTGCATCTCTTTTGTTTTGGAATGGACAAAAGTCACGCTTGGCTACTCAGAGTACGACAGATTGAATTGAAGAGAGCGGCTAGCAACTTCTACGTCTACCTGCGGCTGCCACCACTTTCGCTGATATCTCTACCACTTGGCGCAGCGGTCCAGGATGTAGGGCGTGAAGTACGTGATGAGCACGCTGGCGCCGGCGCGCAGCAGACCCAGGTGGGCCTCGCGCACGACGCTCTCGAGCGAGTTGGTGGAGTCGCCGTAGTCCTTGACCATCTTGTACTCGCCCGAGACGAGGTAGCAGACCACGGGTACCGTCTTCTTGGCGGCGAAGCTGGCCACGATGTCCGAGTAGAAGAGCGAGGGCTTGACGATGACGCTGTCGGCGCCCTGCAGCACGTCGCGCTCAAAGGCCAGCGCGGCGTGGCTCGTGCTGCCCACGGGGTGCTGGTAGCGCTTGCGGTCGCCCTGGAACGTCGACTCGACGGCGTCGCGGAACGGCGCGTACATGACCGAGGCCTTCTTGGACGTGTAGGCCATGATGGACACGTGCTCGAAGCCGTTCTCGTTGAAGGTCTTGCGGATGGCGCCGATGCGGTTGTCCATCATGTCGGACGGGCACACCATGTGCGCGCCGGCCTGCGCGTAGGCCAGCGCGATGGCGGAGAGGCGCTCGAGCGTGCGCGCGTTGTCCAGCACCTGCTCGCCGTCCACGTCGCGCAGGATGCCGCAGTGGCCGTGGTCCGTGTACTCGCACATGCACACGTCGCAGGCCACCAGCAGCTCCGGCAGCGCCTTGCGCAGCGCGCGCGTGCACTTGATGACGGGCGTGCCGTCGCTCTCGGCCATGGAGCCGCGCGCGTCCTTGTCCTCCACGACGCCGAAGAGCATGACGCTGGTCAGGCCCTTGGCCATGAGCGCGCGCAGGTGCGCCACGAGCGACGCGAAGCTGCCGTCCGCGCCCTGGCCCCACTGCAGCTCCGGCTCGAGCCCGCGGATCGGCTTGTCCTCGGCGCGCAGCGTCACGAACAGCGGGTACATGAGCTGCGACGGGTGCAGGTGCGGCTCGCTCCAGGCGCGCTGCGCGGGGTGGTGCAGGCTCGAGTGCAGGGAGTCCATGGCAGGAGTGATGGTCACTTGCGCGCTGTCGGGAGACTTGGCGAATGAATGAGCAAGTGATCGACCTATCCTATCCTACCATATAGGATGGATACACAAAGTTGTCGGGAGCGAGGCGCGTGCCTTGAGCGGCGACGCGGTGGTTTGTGTCGGACTATTCGGAAAGGTCCAGCGAGAATTTTGGTCGGGCTCAAATGGTGTGGTGCACACTTCTTGTTTTGCCGAGTTGAAGCTGATGGCGGCGGCGTTCGAGCGCGCGGCGCAGGAGCTCAAGGCGGCGGGCGCGCAGGGCCGCGTGGCCGTCAACGACGCGCAGAAGCTGCAGCTGTACGCGCTGTTCAAGCAGGCGACGGCGGGCGACTGCGCTGCGGCCGTGCCCAGCGCCTTCCGCGTCGTGGAGCGCGCCAAATGGTAGGAGCGATTTAGCCCCTGGTTTTAACTGCCACCTCGCTGCGTTTTACACGATTTTATCGCGGTTTTAGGTCGAGCTGGCACGAGCTGCGCGGCACGCAGTCGCAGGAGGCCAAGCGCCGCTACGTGCAGCTGGTGCAGACGCTGCTGTCGAGCTTGCAAGCGGCGGAGGACGCTGAGCCGAAGTCGAAGCCCAAGCCGACAGTTGCAAGGGCGCCGATGCACGAGCAGAGACCCAGACAACAGGCCGTCAGAGGAGGTGGAGGCGTCTCCTGGCTGCTGTCGTGGCTGGCGGTGACTGGAGCCGCGCTCTTCTTTGGCTTCAAGGTGGCGCTGCCCTGGAGTCGGCATTTCGCTGCTGTTTACCAGGTCCCGGACGAGATGGCGCAGTACGGGGAACTGGGCCACAAGCTCTCGCCGCTGCTGTGGTTCGCTGTGGGCTACTCGATCGTGGTTGCGCTGCGCTCGAGGGTGAGCTACGTAGTGGTTTTTCTACTGTAGTGGTTGTTGAGGCTGATGGACGGTGTTAACCATTTCTTGCTGTAGAGTTTCCCGTGGCCGGAAGGTCTGTGGGTCTCGACGGTTGCACCGCTTGCTCGCACACGTGGAAGAAGACGCCGACGCCGAGCACCGGCGGAGTCGGAGCTGAATGTGTTTCTTCGTGAGCACGGGATTAAGGTCGTGCGGCAGCCGGAAGCGGGGAATTCTGTTCCTCGCTTGGTGCTGAGTCTGCCGGAGGACGCTGACGCGTTCCAGTTTGGCGACTGTAATGCCACAATTCCATACACAGTCGAGCAGGTGCGTACCACGCAAACAAAATTGTGTGTATCAGTTTGTAATGACAAAACTGTCTGTGCTGCTGCAACTTGTTTTCAGACGGCGGATGTGTATTACCGCAAATTCAAGGAGCCATTGCCGGACCCGGCCAGTCGGCTATTGGATTCGATCGAGCTACTTGAAGAGCGCCAATTGGACGAGTATTGCGCTGTCTTCAAGCGCCGCCTGCTACGATTCCGGTATGCTACGATAGACATTTATCGTGGCGATACCAACTGACGTTTTTTTTCGCTTTGGCTGCGGTGCAGGAATGAGGCGCCATCTTTAATCAAGCGGTTCGCGAGCTCGGACTTCGTCGAGTACATCGAAGACTCACTACTTGACAAGCAGAATCGCGTACGTTTACTTCGCTGATCTCGTGGTTGATAGCTATAACAATTCTGATGTGTTGGTGTAGCTGTTCTACGTGTATGTCAAGAACGAGTCTTTTCAGTCTCTGGGCGTCCTCGAAGACTTTGCCGTGTACAAAGCACACTCGGATAAGCCGCACTGGTAGGCAACAGACTCTATTTCGTACTGGCGCTATGGTGGCGACATTGCTCTGACCCCTTGCAATGATGACTTTCATAGGACCGATCTCCACCAATTCTGCCGTGTGCACATCACGAGCTCGTCGCTGTCGTTTTTCCGATCGAGGGTATGTTTTGAGATCAGCAACTGCAAAGGAGAGTACCGAGAGCTGACTACTGTTTTGTGATGTGAGCAGATTGAAGCCTTCATCTCGAACTTTTACTGCAAGAACGCCCCCGACGCCAGAAGTTACCACCTTCAGCGCATTGCAGAGGAGTTTGGTGATCCTGTTGAGTAACGAGGTAGCATGTATCCGGGATCTGTGATTGTGAACACGAACTCATGACCCCAATATGTTCATTGACGGTTTCCATTTTTGCTGACGAGGGGACACCCGGCACCTATGCCTCACTTTTAGGAGGTCGCTCAAGTAGCTGGGCTCGCCGCTCAGACCAGGCACAATGTCCAAGGTGCTCGAGCAGCTAATCGCGCGCGGACGACGCGAACGCAAACCGACCGAACAGCGCGATGTTGCCTTCAGTTTGGCTGAGATCTCTACCAATGCTGAGCTACACGAAAAGATGGTATCCAAGGGTGTGGTAAAGGCTTTGCTTACGCTCATTCTCCAGTCGAGTGACCCAGAAGCGCTTCGGTTGGCGTGCTTGTGTCTGGCTAATGTTGCGTCATGCCCAGCGAGTCGAGTCAAGATTGTTGAGGAAGGCGCCCTGCCACCGCTCGTTAAATTCTTTAAGGACGTTGAGAACGAGAACGATGCAGTGGCCAAGCAGTACGTGGCGATGACCATTGGCAATCTGGCGGCTGAGCCGGAGAATCACGAGGAGATTGTACAGCTTGGAACGATTGAGCCGCTTGTCCAGCTATTGGATCCTGAAATGGTCCATTCGGGAGTATATTGCGCTTTTGCGCTGGCGAATCTGTCAGTGAATAACGAGTATCGTCCCCTGATTGTCGACGAAGGTGCGGTTCCTCGTCTTATCGCTCTGGCGTGCTGCAAGGAGCTGAGCGCGCAACGACAGTCTTTAGCGTGTCTTCGTGGGATTTGTATCTCCCCCGCCAACCGTATCGTCGTGGTCAAGGAAGGCATGCTGGACCCACTGGTGCTAATGGCACGCTCGGACGAGCCCGACATCCAACGTGAAGTCGCAGCGGCGTTTTGCGCGCTTTCAGCCACGCCTGAAAACAAAGCGGAGATCTCGGACCGAGCGCTGCTCACGATTATTTCGATGTCACTCTCTGGAGATCCTGCTGTCGAAGAGTACGCGTGCAGCACGATCGCTAATCTGGTGGAACTGCATGAGCTTCATGATAAACTGCTGCGCGAGAACGGTTTGGCGTCTATCATGGCGCTGGCAGTAGCAAGGGATCTCAACACACGCTCAGAGGCTTGTCGATGTCTGGCTAATCTCACAGCGAATGAAGAGGTGCAACCAGCGCTGATGAAGGAGGGTGTGCTGCAGCCTCTAGCAGCAGCCCTCATACTGGACCACCACGTTTGTCAGCGTTACGCAGCACTGGCACTTGCAAACCTGAGCACTACTGCCAGTTACCAGGTTCAAATTGTCGGGCTAGGCACTATCAAACCTCTGATCGCACTCGCCCAAGCGTTTGATCGCGAACTTGAAGCCCGACGCTACGCTGTGCTTGCGATTGCCAACCTGGCAGCAATGAAAGCTAACCACCCTGCGCTTGTTGAGGCGGGATGTCTGCTGTCGCTGTTCTCCCTGGCAAGCACGGCTGATGCGCTGAGCCAGTATTATGTGGCGTTCGCATTGGCAAACTTTGCGTCGAATGAGCAGAATCACACGCGTATGGTGGAAGAGGGCGGGCTCCAGCCCATTATCACATTGGCATCGTCAGAAGACACCGACGTACATCATCAAGCCATTGCTGCTCTACGCGGACTTGGGGTTAGTGAGGCGAACAAGATCAAGATACTGCAGGAAGGCGGACTGGAGCCTCTCGTGTTGTTACTGCAGTCCGACGACCTGGAGATCTTGCGCGAAGCTTGTGCAGCGCTCTGCAATCTGTCTGTAAGCGAGGAGACCAAGTATGAGATCGCCAAGAGTGGCGCTGTGGCACCCCTCATCGCTCACGCACAATCTGAAGACATAGATCTCGCGCGCCAAAGCTGCGCTACGCTAGCAAATCTGGCCGAGGTGGAAGAGAACCAAGAAAAAATATGCGCGGATGGAGGTGTCCCTCCCCTCATTGCCATGATGCGCTCCCAGTTCGTGGAGGTTCAGCGCGAGGCAGGTCGCGCTCTAGGAAACCTGTCAGCCTTTCGTCTCAACCACGAGGACATTATCGAGCACGGCGGTCACCAGCTACTGATCTCGTACTTGCTGTCACCGGATATGGCGTCTCAACGTGTTGGAGCGCTAGGCATTTGCAATCTAGCCACAAATCCTGCTATGCGGGAGCTCCTTATGGAAAGTGGAGCCATGGAACCTCTTATGTCGCTCGCGAGGTCTGAAGACGTCGAGTTAGAGATCCAGCGGTTTGCTATTCTGGCTATTGCAAACCTTGCTACGTGTGTTGAAAACCACCGCGCCATCGTCGAAGAAGGTTCGCTACCGCTGCTTATCTCGCTGTCCAGCGCTCCAGATGAAGAAGTTCGGCAGTACGCCGCTTTCGCATTGGTCAAGGTTGCGCTCAACGCTGACCTACGCAAGCAGATTACCGAAGAGGGCGGACTGGAGCCCGTGCTTTTCCTTGCACGAACCCAGAGCTCCGACTTGCAGGCGGATGTACTGCCTGCGATCTGCACGTTGTCGTTTGCAGACGCGAACAAATCGGACATCTGCAAGTGTGGCGGTTTACCGCCAATCCTCTCAGCGCTAAAGAGTGCCGATGTGGGTGTCCAGCGGCAAGCACTTTGTGCAGTCGCAAACTTGGCTGAAGACGTCGAAAATCAGAGCCACCTCGTGGCTAACGGTGCGATCCCGCCTATCGTGGATGCTCTGCAGCATGGCGGTATCATCGCGCAGCGTGAGGCAGCTCGTGCACTCGGAAATCTATCAGCGAACTGTGACTTTGCTGAGGTGATTTTGCGTCAAGGTGCAGCTCCACCGCTCGTGCAGCTCCTGGGCAGTGAAGTGGTGGACTGCCAGCGTATGGCTGCGATGGCGCTTTGCAACCTCGGTACAAATGTGAACAACCAACCCAAGCTACTGGCTCAAGGTGTACTCCCTCCTATACTTGCTCGCATCGAAGAAGCACTGGACCCGCGCTCACTTGCAGACAACGACGTTATTCGGTACTGTCTCCTGGTGATGGCCAATCTGGCTGTGTCACCTTCGACACACGAGGAATTGCTGGACAAGGCGCTGACTTTCCTGGCAGGTTACGCCAAGCATCGCGACGTCAAGTGCCGACAGTTCGCCATCTTCGCTCTTGGCAATTTGTGCAGCAACCCGAACAACATCGAGCGCATCGTAGCGGCCAACTGCCTGCAGCCTATCATCTCTTTCGCTTTTCCGGGGGATGCGAATGTGCAGTTCCAAGCCATTGCCGGGCTCCGAGGACTTTCAGTGAATCAAGTGGTGCGTCAACAAGTTGTGCGCCTTGGCGCTCTAGAACCTCTCATCCTTGCAGCTTCGAGTGAGAGTATTGAAGTGCAGCGGGAGGTAGCGGCTACACTCTCCAATCTGTCGCTGAGCGAGGAGAACAAGATCACAATGGCTCGTGGTGGATGCCTACCGGCCCTCATTGCTCTGGCGAGCAGTCGAGATTCGTACCGTGAACGACAAGCCGTGTGTGCTTTAGCCAATTTGGCTGAGATGATCGAAGGGCACACGCATAAGAAAATGCTCGAAGAAGGTATATTAACACCTTTGTATGCGCTAGCAACTGGTGCCGACTTGGAGGTCAAACGCCAAGTCTCTCGTTGTCTGGCCCTTTTTGCGGCCAAACCATCGAGTCAGGCCACACTTCTGCGCAGCAACGCATTGCGTTATATCGGAGCATTCGCTCACGAGACAGAGGACGTAGTGTGTCGACGATTCGGGACGCTGGCAATTGGCAATCTTGCCGTGGATCCCAAGAACCACCGTGATTTGTTCGACCAAGGAGCCGTCACAGCACTCATGACAGTGAACAAGGCTACGGATCTGGAGACTCGTCGGGCATTGGCATTTGCACTCAACAACTTAGCAGCCAACGAAAGCAACAGCGCGCAAATCTCGAAGTTGGGTGTGCTACGCACTGTGATTGCGCTACTGCACGACGCGGACGAGGATACACATCTACAGGCCTGCTTTGCGCTGCGCCGCATGGTTGTTGAGGCGAAGAACCGCACCCAGGCCGTGTCGTTCGGTGCTCTTGCCCCGCTGTTCAAACTTGCCCTCTCAGAAAGTGTCGAAGTCCAGCGTGAAGTGTGTGCTGCGCTGCGCAACTTATCGCTGAGCGAAGACAACAAAGTTGTCATCGTACTGAACGGCGGTTTGGCACCTCTGCTAACACTGGTGCACTCAGCAGACGGAGAAGTAGCTCATCAAGCCTGTGGAGTACTCGCCAACTTGGCGGAAGTGGTCGAAAACCAGGGACGAATGGTGAAGGATGGTGTCTTGCAGCACATCAAGTTCGTGCTACGAGCAAAGAGCGTGGACGTTCAGCGTGAAGCTCTTCGCACCATTGCCAACATGTCAGCCGAGTATGCGTATACAGCGGAAATCGTATCCGGTGGTGGTCTGACGCCGCTGATGGCAGCGCTAAATGCACCAGATTTCCTCAGCCAACGGTACGCAGTGATGGGCATCGCCAACCTCTCCACGAACGTTGACAACATCACCAAGATCGTCCAGGATGCGCTTGTGCCCACCCTTGTAGCGCTGGCTAACGGGTCACTCAACGGTGATCTCGATACACAGAGGTATGCTGTCTTTACGCTCACCAACATCGCCAGTGTGCGTACTACTCAGTCCGTGCTCGTCGATGCTGGAGTGCTCCCGTTGTTTGCTGAGTTGTTGCAACACGCTGATATGGCGTTGCGGAATGGCGCGGCGTTCGGCATCGCGAACTTCACGGCATTTCCAGAGAACCACGCGATGCTTCTGGAGCTAGGATACTCTTTCCTGGACGCTTTGCTTTGTCTGCTGGAGTCACAGGACGCAAAGTGCCAGTATCGTGCTGTTTGTGCATTGCGTGGATTATGCGTGAACGAGCTAGCGCGACGGGAACTTGTACGCCGTGGTGTCTTGCGCCCACTGTTAGCGCTGACCAAGTCGGAGGATATGGACGTACAACAAGAAGTGCTGGCTTGCTTGTGCAATTTGTCCCTCAGTGGCTGCGTTGGAGCTTACCCCGAAGTATTCATTGCGGCGTGTGAGATGCAGTCACTTGTGGCGTTCCTGTGCTCTGCCGATGCTACATATCGGTTGTTTGGTGCGGTGACCTTGGGCAATATCGCTGCGAAGACCGAGTTTCAAGACGAGTTAGTTGCGGCTGGTGCAGTGTCGCCGTTAGTCGAAGTGGCTAATAGCGTCGACCTGGAGACACATCGCTGCATAGCCTTCGCCTTGTGTAATCTAGCGGCCAACCCAGATCGACGACAAATGGTTGAGGCTATGGGAGGCCTGCCTCCTATTATTCAGCTGGCTTGCTCCGACGACGTGAACGATCAAAAAACTGCCATCGCAGCACTTCGAGGACTCTCGAATCGGCCTGAAACTCGATTACATATCGTCTCAGAAGGTGGATTGGAGCCTTTAGTGCTGGGAGCGCGCTCTTCCGACATCCAGCTGCACCGAGAGGTTACCATGACAGCGTACAACTTGTCCCTTGCTGAGAAGAACAAGCTCATCATTGCTGCATCACCTTTGATGGGAGCTCTGATCACGCTCATGCTCTCATGTGACGAAGACACGGCTGCGTTCGCCTGTGCAAGCGTTGCCAACATCGCTGAGAATTCGGATACACATGGCGCTATTGCGGAGCAACGCGGCTTGCGGTTCTTTCTGGAGTTCGAGGCACAGGGTGCCCCAGCGCGGGTAGCTCATGAAGCAGTCAAGTGTGTGGCGAACCTCTCGTCAAACTACGCGCTCCATGATTTGTTACTAGCGGACGGCTGTCACGAATTTCTCGTTCGCGCTATTCAGCACCCGGACCCGAAGACTCGACTCTTCGGCGTGGTCGGGCTCGGTAACCTCGTGTCGAACCCGCAAAACCATTCGAGAGTGCTGCGCGAAGAAGTGGTGGTGCCGCTTATTGAGCTTGCCTGCGATACAGAGCACGCAGAACCTCGACAGTTTGCATTGCTCGCGCTCGGTTGCATCTTCACGAACGAAGGAAACCACGAACCATTCGTGGACAACGGAGTTCTTCCTGCGCTCATCGCGGCTCTGGACACGGCTAACGACATGGAGACGCGCTTCTACGCCGCTTTTGCGCTGGGCAAGATAGCTACGAACGAGTCACTCCATGAACTCATAGGCCAGCTCAGCGACAGCGGCGGGCCTCTAATCAAGCTAGCGCTCGATGCTGAAGATGCTAAGCATCCAAGTGCACAGTGCCACGCAGTGTCTGTGCTACGCCGTATTACGAATCTGGATGTGAATCGAGTGTCCATGGTGTCACAGCATCGTGAGTCTCTTTCGGCAGCACTTCTGGCTTGCGCGCGGCACACAGAACTGCTGGAGAACCAGCGTGAAGCGGCAGCGTGTCTGTGTAATTTAAGTCTGGCGCAAAGCAACAAGCTCGTATTGGCGAGCAGTTCACCAGCGCTGTTCCAGCAGCTTTTTGCGTTGTGTACGTCTCCTGATGTTGAAGTGGCTCGGAATGCTTGTGGCGCTGCTGCAAACCTCGCAGAGAATATTCGCACACATGAATACATGATCGACGTTCACGCCGTCCACGTGGGGGTGAAGGCGATGCGAAGTCGACACCTTCCGGTGTACCGTGAAGCCTCCAGACTTGTCGCCAATCTCATGAGTACACCAGAATTCCACGCGGTGCTGCTCAACGAGGAAGGCCTTACTGCAGGAGCTCGCGTCGCCAAGATTGAAGACCACGAGTGCCAATACAACACGGCGCTCGCTCTGCACAAGCTTACAAGCAACTCCGATACTCACCGAGCGATGCTGGGCAGTGGATCGGTCCAGACGCTACACATGTTGCTTGGAGCTCCTGGGCTGGATGTACAGCGTCAAGCAGCGGCAGCTCTCAAGACTCTGACTGCGAATAAAGATAACAAGCCAACGCTAGCTGAGGACGGCGGGACCATGTTGGCACTGATCTCACTGCTACGGAGTGCCGACGCGACACTCAAGACCATGGGAGCCGCTGGAGTGCGGCATTTGGCTCTGTACGCGCCGGTGAAGACTCAGTTCGTGCACGAAGGCGGTCTTCCTCCTCTCTTTGCATGCTGTGCAGTGGACGACGATGACGTCCGACTTCAATGCGCTGGAGCGATGGCCACGCTGAGTGAAAATGTACTCAATCAAGTCCAAATGGTGCGTGAGGGAGCCCTCCCAGCTCTTCTAGAGCTCACAAAAGCCAGCTATCACGTGGAGATCGCGCGGCACACGAGTCGCACCTTTGCAAACTTGTCCAGCAATCCTGAGAACCACCTCGGGGTCTTTTCTCTTGAGGAATTCCGTGCCGTGTTCAAGCTAGCTCACAGCAACGAGGAGTTCTGTGGCCGCGATGCAGCCATGTGTCTCGGAAACCTGGCAGTCACGACGCACAACCAGTACCAAATCTCGGAGCTCGGCGGCCTCGTCCCTCTATCTGAGCTACTAAAGAGCAATTTTGCGTCGACACGGCAGTACGCTGCTCGAGCCTTTTACCGGCTCAGTGCTCACTCTGAAAACCAGCACCGCATTGTGGACGCTGGCGCGTTGCCTGCTCTGATTGCTCGACTCAGCGAGACGGAAGACCAGGAAATTCAGCGCTGTGCTGCTATGGCTGTCTGTAACTTGTCCAGTAACTCCAGCAACGAGCAGAAGATCATGAAGGCAGGCGGCATGCGCGCGCTGGTAGCACTGCTGCGATCCCCTAGTGTGGAATGCTCGAAGTACGCGGCCATGGCGCTATGCAATCTGACTGCCAACCCGGCTAATCAACTGCATCTCGTGGTGCAAGATGACGGTCTGGACCCACTCGTCGATCTCGCAGGGTCTCACGATCCAGAGTGCTCTCGATATGCCAGCATGACGCTCGCAAATGTATCGGCGCACCGCCAGAATCGCCTCATAGTCGTGGAACGTCATGCCCTTCGACCTCTACGGGCGTTGTGTTTGTCACCAAATCTCGAGTGTCAACGCAGCGCAGCCTTGGCCCTGTACAATGTGTCATGCGCTCAAGCAAACCAACTGAAGCTCGTGGAGGCAGGCATTGAATCTGCGCTCGTGCGTCTTGCAGGGGCAAAAGATGGGGACTGCAAGCGATACGCCACCATGACGCTGTGCAACTTGGCGGCAAACAGCGAGACCCGGTCAGCTGCTCCACGTGGCGGAGGGTTGCAAGCACTCTTGCTGGCTGCCAAGGACGCAGCAGATCCGAGTGTGCGTCGGTATGCCTGCATTGCGTTGTGTAACTTGGCTTGTGATCCGCTGCTTCAAGTCCAGGTACTCGTTCACGGCGGTCTCGCACCAATCCTTGCGCTCACTGAAGACGACGACGATCTGGAGAGTCAGCGGTTTGCCATCATGGCCCTGTCTAACTTGGCGGCGAACGAGAGCAACCACGATCACATGATCGGACGTGGGGTATTGAAGGTGGCACTACGGCTGGGCCAGTCGAAGGACGAGGACATCAGATTGTATGCGGCTTTCGCCCTGGCAAACTTTGCTGGGAACACAGCTCAATGTGCAGCAATTGGAGACGAAGGGGGCATCGCAGCGCTCATTATGCTGGCGCATGCAGAAGACTCCAACTCGCACACGCTGGCGGTTTCTGCACTCCGTCGCTTGTGCCAGTTCTCGGCTCAAAATCGTGGCCGCATTGTGCGCGGGGGTGGGCTCGCTCCGTTGGCTATCGCTGGCATGTCTGAGGAGCTGGAGACGCAGCGCGAAGTGGCCGCGACGTACTGTAACCTATCTCTCAGTGACGAGTACAAGGTGGAAATCGTTGAGCAAGGCGCACTCCGCCCGTTGATCAAACTGGCGCAGTCGCCTGACCTCGAGGTCGCTCGTCAAGCTTGTGGTGCCCTGGCTAACCTTGCTGAGCATCTGGACACACACTCCCATTTCGTGGCGGAACGCAGCGGGAACTTCCTCATCGCCCTCATGAAGCACCGCCACGAAGAAATCCACCGAGAGGCGTCGCGTACGATCGCAAATCTACTCTCAAGCTTCGAACACCACACGGATATGATAGCCGATGGCATCCCAGGCCTCGTTCATCTCGGACTCTCGCTGGATCCAGAGTGTGAGTATAATGCTGCACTAGCACTGCGGAAGCTTGCACCGAACTTTGCTAGTCATCGCGGACTGGTGTACGAAGGCGGACTAAAGACATTGTTCTTCCTACTGCACGCTAAAGAGCTGAATACGCGTCGACAGAGCGTGCTGGCACTGCGTGATCTAGCAGCCAACAGCGAGTTCCGACGCATGTACGTGGAAGAAGGTGGTCTCAAGGCTCTCATTACATTCCTACGGGATGTGAACTCCTCGCTGCAAGCTCCAGCGGTTGCAGCGCTACGGCACCTGACATCATCAGCTTCACACCCGGAGATCAAGCAGCAGGTTGTCGAAGAAGGAGCTCTGCGCCCAGTGCTGCGATGCATGAGCACAAATCCTGGCGCGAAGGGGCTTCGAGACTTGCAGTGCCAGTGTGCTGGGTTGGTGGCGAATTTATCGGAGCATCCAGCGAACCAGCAGAAGATTGTGGCTGAAGGTTTGACGAGTGCCCTTGTCGCGCTGGTCAAGGTCGCCCCCGACAGTGCCGAGATACTGCAAGACGTCAGCCGCGCGCTGGCCAACCTCTGCTCTAATGAGGAAAACCATCTTGCAGTATACAAGCAAGGCGCGCTGCTGTGCCTTATCCAGCTAACTGAGTCGGCGGATGACATCACGCAGCGATATGCGGCCATGGGCTTACGCTTCTTGTCGGCCAACCCAACCATTCGAGTGTACATCGTGCAAGAATCCCTGCTACAGCCATTCATCAAGTTGGCTCAAAGTCCGCTGCTCGACTACCAACGCACTGCAGCGGCGGCTTTCTCTAGCTTCTCTCTTAACGAAGAGAACAAACTCAAGCTGGTTCGCGACGGTGGTTTGGCGCAGATCCTACGTTGCTGTGCGTATGACGACCTGGAGGTGAAGCGCGACTGCGTTTTCGCTCTGGCGAATGTTGCAGACTCGCTCGAGCATCAACTGGACGTGGTGCGTGAAGGCGCCATCTCCGCCATGATAAACGTTGGCGCGCACGACGACGCTCGCGTGCAGCGTGACTGCGCACGCGTCTTCGCCTCGTTGTCGATCACCAACTCGATCAAGCCCGATCTGGTGCGTCGAGGAGCGCTGCCTTCACTCTTCCGCCTCACTCGGTCTCTGGATGTGGCCACGCAGAGGTTCGCGACGTTAGCGATCTGCAACGTTGCGTCATCGGGCGACGACAAGCCTTTCATCGTGGAGCAAGGCGCGATTCGACCGCTCACACACCTCATTCGCTTCCCTGACGCTCAAATTCAGCGGTACGCGGCGTTGGCACTCGCAGCTCTGGCGCTGGGGGGAATGGGCAACAACAAGCTGCGCCTGATCGAGGAAGGAGCAGTGCCCCCTCTCATCGACTTGCTCCGGTATCCGAGCGCGGACGTGCAGCTCTGTGGTTGTTTGGCCTTGAACGCGTTGGCTTTGGGGAAGCAGAGCGTGACGAAGGTGTCGGTGATGCAAAGTGGTGGGCTGCTACCTCTGTTAGCTCTGCTGGCGTCGACAGATGAGGAGTGCGTCCGCTGTGCGCTTTACTGTTTGGGCTCGCTGGCCGAGAGCAAGGACGTTCTGCAGAAGCTGGTGGAGCTGGGTACTCTCGCGCACGTGATAGCGTTGACCAAGTGCATCGACGCCGAGACGTTGAGGAACTGTGGGTACTTGTTGGCGTTGGTGGTGGAGCAACAGACCGACTACCACGACGATCTGTACCGTGAAGGAGGTTTGGACGCCGCGATCGCATTGGCCTGCGTCGAGGACATGGAGTGCCAGGAGTATGCGACCTTCACACTGGCCCATCTCGCATCCAACCGCGAGTACCAGGTCCGTCTTGTCGAGCGTGGCGCGCTTCGACCGCTTATCGCGATGATGTCCGTGCACGCCGAGCCACGCCACTACGCTGGACTCGCTCTCCTCAAACTAGCCGACAACTACGAGAACCACCTGCGTATCGCCGAGGAGGGCGGCATTCAAGCGCTACTTCGCATCGCGCGTGCCCGATCCACCGACGAGGAGCTGCAGTACAAGGCGTCGCTCAGTCTGGGTCAACTGGCAAGCAACGCCACTCGATCCCTACCCAACCATACCAATCTGAAGACGGGCGACGCCGTCATCGGCACGAGCTTCAACAAGATGGCTCAGATCACCCAAACGGTAGCTGCCAAGCGTGCCGCACGATAAAATCTCCCAACAGACGTACAAGTAACTTAGAGGGTGAATAGAGAGGTTGGTTCATTCTGGTTTAGATGTTCACGAACCGCCACTACCAGTAGGGACACCTTATACATCTTGACAATGGTGGGCAGCTCGGTGCGCAGTGGCAAGGGCGTGCCTCGATACACTCCGTGGCTGCAGAAAGCTCTGAAGGTGAAGGAGGAGACCGAGCAGTTCTGGCTCAAACAGCAGCGAGAGGGGCCCCAACAGCAGCAGCGACCGAGGTCAAGAGCGCCGGATCTCGCGTCGACGGCTCAAGCGGCAGTCTCGAAGCAGATTGCAGAGCGCAGCAAGAAGCCCGAGCCGTTCGTAAACGTGTGGGTCAGCATCACAGCAGATGATGCCCAAGCAGTCAAGACGTTCTTGGAGGAGGACAGACGTCGGTTCTTCTTGCGCAAGGACTATCTGGGCAAGGCCAAGCAGAGCGTCGAAGGTGGAGGAGGAGGCGAGTCGCTGCTGCATGAGGCGAGCTACTTGGGGTCCGTCGCGGTGGCCCGCTTCTTGGTCGAGTTCATGCAAAGCCACTTCACCCCTGAGGTCTGTCTTGAGGCTGTGAATGCCGTCGACACGCACTACAGCCTGACAACGCCCATGATCGCGACGTGCCGCAACTCGCTCGGTGCTGTCGCTAATAGGGTGGAGATATTGCGGTTGTTAGTGGAAGCTGGCGCGGACACAGCGCGCAGAGACTCGCATGGAGACAACGCGTTGCACTGGTGCGCTCGCAACTCGCAGGTCCTGCTGCTGCGCTACCTCTTGAAGCACACGGACGCCGTCGTCGTCGCCTTCTCAGCCGAAAACTACAAACGCCACAAGGTAAGTCGGTAGATTGTTGCTACTTGCTGTAAGACGAGAGCTAACGAACTGGTTGTTTTGCACTGCAGCCGCTGGACATTGCGCAGCGTCAGCTCGAGCGCAACAATTGCCTCTCGACTCTCACCGTGTACGAGCTGCTACAAGGCGTGAATCCGACGTGCAACCTACGCATGAAGATGCAGAGTATCAAGCGCAACGAAGATCTCGTTCGAGCTCGAGACTGTGCGGCTGTGCAGGAGCAGCTCGCTGAAGTGATGGAGATGTCGGCTGTGTTTGTCCCTACGGCTGAGAAGCTGTGGCGCGAGACGATCGAGCTGGCAGAGAGGCGACGTAAAGCTGAGGAGCAGCAGCGCGTGGACGAAGAAGTGAAGGCGGCTGTGGCTGCGGCTCGCGAGTGGCTGGAGACCAAAGAGGGCAAGCAGTTCGTCAAGAAGCAGATCCCGCTCGCCACCGCCGACATCAAGCAGGCCGTCTACAGCGGCAAGATGCCCAAGCCCAAGGACTTCAAGCTCGCGGCCGTACAGCGGGTCCAGGACCTCTTCTGCGTCGAGAAAGAGCAAAGCGCCAGGAAATCGGCCACCGAGAGCTTCGTGGCCCAGCGCCCGCCGTACCCTCGGGATCGCGTCACGGAGCTGCGCCGCATGCTGCACCTGTAGTTGGGGCCAACAAATGGCTACATGTAGCCATTTGTGCAGACAACTTCAACTTGGTTTAGCAAATCGAAATCTTTCGCGTCGCTTCAAGCGTAACGGCCTCCGCAGCAGCGGGTTAGACCACCACCTTCTGGGCAATTAGAGACGAAGCCATGATGAAGGCGACTGCGAGCGACGAGCAATGGGAGGCCAAGCCTCAGGTGGGTGCATCAGTGCTGGTTGCGTACCAGCCTTCCCCGTCAATACTGAAAGCTCTCGGTGTAATAGCGATCTGATATGGCTTGGTACCATTGAACGTGTTGAGCAGGCGACGAAGGCGAAGGCGGAGGCAAAGGTGAGCTCCAGCAACAGAATGTATCATCGATAAGGGTTAAAATGTGCTCAATTGCTGTGGATGTGTGCCTGTCGGCGCAGTCTTCTTCCATTCCGTCGCGGCTCGACACTCCTGCTGATGAGAGACGAGCGTATGTTCGTATCTGCTGTCCATAGTGCTCAAATACGGAGAATAATAACATTTTATTGTATGCGAGTACAGAGCCTCTCACCCTGCCGACGCCGAAAACAAGGCGACTGGTATGAAAGAGTCCAAGCTGAAGCAGCCAGAAGTGAAGATTCTGGATCGGCACCGCCCGGGAAACTCGTCGTCGTCAACTATGGCTGGACGAGCAGAGAGCAAGCTCGAACACTCCCAAGACGGTTCACTGCACACAGCGCGAAGTGTGCAGTCTCTTGCGAACGATATGCGGCGCATCCGATCTATGCGGACGGATCCCGAGGACGCTGCTGCTGCAGCTGAAGATGGGGGTCGTAAACCCAGAGTGGCCGAGAAGAAGAAGAGCGGTGAAGGGCGACTGGCGCCTGGTGGTCGGCCACGACCTGCGCAGATTAAACTGGAGATCGCGGATCTCGAACCGATGATAAATGTTGACTGTCCTTCTGGACAAGGAGCTCTGGGTCGTCAGGCACCAAGAAGTCCGAAGCTGTCGGGGCCGACCGCCTTCGCTAGGCCTGGGACTTCAACTTCACCTAAGGTCTCGTCCACAGGGAAGAAAGGTATTCAACGCAACTTTGTTCAAGGTCTGGGCTCGGATTTCCAGCTAGACTTGCACAGTGGCAGCACAGATCGACTGGAGCGCTCGTACGACTTGTCCGCGTCGGGGACATTCGACGCGGTGGGGTTCCAGATCAAGCAAACGGGTCTTACTCGATCGCCAGATCGGGATTCTGATGGCGTTTCGAGCACTCGGTCCGACAGACCGCCCAATACCAAGAAACATTTGGTGAAGCTTGGTGTTCTCGGTCGTGGAGCGAGCGGAGTAGTGCACAAGGCGCTTCACGTTCCGTCCCTGATGCTCGTGGCTGTGAAAGTCATCCCGGTGTTCGAGCACGAGAAAAGACATCAGTTGATCGCGGAGCTAAAGGCGCTGTACAACAATCTGTCTACGCTGCCGGATGCTGAGAGTGTGGAGAATGCCCGACAGAGCGTGGCGTGTCCGGAGCTCGTGTGTCTCTACGACGCCTTCATGAACCCGAACGAGGGCAACGTCTCGATCGTGGTCGAATACATGGATGGCGGCTCGCTTCAGGACATCGTGGACACTGGAGGCTGTACCAGTGAGGTGGTGCTGGCCAACATCTCCTTCCGCGTGTTAAAGGGCCTGGCATTTCTCCATAGCACACACCAACTGCACCGTGACATCAAACCGAGCAATCTACTCATCAACCATTTTGGTGATGTCAAAGTCTCGGACTTTGGGATCGTGCGCGAAATGGAAAACTCTATGGCCAAAGCCACAACGTTCGTCGGCACACTCACCTACATGTCCCCCGAGCGTATCGCCAGCGAGGTCAGATTCAACTTCCGCTGCATATTTCTCCTTCAGGCCAGCTGATACTAACTTGATCTGTATAAATGCTTTGTACTTTTCAGGAGTACTCGTACAAGTCGGATGTGTGGTCTTTCGGACTCTCCATTATGACCTGTGCTCTCGGTAAGTTCCCATATTCGTCGCGCGGTGGATACTGGGAACTGCTGCACATGATCCGCAATGAACCTGTACGCTCTTTTGCGTGGGCACTTCTTGAATTTTGTACGTTCGTATCTGACCATTGTTTGTTTGCTTGCTTTGCTAGCCTCCTCGCCTCCCCGAGGGTGAATTCTCGGATCTGTTCTGCGATTTCCTCGACAAGTGCCTCAAGAAAGATCAAACTGAGCGGTGGAGTGTTAAACAACTGCTGAAGCACGAGTTCATCTTGCAGTACTGTGGGGACCAAACAGCAACGCCAAGTCCGGGCAGTAGGAGAACTGCTGATGAAGAGGAAGTCGACGCGAAAAACGTCGACGATGAGAGCAAGGAGCAAGCTGAGGTGGACGAGATCGTGCAAAAGGTGGCTGAACATTACTTCAAAGACGCCAAGGAGCTCATCAAGGAGCACGACTACACGCTGGACGACATTGCCGCGTGGATTCAACTGCTCCCAGCCATGCAGAAAGTGTAAGTCTCTTTCGTAGCTCCACGCTATTTCTATGGTATCCCTCACGTCGCAACGTTGGTGTGTGTTATGCAGCAAACTGTCACGCTTCGCTGAACAAATTGGCGCAAACCGTACGCTGGTGTGCGCCAAGTTCCAAGAAGCTATGAATGATCTGCTCAACGACATCGAGGACGCCTACTTTCTCGATGCCAAGCCACAGTCAAAGTGACGAGTGTGTACTCAAGGACTCTGAACGCCAGCATCAAAAACAACCGCCGTCAACAACGACTATCAATTATAAGTTACATTTCTGCGGCGCAATGAAGGAGGCGGCGGACAAGCTGCTGGGGAGCGTTCTATCGATCCTCTCCTTGCCTCCACTGCTTCGTCGCCGATTTTATATAAAAAAAAGCAAATATACCACCGCTTTGTCCGCAGATTTACATGACAATGCACGCATTGTCACCTCCCCCTCCATTACTACCGCTCTTCTTCTTGGTGTCCTGGTTGCCACTTCCAGCGTTCGTCCGGAACGAAAAGTTCCGACGAAGATAGCCGCGCAAAGCACGGTGCTCCTTCTTCAGCAACAGGAAGGCGTCCTTCAGAGAGTTGTGGTTCTCTGCCGTCGCAGTCTCCTCCATCACGTGCTCGGTAGCAAGCTGTACACGGAATGCTGCCTTAGAAACACGCATGGCTGCAACGTAGGCGGACGACCCCTTGAGCGAGTGACTTTCGCGGCGCAGCACAACGAAGTCACTGCTGGCATACGCCTCCTCGATACGCCTCATGAACTCCTCGCTCAGACCTGCGAACTTCTCCAGCAGGCTCACGAACAAACTCTCGTTTGCACCACACTGCTCCACACCCAGCGAGTAATCGATAGGATCACCAGTTGGTATCACGATGTCTTCAGGCGCCATTGTCGACGAGTATGCTCGTGCCGCCTTGTTCACTACCATTGTCGAGCTGGCCGCATCACCAGCGTCGTGCTGATTGTTGGTATCGTTAGCTGACGAAGGTGAGCGGGGAGCAGGGGGCTCGACTGCATTCATGGGGTAGATTCCTGCTGCCTTCGCGGCGGCAAACAAATTCGTACCCACAATACTCGATGCGTTCACCAGGTTTCCAGGATGCGCCACTGCACCATTCGAAGGTTTGGTCGTAGTTGACGATTCAGGTGCTTCATTCTGGCCATCTGCAGCACCTAGAGTGCGTCCAAGAGTTCCTGTACTCGATTGGTTACTTTTGCTTTCGCTGATGGTAGTGAGCGACATGAGCAAGGCTTCTGAGCCTGCTGCTGTCTGAATTCCACCAGGTTGGCCGATCATCATCGGATCCTCGAGCTCTAGGTCTGAGATGGCTCGGTCCAAATCCAGTTTTTCTTTGTGTCTAGACGCAGCTACCAGATTGGCAGCGTTTTGGCAAGATGAGGTAGCAGCAGAATCTTCTCCAGCAGTGATCACGGATTCGACTCGTGACGGCCGGGGGCAGTGCTGTCCCAAGAATCGAACACGCATCCACTTGCGAATAGCCTTTCGCAGCTCCGTCTTTGAGATAGGTTTGACAATGAACTCATCCATACCAGCGTCCAGGCACTTCTTGCGGTCCCCACTCATGGCGTACGCTGTAACTCCGATAATGGGAATGCGCGCAAGCTTGTGCTGCTTTTCGAAGTTACGGATATTACGAGTTGAATCGTAGCCGTTCATGATCGGCATTTCGCAGTCCATCAGCACAATGTCGTAGGAATCATGATGCTCTTGATACATCTGATACGCGTCCAGGCCGTTCGTCTCCCATTGTAGCAGGTGGTTGTCTTCCATGAAGAAGCTCTTGACGACCTCCCAGTTAAACTCATTGTCTTCCACCACCAAGATACGAGCATGTTTTGGCACCAGCTCCGACATCGACGCATTATGCCTCGCATTGCTGGCTGTAAGCGAAGGAGTAGCATTTGCATCGACAGCTAAGACGGCAGGAAACTTCTGGATGAGATCGTCCTCCTCCTCTTCCAGGCGACGAACGACAACAGTGAAGAAAAACTCCGAGCCTTCGCCCAGTTCACTGTCCACATCAATATCACCGTCCATGAGCTCGACCAACTGCTTGCAGATTGCAAGACCCAAACCAGATCCCGTTGGATTATTCTTGCGCGTACGTTCAAGCTTCGTGAACAGTGAGAACAAGCGCGATTTCTCTTCGTCGTCCATGCCAACACCAGTATCGATGACCTGGAACAGCAGTTTGACGCAATGCTTCGGAAGGTCAGGTGATGGCACCATGTTGCAGCGGACGGTAATTGAACCCTCGTTCGTAAACTTAATAGCGTTCGACAGCAAGTTTAGCAGCACCTGGCGAAGACGACTCACGTCGCCAATGACGCGCTTTGGAACCTTCGGGGAGCATTCCAACGTGAGCTTGATGTGCTTTTCGCGCGCCTTGAACTTGAAGATCTCCACTGAGTACTCCAGCAGATCCTGCATTTGGAACGGGTCTGCTGAAATTTCCATGTGCCCTGCTTCTATTTTCGACAAGTCGAGGATGTCGTTGATTAGATTCAGCAGCAGCGAACCCGAAATGTAAGCAATGTGCACGTAGCGTTCGGGCGTCTTGTCCAACTTCTGGTCGCGCAGTAGCTCGAGCATACCGAGTACACCATTCAGCGGCGTTCGAAGCTCGTGACTGAATGAAGCCAGGAAGTTCACCTTCGCTGCCTCCATGTGCTTCTTTGCGGTGTAGTCTTGACCCACTCCAATCACGCCACGGATGTTGCCGTGCATGTCCTTCTTGCTGGAAGCATTCACAAGCAACAGCAACGATCGTCCAGCGGCAGTTGTCATGGGAAGCTCCATCTCCTCCACATCAATTCCAATTAATGCTTGATTCAACAACTTGCTCACCTCTGACCTGTTCTCCGGGTTAATAAAAGTCTCCACCAACTCCAGACCTAGAACCGTGGACTTGTGATAGCCCGTGATCTCCTCAATTTTCTGGTTCCATTCGTTAATGCATCCAAACGTGTCAACGCCAAAAATGGGGGCATTAGCCGTATCGATCAGACGGAAGTATTCATGTTCCTGGGCAATGCGATCCGTAATATCCTGGCCAATACCCACGACACCCACAATGTTACCATGCATGTCGTTACGAGGTGTAGCATTCAGAAGAATCTCAATTCTTGTGCCGGGACGAGTGATAAGAGGGAACTCGAAGTTCGCAGTCTGGATACCATTTAAAGCCTTGCTGAACACGTCAGCCACAATAGGCCTATACTCGGGCGAGATGAACGTTTCAACCAGGTTCTCACCGATAACCTCAGCCGTCGAGTACTTGGTAATCTGGGCTGCCTTTTTGTTCCAGATATTCACACAAAGGTTTGCATCCACGCCAAAAATCGGTGCGTTAGCCGTGTCGATCAGGCGAGTGTACTCTTGCTCTTGAACAATACGATCAGTCAAGTCCTGGCCGATGCCGACCACACCCACAATTTCACCATGCTGGTCGAACCGCGCCGTCGCATTCATGCGGATGTTTACAGTGCGACCATTCTTTTTCTTCAGTTCGACATCAAAATTTGATGTTTCATCGCCGTCGAGGGCCTTCCACAGGATGTCTTCCACAGCATCACGGTACAACTCAGGAATAGCCCAGCTCATCAAATCCTTGCCAACTGCTTCCTCCTTCGAGAATCGTGTCATTTCAGCACACTTGTGGTTCCAGATATTGATCAGTCCCTTCGAGTCGACGCCAAAGATCGGAGCATTAGCCTTCTCAATCAAGCGCGCATACTCCTGTTCTTGTGCGATACGATCCGTAATATCTTGACCAATACCCACCATACCAATAACAGTTCCGTGTTCATTGAATCGAGGCGTCGCATTCAACAGGATCTCGACACGGCGGCCTGCCTTGGTGACCAACGGGAACTCAAAGTTTGCAGTCTCCACTCCATCAAGCGCCTTCGACAGGACTGCGCTGACAGCTTCACGGTAGTCCTCCGTGATGAACTTTTCCACCAGGTTTTCACCGACGACTTCGTCCGTTGAATACTGCATAATCTCAGCGGCCTTCTTGTTCCAGATATTCACGCGACCTTCGCTATCCACTCCAAAGATGGGTGCGTTGGCAGTGTCAATAAGTCGGCTGTATTCCTGCTCTTGCGCAATCCGCTCCGTAATATCCTGGCCGATACTCACCACTCCAACAATTTCTCCCAGCTCATTGTATCGCGGAGTGGCATTTAACAAAATCTCCACGCGACGCCCAGACTTCGTGATGAGTGGGAAATTAAAGTTGGCGGTTTGGACGCCATTCAGAGCCTGTGATAGGACCAAGCCCACGGCAGATCGATAGCCTTCAGAAATAAATTCCTGCACCAAGTCTTTACCGATGACCTCGTCAGCCGTGAATTGCGTGATTTCGGCAGACTTGTCGTTCCAAATATTTACAAGGCCGGTCATATCGACTCCAAAGATGGGTGCGTTAGCCGTGTCGATCAGTCGACTGTATTCCTGCTCTTGCACGATACGCTCGGTAATGTCCTGGCCAATGCCGACAACGCCGACGATGTCACCGTGCTGGTTGTAGCGCGGGGTCGCATTTAGCAAGATATCTACACGACGACCGGTCTTTGTAATCAGTGGAAATTCGAAGTTAGCGGTACCTTCACCTTCCATAGCCTTCGACATCACATCGGACACGCCAGCGCGGTAGTCGTGCGGAATAAAACTCTCAACCAGGCGAGTTCCGCGTGCCTCAAGCACCGTGTACTCCGTGATCGCTACAGCCTTTCGATTCCAAATATCCACACGTCCGTCCATGTCAATACCGAAAATCGGTGCGTTGGCCGTATCAATCAGTCGGATGTACTCTTCCTCTTGCGCCCGCTGGTCGGTGAAGTCCTGTCCGATTCCTACCACGCCAGTAATTTTACCGCTGTGATCGAAGCGCGGGGTGGCATTGAGTAGAATGTCCAGCACTCTCCCAGTCCTCGTCACCAAAGGGAACTCAAAGTTTGCCGTTTCTGTACCAACCATTGCTTTGGACAACACGTCTGCCACGGGCTCACGTGCGTGCTCAGCGATGAATCCAAGGAGATCCTTGCCGATAGCCTGCTTGTACGAGTAGTCCGTAATAGTTGCAGCCTTCTTGTTCCAAATAGTCACGCGGAACTTCTTGTCCACGCCCACGATCGGAGCGTTGGCCGTGTCAATGAGGCGGCTGTACTCTTGCTCCTGCACGATACGCTCGGTGATATCTTGGCCAATTCCCACCACGCCCACAATGGCGCCAGCGTGATTAAAGCGCGGAGTGGCATTCAACAGAATCTCGACCTTCCGGCCGTGCTTTGTGATCAGAGGAAACTCAAAGTTAGCCGTCTCAATACCGCGTAGCGCCTTCTGGAACACTGCAGCAACTTCCTCGCGATAGTCTTCGTGAATCAAGAACGACACCAGGTCAACGCCCATGACCTCACCCGGCCAATATTCACTAATCTGGGCAGCCTTTTTGTTGAAGATTACCACGCACCCGTCCGCGTCGACGCCGAAAATGGGGGCGTTAGCCGAGTCCACCAGCTTGCTGTACTCCATCTCGCTGGCGTTGCGCGCAGTCACGTCCTGTCCGATGGCCACGATGCGGTTCACGGTGGCGCCAGCGCTATCCACACTAACCTGCGGCGTCAAGCTCAGCAGCAGCTCCACACGCGCGCCGCTGGCCGTCACAAGCGGCAACTCGAACTCTGATACTGATGTGTTGGTAGAAGCCACGCGCGCCAGCAGTTCACCCACCAGCACGCGGAAGTCTTCGTGCACCAGGTCAACCAGTGGCGTGCCTGTGACTTGGTCAAAGCAGTAGCCCGTCAGCGCCTCCGCCTTGGGATTCCACAGCACAATGTGTCCGTCGCGATCCAGCTCCACGATTGGCGCGCTCGCCTGATGCGTCACGCGCGCGAACTGCGAGCCTTGCAGGGCCGACACTGTGACGTCCTGGCCGATGGCCACGACGCTGGCCGCCTCGTTGTCGTCCGCGTCCACCGTCAGGTTCACGAGCAGCGTCACGTTCCGGCCGAGTTCGGGCGTGTTGAGTTCAATCTCGACATCTCTCACGGTCGTGTCGGCGTCCGCCAGTGCCTGCTCCAGTCCGCGCGTGAGCTCCGCGGCCTTGGCCGCCGTCACCAGCTCTGTCACGGGGCGGCCCGCGACGTCGCTGGCCAGCAGCCCGGAGATCTGCGCGAGCTTAAGGTTCCAGAACGTCACGCGGCCGGCCGCGTCCATCGCGAGCGCGGGCGCGTTGGCTTCATTGAGCACGCGGAAGAGTCGGGGGCTCAGGCCCGAGACGGGGGCGGAGGCGGAGACCGAGGCCAGCGCCGGCCGCCGCGCGTCGGCGTCGATGCCGCTGCCGCTGCTGCAGTTGCTGTCGCGACGAGAGCGCCGCGTCCCGGCCGCTGCTGGAGGCGCGGCGCTTGTGTTGCTGCTGTGCTTGGGCGGCTGCATCTTCTTCTGCTTCTTGTCGCTGTTCTGCTTCTGCTTCTGCTTGGTCACGAGGGGCGCCTGCTTCTCGCTGCCGGGCCGACATGGCATCGCCGCTCCGCTGTCCATGGACTGGTCTGGTCTGCTGCAGCCCTGAGTTGCTACACTGCGAGAAGGGAAGGAAGGAAGGGCGAGACGCGGCGCAACACGCAGACCGGCCGGAATATCGAAAGAAAGGGCGCCAAGCGGTGCGTCCCACGGCGCGAAAGCGGAGCGGGGGGCGGGGGAGGGCGGTCGGTCGGTCTCTCTTCGCGTCTGTGGCGTGCCTCTCGCTGTGAGTCGAGGGCCTCGACGGGAGAAGAAGGAGGCGACGACGGAGCGCGGGCGAGCGGCTTTTCTAGTGTGTGGAGGGCTCCTGTCTCGGCGAGTGCCGCTCGCGATTTGTAATGGAATGCGGCTTCTCTGGGCGCCCAGCTGGGGGCGGTATCCCACCCGCTATCTTTCCCCTCTCGGGATCAGCTATGGCAAGTCGGCCGCGCCGGCATCAACTCCGGGTTTTGGCGAAGTATCGGATACAGTAGAGTAGTGGTTCTCTACGCGTGTACTGCATGGAACACTGCCGGCACTACTGACCTGCATTGGAGAGAGCTACGAACTGTATCTGCTGTAGTATTGTAAGAGGTTACATGCGCCGTAAGCAAGTGCAAATTGAAGCACCTGGTGGAGACCCAGCGGCTGGCGTCTAAATCGCATGGCGGCAACTCTAGATTGCCAGCAGCACATCTTGTAAATCGCGATCGCGATCCCGTACCCTTCCGCAACGCTATGGTCCGACGTAATCGAGCACACATAGAGCGTAGCAGAGATCCCGCACTGCAGGCTGCGAGAAGCTCGCATGTTGTTGCAGGAAGCTCGCCGGCACTTTCAGTTGCGAAGGGTATCGACTTGCAGGAGGGGAAACTTTGCGCGTAGGATGGTGACTTGAAATCGCAATCGGACACTCGCTGTGAGCCAATGGTTGATGAGAGGCCCGTCTCTGCGTCTTATTTTTCCACCAATGACGAACACGCCCCGCACAAACCGATCGTCCGAGCGTCGCATCGCTGCAGGCCCACTTGCTGGGGCAGGACTTACGTACACAGTCTATTTTCGGTGATATCTTGGAGTTTGTATAGGCAGCCCATCACCCCACAATGTGACGACCTACCCGCAGGACGGATGTCATCCGCGGGAAATGGCTTTGCTCCGCTGCGCTCCGCAAAGGCAGTCGCTGCGCTCCTGCGATAAAAAGATTCTCTCACCTGGCGAGAACAGTGCTCGGCTCGCTGGAATGCTCGTCGCTGGGCCCGCCTCCGCAAATACCGCGCGGCCCTGCTACGCGGGCACCCCGCGCGGGTTTGCTGCGGCTACGCTCCTCGCAACCGCGAGCCTCCGTTGGTCCTCTTCTATATCACATTCACCCCCCCTCGACCCCCATCAAAAAAAGACTGTGTACGTAAGCACTCTCCACTTGCTGGTCATGGGCCACATTGGATCACCGCGACGGTGGGCCGTCGCGCCGCGTCTGCCGGCGTGCCGCTCTCGCTGGGCTTTCGTCTTCCCGGCTGACTGCGCTGCGCGCGCGGCTTGAAGGCGCGTGCGGGCGTAGAAGCCGTGCCCGCGCAATATTTCGCGCAGGAGCGCCGGCGCGATTTGACTCAAATCGGCTGCCGGCATGCCGGCATCGCATGGGTGCAAGCGAGCTCCTGTGTCGCCGCCTTGCTTAAGCTGCCGGCTACAGTAGCTTTGCGGTGCGGCGCATCACGGCGGCTTCCGGGCCGATCCTGGCTCGAAGTCGCGTGGCGGACGGCCAGAGGCCTTGCTGGCATGACGGTTTGACACTGCCAAATCGCCAACGTGGCGTGGCACATGATCATGCAATGTTGCCGAGCCAGATGGAGGAGTAACGCGGCAGCAACGGCAGTCAGTGGCAAGGGCTGGCGCCTGTTGCGGGTTTGCCTTCAAGGCGGTGCCTCGAGCACCTTGGTCCCGATCGGAGACCTAGGTAGATGGCGGTGCGACATGGCTTGGCTGTCGATCGCGCTACTGTAGCCAGCGCAAGGGGACAACCCACCCGTACTGACGTGGCCGAGCAGACGCAGGGCTGACTCAGGCGCCCGACACGAAATACTTGCTGTGGGGAACATGTATTTCGATAGCTTCTCCTGCCTCTCTGCCTCTGTTTCTGCGTGGGGCCGGCCGATGCTGGCCCCGTTTTCCTGGTTCCTCCTCCTCTCCCTCCGCCCGCCCCCGCATGCCTCCTGCAGGTTTCCGCCACACACGTCATTCACAGCACTTCAGGACCGGACACTGGCGGCAGCAAGCGAAAGTTGCGCGTCGAAGACCCTTCTCGTCCTTTGTACGCCTCTTGCATCGCGGTGAGGAAAGGAGCAAGCACGCAAGAACGGCCAAGACGATCGCAACCGCGCCGCCGCTGACTGTCGAAGGACATCAACAACAAAACCGTGGGTGTCTCTAACAGCAGCCGCTGCCGCCGCCGCTCTTCTCCGCCTTGCCGTCGAGCTTCCGGCCGCGACTGCGTGGTGCCGTGTTGGACAGGAGCGCGGGGTTTTCCAGAATCTACGCCATATCAGCACAGTAGGCGTCCGTGAGTCAGCCCCATCAACAAAAATCGAGCCACGCCGCGTCCTACCTTCTGCACTACTTCGTTGAACACTTGCTGGATGCCGATCTTGGTCTTTGCGCTACTCTCGACAAACAGCATGCCTTTCGACCGCGCCCAGTCCTCTGCCTCCCGGCGGCTCACCACTCGTTCCTGTCACCACCATTGGCGTACATTTAGATACCATCGCCACGACGCAAGAGCTCAATCAGGCACGGTCAAGCTTACCTTGTCAATCTTGTTTCCCACGAGCAGCTTCACTACGTCGCGTCCGCCCGCCGGGCTGTACACCTCGACCTCCTGCAGCCACAGGTCCAGGTTCTCAAACGTGTCTCGCCGAGCAACGTCATACACTGTTTCACCATGTAAAAGCCACCAGCGACAGCAGCGTAAGAACATCAAGCCTGCACACCCATCCGCAACATTTCGCCTCGCAGCTCCTGCCTGCTTACCCAGAACGATGCCCTGCGCGCCTCTATAATACGAACTCGTGAGCGTGCGGAAGCGCTCCTGGCCGGCGGTGTCCCAAATAGTCATCTTAATCTTCTTGCCGTCCACCTGCATCATCTTCACCTTGAAGTCGACACCTGCACACACCCACGAACCCTGTCAAGTCCCAGTCCGGATGTACGAAAAAAAGCAAAGGCCGGGCGCCACTTCAAGCACGCGAATGCTCGTCCTTTTCCGCTTACCGATAGTGCTCTGCAGGTTGTCGTCGAAGGTGTCATCGGTGAACCGCAGCAGCATGCTACGAAGTGCAACAATAACAACGGAGCGAGCGAAAATGAGGGAAAAGCGCCGAAAACCCCCACATCGACCGCAGACTCACCTGCTCTTGCCGACGCCGGCGTCTCCGATGAGCAGGAGCTTGAACAAGTGGTCGTATCCGTCCATTGCAACAGGATCTGCGCGGGTCCGAGGTGCCACGTGCACACAACACCACATCGTCGTTAGAACGAGGAGCTACGTCAGTCGCCAGCAGGAGTCGGCGTTGCGCGCGGTCTGGCCGAGGACCCGCGCGACGTGCACATGCACGCACAACAAACGGGGGAGACGCGCTACCTGCAGGACTGAAGCTGTGGGCGGCGCGGGACGGGGACCGTGGCGACGGCCGTTCGTTCTCTTCGGGCTCTTGCGCTTCCTTCTCTCGACGAGGCCAGTCTCTGTATTAGCCGACCAGAAAACCCGCGCAATTTCTTTTCGGCCAATCGGAAGGACCCATCAGCTCATCCCCTCCAAATTTGCATATGTTGGACCTCTCGAACTGCATAATGCGTGTCAGGAACCAAACTCACAATCAATTGGCAATTTATTGCTCCTGACCATCATGGCTGAGGTGGCGCCTCCGCCGGCGCTGCACACGCAGAAGGAGCGCAAGGTACGGGGCGTTAACAGAGAGAGCAGAGCCAGTATGGGGCGTGTTGCAGCTTGTAGCTGACTGGTTTTGGGCTGCTGTGCGCAGGAAATCAACGGAGTGCCGACGGACATCGCCGTCTCCATCTTCGCGGACCGCGTCTTCATCGTAGCGACGCAGCTGGGCACCTTCGGCACGCTCGTAAGACTGCAATAGATGCAACACCAAGGGTTTTATATGGGAGTCTGATAGGTGGTTATTGTTTTTGTTTGCTGTGCTGCCAGGTGGAGGCGCACCAGAAGGATTCGATCAGCGGCAAGCTCCAGCCCGATATCCACGTCCGTCTCGGGCGGCGCGATGACCCGCTGCTGCTGGTGTACGCGCGGCAGTTCCTGGAGCATTTCGGGTGCGTTGTGCCGCTGAGTGGGGCTCTGGATGGTGTTGGTGTAGGCTAACGAGAGGATTCCTTTGTCGGACGGTGTGCTTGTGCAGCGTTCCTGTCGGCCTGCCGATCCTGGCGGCCATCGGACTGAAGGATCGGTCGTCGGACACGTTCGAAGTTGTGATGCAGAGTGTGAAGGAGCTGTTCGCTAAGGCCCAGAGCGCACAGGGCGAGCCGTAAATTGTGTAGAGGCTAATAGGGAACGTGATGCTTTGGATCCAGCTCCCATACATGGGGAAAATATCATTTGGATGGTACAACTGGATCTGGACCTCGTCGAGCAAAGGACAGCCCTTCAACGCAGCTTGCGCGTCGGTAGCAAGGAAGCCGTAGCTTGGGCGTTCGCTGAAATCTTGAGCATAAAAAACTAAATGTCGTACTTAACCGAGGTTATTATTAGCTAATCAAAACCAAGAGATTAAAACATTGCCGTTTTAACGGCGATGTTTAAAATAATACTTGCTTCAACTAGCTTAGAGACAAAATGTCGTCCGCCTTCCCCTTCATCGGTGCGTTCCTATTCATTCACTGCTGATGTCCTCGTCATCTCTCATCGGCTGCGGGGTTATGCTGTCAGAGCAGACATTTTTGCCCGCTTAGAGAGCGCGTTGCGGGGAGCCTTCCATTGGCGCGGGGTGAGAGCGTAACGAAACCATGATTTGCTTGTTGAATCTAACTTGAGTATGCAACGCAGAACTCGCAGCTAGCCATTGCTCTCACGAGTCTGTGGGAGATCTGGAGTCTCCACCCGGAGCTGCATCATCGAGCTCTAGCCACACGTCCGACCGAGTTTCGTTATGGCTGCATAGAGCTCCACGACCTCACGCATGTTCTTGTTGGTATTGGTACTTGGTGGCAGGCAGCGCGTTGTTCAAGATCGTGGTGTTGCGCGTGCTGCGTGCTGTCGACGACGAAGCTCAGACGCGCAACCTCCCGATCCATCAGCTGGTATCCTCGTCACATTTGGTTCCTTGTTGTCTAGAGTCGAGCTGACGCACTTCAATCTGCACTGCTTGGCCTTCAGCATACACTTGTGCGTCTGCTACACTCGCTTGTGAGCGGGAGTATATTGCTACTGAAGTTTACACAGCAGGTTTGTTGATGGGGCCGGCATCCATCCGCCGATACACTCCACCCCTGCGTTAACCACTCTGGTTTTGCAGCTAGATGCAGGTGCCAGCAGCATCGAGCGAGTCCAGCAAAGATTCAGCGAGTTTACCTCAGGCTGGAAGCTTTGCACGGACCTGTGTCAGCTCCTTTCCTGCTCGTTGACGGTACGGTATGAGTTGGTCCTCGATGGCTACGACATCATGGCTGGCGCAGATTCGCTTTGCACCCTACCAGCCTCTGACGATGGAACTTGCTCCGTTGCCTCGGTTCGCACGACATATTCTATCACCTCGTCCAAATGTTCGGTTGCCAAGCCCGCGGCTCGCTTTGAGTCCAAGCGAGCGTACTACCAGTCCGCCATCGCCAGAGATGTGATTCAGGAAGACGAAGACAACCCAGCCTGCGAACGGTTCAAGCTCAAGACTTTGGAAGAACACCGGTTCGCCACCCGCTTCCAAGAGAAACGAGTCACGCCAAAAACCTGGCGGTCAGCTCTACGCGAAGCCCACATACTGATCCAGTCCGGGGAACGTGTAAATCTCGTCGATGCGCTGTATTTGCTACTGGAGATCATTTGGCTCGACCCACGCGGGTGCAACCTCGCCTCGATGTATCTGGACACAGGATCTATCTATCTTGAGTTCAATCATCTCACAGAAGCTGTAAAATCATATCGCAACTGCGTACGCCTCGACCCGTCCAACTGGAAAGCGCGGTACAACCTGGGCATTGCCTCGGCCCGGTCACAAGACTTTGTCGAGGCGATTCGTCAGCTTAAACTGGCGTTGAAGACGTGTCCGGCAGACATTGCTGTGGAAATTGTGTCAATTTTCGAAGAGATCGACCGCATTCAGTGCTCCAAGAATCTACGTGCTTTTAACGCAACGAAGCCGGCTCGAGCGTTCACCAATCAGTATCTCGAATCGGTGCACTTTGCTGCTGGCACTTGCCGGAAATCTGAGGTGTCCAGCGCTTTAGCTCTACAGGAGGATCACACGCTCAGCCACAGGAATGGTTTGCCTCTAGGCTCTAATACGCCGCAGCTGATGGACGTCTCTCGTGAGTGGCAAGGACCGATGGCGTCGCTGTTGCATCGGCTGTATGGATTCTCCAGATGTCGTCACACGAGCGTCCAAGAGGAACTGCGTCGACTTGACCCAACACGTTCGGGAGGATTATCTCTTCAAGCACTTTCCGAGGTGGCGGCAAGAATCACAGGCACACCTCTGCGTGCAACAGAGCTGAAAGCGCTGGACTTCATGCTAGGCAACGAAGGGTACGTTTCGAGGCAGCGTTCACGCGGTCGTGCTCCAGTTACTCTCGGTCTAATCGTATCGCTGTCCTGCAGATCCATCATCTTCCACTTCTTGACTCCGAATACTGACAGCGTTCATGTCCTTGACGAGATGCTGAGCCTTGGTGCGTATCATGCGCTGCTGGAGTTAAAGTTACATCAGAAACGCGCACAGCGAAGTGTTACGAGCAGAACTGGAGGGCTGTGGCGCTGGTTTGATATCACAATGGCAAAATGGATTAAGCAAGTGCTGCCTCAGCAAGAGCATGCAGCTTCAGCACTGATAGAAAGCCTTAGCGTTCATGGCTGGGTAACGCCCATGGACTTTGCTTGGCAATGGAAGCGAATGCCGGAACCTGATGATTTGCCCATGCTTAAGCTCGCAGATCGCGGCACGTTTATTTATGAATGCCACCGTGTACGCTCTTGCATCCAGGAGGAGGCGAGGTGCACTTTGCAAATGTTTGCCCGGCGTACTCTCATCCAAATCAAACGAGGGAAGAATACGATGCTGCGTGGAACTCGACCGGTCGAAAGTAACAGTAAAAGTATGCCGGAATTCCACTTGTCGGAGGACGTGTACGCCAGACTGGCCACGGAGACACTCCTCGATCAACAAATTGCCAGAGAAGTCCTTCGCTGCCTGGACGATATGGTGGATGATCTGATGATGAGCTCTCGCCAACAGCAGTGTAGTTACGAAGACGCTGTGGCCTGGCAAGACATTCCCGTGAGGTCAGAACAGCGGCAGAAGGTCATCTCGGCCGTGAGCGTAGTGCAAACGGCTGTGCGCACGAAGGATTCTGCATAGATTTCGTATATTCACAGCAGATTTATCAACAACGTGTCGGACATTGACAACACGGTATCACTCAATTCTGCGGCAGTCTGCTCGACGAGGTCATCCAGAAGCATTTCTTCCAAGCTGCAAGGATACATAGAACATGTTAGCTGACGAGAGCTGAAGCTCTCGCGAGAAGTATATACCCACATTTCAATGACAGCAAACTGCGCCATTCCAGTTTCTGCAAGAGATGATTCGACGAGTCGACGGTGGTGCTGAAACTTGTGTCTTCTTCTCTCGATAGACTGGAGACGTTTGCCTTCCAAGATGGAAGTCTTCACTGGATTCCCAATCAGAGCTTGTTGTGCTGATAACTCGTCTCTGTCGAAGTCTTCGTTCTGGCTGGTAGTAGGAGCAATAATTTCTCGAAGCTCCTGGGTCGGTGTAGTGTTGTCCGGAATGTTGATATTCATCACCACCTCCAGCGGTAGTCTCAGGTGTTGAAGGTCGGTGCCGTTGCTTTGAGTACGAGCACAGCTTGCGTCTTCATGCCGTAAAGCCGTGGGGAGATCGCATTTAGTGCCTGGAATATCATAGCTTAGAGCAAGGCCTTGCTGAATCATGCTGTCTTCTTGTCGTTCGATGTCTTGAATGCGAGCCAATATATCGTCCAGCTGGTCCGCGTGGTGGGCCTCTAGCTGGCGGTAGGACTGCTGCTTGTCCTCGTCGTTTAGCAACTGCACCGTGTCCTTCGTATTCGTATCAACCAACGAGTTAGACTACTGAAAACTCGCCTAGTTCAGAGAATGACTTACCAGTAAGATGTCGTCCAGAATGGCTGATGCGAGCATATCTGAGTTTTGAGCGATTGCGGCCATGTCGCCTGGGGGCAGGAAAAGCGACAACTTTGAACCATGTCGCTGCTGAATCTCCCGAAGTGTGGCTTCAGCTTGATGCACTAGTGGAAACAGAGAAGCCTTAATGTAGCAAGTCAGCACAACATAGTTAATCAGCCTGAAAATCACGTAACCTATCCTTTGCTGCAGTTATTTAACCCACTCGAAGACTGTACACGACAGTCGCTGCGCGTTTTAGAATGCGATCCGACCTCGAGTAGCTCTCGTGTTGGTTGTTTCCCAGTTCGGGGGCCCATTTTAGCGTTGCAGTGGCATGGGCTCTTTCGAAGATCCCTTCAATGCGATTCTACAAATTGATCGCGACAGTAATAAGTCGCATGTACATCAAAACAAATGTTGTGAGAGGGATTACCTGAATTTCCTCGAGGTAGGGATCATCGTCTCGCATGGGTTGGTGTTCGGCTACCACGTTAGCCTTAGTCGTAGTAGATCTGTATGGTAACTCATCGACAGTGCTTCGCTGTGATGGAGAACGAGAGCGTATGGTATAGCTGGGTACGCTACGAGGAGAGTTCCTCAATGGCCGTGAAGTAGCATCCTGCGTGCTACGTAATGACGGAGAACGAGAGGGCGTTGTGCTGCCGTGCGCACTACGAGGAGAGTTGCTTGACGGTCGAGACGCAGCATCTAATGTACCTACCAAAATCTCCCATTCCTCCAAGTCGATCGTGTTGTGCCGACCTTCGTGAATGAGATAGACGTAGTCGGAGATCTGCACAGCAAAGAATTCGGACTGAGTACGCAAATATGTCGGCGCGATCTTTTGACGCTGCTCCTCACCTGATTGTGGGTCGCTGGTAGTCCCAATAGTCGAAGCCCCTGCAGAATTTGACTCACTCCGATCCGCTTCTCATTATCCCGATCTAGAACTCCAAACACACGCGCTGGATAGTTGTCGTATCGTCGAGTTCGAGAACCTTGGCCGCTACTGCGGTTCGTGGAGCTGGAGCGAGGCGTTGGAGAGTGTCGAGACGAGTAAGACTGTTGGGATCGCTGTGGGGACGAGTAGGGTGACGACCATCCGAGGCCTTGCTTCCGTGGTCCTGGCGACGGAGATGTCGATTTCGACGAATCACCTTGATCTGGTGCCGGCGGGTCGATTGTGAGAACTGGTGACGCAGCCGACGCCGGTCGAGGAGGGGATAATGACGAAGCACTTGGGGATCTCACAGGTTCTGGACTGGCCTCACTTTCTACATGAGGTGGTAGCACGTGAGAGCGAAGCAATGCCTTGCTTATTCGAGGTGCGGACAAGCGCTCAAACCCGCTCTCGTTGATACCAGAACGAGTTGCGGTTCGCCCAGATCGTGCATCCACTGGTCTTCCTGTTAGCTGTTCAATGTTCTGCCTCACGAAGTCTTTCGTTCTGCGTTGAGGCCAGTGCGTCACATTTTGGCGCGGCTGCGCGTACACGCTGGAGGGTCCGGACCGATATCGCACGGGTGCCCTCGCTGCAGTGGGCTTGGTCCGCTTCGACGTGGCCACGTTCTGTCTCCTTGGTAACACAGGAGTGTTCTCCTTCTCCGCTCCTTCCTCCCTCCTGCGATCCCCCGCTCGAGGCTGAAACAGTACCGACTTCTTCAGCGACGCATCAAACAACGTCGCGTTGTGGCTCACGTCGGCGTCCCAACCAGGACGTCGCGGGCGCGGGCATGGTCTCGCAGCTGCAGGGGACCTTAATGCGCTGGCTGCATTGCGCTGCGTCTGCCGTTGTTGTTGTTGTTGTGTGCGAGGCCTGCGCTGAAGTTCCTGCGTCAGATCCGCAGCGTAGGGACTCGCCCCCTCCGCTCGCGGCTGTCGACTGCGAAACACAACCGGCGAGGGCGTCGCGAACGTCACGCGTCTGGGCGAGCTGCTGTCGCTTCCGGACCACGCGGAGCTGCCCTGCTGCCAGCTTCCAGGCTCGGCCGCGCGGGTGAACAACATCTGCTGCATCGACATCGGAGCTGGCAGTGAATTAATATCCGCTCGCGTCCCTTCGTCGCAAATGGCTACATTTTGTTCTGCTTGGATGGCTTCAAGCTGAGGTGGCTCACACAACTGTACCACATTGTCGGTACAACTGAATCCGTTTTACCACCGGGGGCGTAACGACATCTCCTTACGTGGCTCACTCCAGCAGTATCGCTCCCCCCTCAGGCGGCAGTCAGTAGCAGAGTCTCCTCCTCCACCTCCCTCTCTCTCTCCTACACTGTGTAGCCATGCCGCCGACCAAGAGCCACGCCGCCGCCGGGTCGCTGGTGCTGTCCATCGCGTCGTGCGTCGTGTACAGCGTCATGTCGAACGTCATGGTGCTGACGAACCGCTACCTGCTGGGCAAGAAGTACTACGGCTTCGACGAAAAGTTCTTCGTGGTGGCCGTGCAGGCGGCCGTGGCCGTGCTCGTGCTGGAGCTGGCCAAGATGCAGAAGCTCATCTCGTACGACCCGTACGACGCCAAGATCGCGCGCAAATGGGCGCCCGTGACCTTCTTCTTCGTGGCCATGCTGTACACGGGCATGCAGGCCACCGCGGGGCTGCCCATCCACATCGTGACCGTGTTCAAGAACGTGACCAACATCATTATCGTCTTCGGCGAGTGGCGCTTCTTCGGCGAGCGCGTGGGCGGCCTCGTGCTCGTGAGCCTCGGCGTCATGCTCATGGGCGCCGTCATGTCCTCGTACAGCGACGTGGGCGGCAAGGCCACGCCCTCGACGCTCTCGGGCTACTTCTGGATGTTCCTCAACTGCGCGGCCACGGCCGGCTACGTGCTGTACATGCGCTACGCCACGTCGCGCTCGTCGCTCAAGATCTCCAAGTTCGGCATGGCCTTCTACAACAACCTCATCTCGCTGCCGCTGCTGGCGCCCCCGCTCGTGCTCAACGGCGAGGCCTTCACGGTCTGGAGCAACCCGCTGCTCGGCAACTTCAACTTCACCATGCTGCTCTTCATCAGCGGCGTGCTGGGCGTCGGCCTCAACCTCGCCTCCTTCTGGTGTGTCTCGGTCACGTCCGCCACTACGTACGTTCCCAACTCTCTCTCTCTCTCTTAGCAATCGGATAGCTGTACACTTGGACTTATGCTGATGGTGTCGTTGTGTTTAATATGCAGGTACGCTACGGTTGGAGGGCTGAACAAGATCCCCACCACGTTCATCGGCGTGCTACTGCTCGGCGAGCCGCTCAAGCCCGACACGGCCATCTACGTGACGTTCGGCATGGTCGGCGGTATCCTCTACGGTTACGCCAAGTTCAAAGAGGGCGAGGCGGCCAAGAAGCGCAAGGCGGCCGCGCAGGACGCACTGCCCCAGACCACCCACGATACCAAGGCATAGATCTATCGGTCCATTTTGTGGACCAGGCGAAGGAGGCGTGAGTGGAATGGACGTCTGCGTCCATTCTCCTCCCTCCCTCTTCTCTCCAGTGCGTTGGAATGCATTTCATGCCTTTTTGCCTTTGAACTGCAGCGGTTTGCACGGATATGAAGAGACAAAATGTATTGAAAGGCATTTCGGTGCGTGCGCTTTTGTTGTCGTGTTCGTTAGAGCTCTCTGCTTACGGCTTACAACTTCACCCACTTCATCTTCGCTGATCAAAACGGATAAATATGCCATCACCATTCATCGCTCACTCTGGTGGCTTCGATGCTGCATTCTGCGCGCGCAGACGCTCTTGTTCGAGGGCTTGGATCTGCTCGAGGCGCATTTGGGACTGAGAACCAGGTGCCGCCGACATGCGGCTGCTGAGCAGAACATTGGAGGCGTCCAAGCGTGAGCCGGCCATATCCAAGAAGGCGTCCTCAAGTGCTGACTGCGTCACGGAGCCTGAGAACGGGTTGTCGCCGTGGAACGATGACATGGTGGACATGGCCGACATGCGCATGAGGTGCGCGTTCATCTGTCGCTGCAGATCCCCCGCTGTGGGGTCGGCAGTCCCATACGCGTCATTCAAAAATGGCGCTGCTCCTGCTCTGGCTTCCGCTCCGCCAAGACCGCGGAAGCTGCTGCTAGCGCTGCTCGCAGCAGACTGACGAGCAGACATGTCCTCTTCCTTTAAGAAGGGGTACTCTGCAAAACAACCGTATAACAATCAATCAGCAAATAACAACCTTGCAAGAAGGATACCGGAATGCCGACCTCCTCCTACCTGAGTTGGAAATCTTCCGGCTGAGGCGAGGTGATCCAATAAGAGGAGAACCCAGCGGCGGGGAGCCGAGAGGCATGGCGCCTAGCTTCAACCCCTTGAAGGCGTGCGTGAGAACCGAGGCCGAGTAGTTCGGGTCGGCGCCCATTTCACCAATCTGGTCCTACACGATGGAAGCAGAACAAGCAGGTTAGAGGCGTTCAGGGCACTAACTGATACAACTTCAACGAAGGTAATCGAGTGTTTTACCTGGGAGCGGGGTGGCGACATGAATCCTCGCGGCGACAGTCTCGGCGATGACGCTGAAGACAACGCCTTCGCTTCGTCATCTCCAAGCCCGAATCGCCCCTGATAGCTCTGCTTGTGGCGCAAACTTGGCGGGGAGTTGAGCACTGGCGCCGTGTAGTTCGGGTCGTTCACGAGGCTCTCCCATCGGAACGGGCTCCCTCCATTGCCCCCTGCATGCCTGGCCATCGGTCGACCAACTGCAAACGGAGGCGGTGACCCAGGCGACGTAGGCCCACTCCTCACGAACTCCCCTGAAGTGTCCAGAGCTTGCAGTTTGGGCGACGCCACGGGCGTTGCAAAGTCGCTGAGCACCTGCTCGTCCAGATACTCGTCCTCGCTGTCCAGCAGTGCGCCTTCAAGCTCCTCCTCCAACACTCCCGTCTCCTCTTCCTCCTTTTCTGCCTTCACCTCCACTTGCTGCTCTCCTCCCAGCGCCTCGTATCGCTCCCTGGCGTCGTGCAGGAACGCGTAGCGCTTGACGCAGTCCACAGGCGAGCGCCGCACTACTCGAGACACCTCCAGCCCTGCGAATATCAGGCCAATTCCAGCCGCAACAAGTGCATTAGAACCGGTTAGCCCTTGGCAATTCGACGACTAATTCTACAGGCTTCTGACAGCAGCGGAAACCGCTGAAAATGCAACAAAACGCACAATTGACGGCCACGGGGAACCGCTCGCCGCTGGCCGTCGACTGCGTCACCAGCAGCACCAGCTTCTCGTCCGTCGCGCGCGACCACTGCGCGGGGCGAGGATGGGGCGCGTAGCGGATGCTGGACCAGCGCGGCTCGCCCTGCAGCTCTTCCAGGCCCGCGGCCATTCTCAGATAATAAATTGTGCAGATGGGCGGAACAGCCCAAATCTCCAATAAAAAAATGACCAAATCGCAGATTCCCATTGTTAATCACTATTGTGGTTTTCAACTATTTTGCCGCCCGATTTGACGTGTTATCATATCTCGGAGTCCGATTTATATTAAATGTAGCTCCTACATGATCGGTTAGTCCAATTTAGCTATATCTGACCTGAGCTAGTAGCATAAGGCTCAGAGGGGAGGCATTCCAAGTTGGCCATACCTCCTCACCTCTCATGACGCATTAGAACTGCAAGACATTGGGGACAATAGTACACTGTATATAGCCACTTCGTAGCACTATGGCCAGCTAAATCACCTGTGTGATCATCTGCCACGCCGATCTGAGAGGGCCTAGACATGTTTTCGCGGCGGTCCCTTTTGCCGGCGAAAAGCGGCATTTCTGGCCCCTGCTTCGCAACTCGCACCCCAGACGCAAATCGGGCCAGATATAGTTTGGCCCCTCCTGCTAAATCGGAGCCCTCCAGCAAATCGGGCCCGATATATCGGATCTCCGACCACCCGATTTGCCAAAACGGATGAAAGCCACAATACATGTACCAACGTGTAAGGGCAACTTTTCTTTTCACTTATTATACGATCGCTAAGTGTTCAATAGCGATTTCTCGTGTGCATCTACCACGACTCGAACCTCTTGTACGGTTTTCTGACGTCACAGGCTCGGGCGGATAGCGCCCAACGTAAACCTCTGGAGAATCGCCATGGGGATCTTCGTTTTCACATGGGCGTCTTCGTAGCTTGAGAATGGACGATGTTCTTCGATCTTCGCGCAACTCGAGGATCCATACCCACCACGAGCTCTAGCTTTGACGCTGAACTCGTGTTAAGACAGGGTGGAGGAACTGTGCCCAAAAACAAAGCGCGAGCAGCAAATGGACCGTAATACTCCTTCCAGCACGTGCTGTCGACGACAGCACGGTTCTCCAGCAATGAAATATCGCCTTGCACTTCCCCAGTGCAGAAGAGTAGGAACAAATCGTTGGGGCCAGCCACTCTTGCTTTTTCCTTCTGGATGGTTTCCAATGAGATGTCCCCTTCAATGCATTTGCAGTGACGAACCTCTTGGATAGTGGCACCTTGGTTGTCCACATCTTCCAAATACGTCGACGCATAGCCAAGAGAGGATTCGGCCACGGGCTGATAGACAATCTGTCGTCCGGGATCGTTTCCTTCGATGCAAACATTATCTGTCCGCATCCTCTTGGCAGATGGTGTGTACATGCGTGGTCGACGTTCACGCACGAGTCGATCGCAGCCACTACCAAAACGAGCTCCAAAATGAAGCTGTCTCCAGTGCACCTCTTCCTCCCCCGACCATGCAACCGATTTCAGAACACGGTACTTGTGGTCGCAAAGCTCCCACGCTTGCCAAGGTTTCACATCTTCGCCGTCTTCCTTTGGTGCATAAGTAGAAAACTTACTCCACGGTACTCATTGGAGTTCAACAGCAGATATAGCACATATGGGCACGTTAGACAGTCTTCCTCTAGCCGAATTAACCCAGTCGAGATCACACCATCCAGACTTAACGCCCCAAAGCGAGAACGCTCATCAACTTGACGCCGTGCGATGACCGCCAGGAATGCTTCTCTCATACTCGAAACTTCGATTTCAATCACAGGGTATTGCGATCGCAAAGCGGTTAATACATCACTAACGAGAGGTACAAACTCCATCGACTGGTTTGCTTTTTCTCTGGAAGTCATCACATTATACAAAGTTTCCACAGCTCTGCCATGGCCGCCCATATCTTCAATCAAGAGTTGTATCAGCTCGTCGCCATCAAACCCCGCGAATACGTCAACATTCTGCACCCGCGGACGAGAGAGAATGGCGGTCGGAACTTTGTATCTCCACTGCGACGATCCAGCAAGAAACTCGTTCACTGGGCTGTAGATTGTTGCTGAGCAGATAGCGATCACCCAACACTTGGCCGCGTTAACAATGTCACTCAAAGCGTCCAAAGCCGAATAAAACTCTGAAGTCCTGCTTCCGGTCTCATGCGAAAGTTTTTGCATACCGTCGACGCACAGAATCACGCACATATTGGTTGCTCAACACCAGTTATCGTCGACAGCATCGACAGTACTTGCGCAGGCCCTTGATGACGCGATCTATCTTCAGCAAATTCTTGCCACAGCATAGCATCCTGGAGCTGGTACAACATTCGGGTTCCGATCGCTTATCCTGGGTGCGAAAACGCAAACTGCTGTCTCGTTTCGGTTTCAAAAGTGACCTTGAAAGTGAAGGCGCTCTTCAAAAGTGTCGTGATCTCTGAATCCTGCGTCCTCTCGTCAAAGATGCGTTCTTGCATCAGCGTAGGGAACTCGTCCAGTACTCTGGACTTCCCGGTCCCCGGTGCCCCCAGACACACAAACAAAGGGTGCTTCTTCTTGTCAGGATTTCCTGCCCTCCAAGTTGTAATGAATCCGTACAGCTTCTGCAACCTTTGTGCCATCCAGCGGATTCTGGAAATCCCACTGCGCCCCCTCCGTAGTAACCAAACACTTGGGAGCTCGATACGCAAATTGAATCGTCCCCGGGACCACCACCAGCACGTGAACAGGGATCCTCCCTGCTGCAACGTCTTCCTTCGTGATTCGCGCTTCCGCATCTGACAACCCAGCGAAGAGCAGTGGCATTTCCGCAGCCAACGCCTTCCGACTACCCACACCTGCTTTCGCCTCTTCACGAGTCATCCACTTGTCCCCTTCCTCCGTCTTCGCTGGGAAGAGCTCCAGCTTGTGAGCATCGAGATCCTTGAGGTCATTGGGCTTCGCGTCCTTGATCGCTTGCTTTAAGATGCCTATCGTCATCCCCTCGTCAATTGAGATAGAGATCACACACCCTTCGACGACGAAGAAGCAGTTTACGATCACCATCGTTACAGGACTAGACAAGTGACCTGTAATTGCTCGAGTAAACCGGGTCAGTTGTCGTCAATTTCGAGTCAATCGATGGATGCTAAGACATTTTCGCGGTTGTACAAAAAAAAAGAAAGGTGGTTTTAGCTCGGCTTGTCATCAGATGACTACATTTGGTTGACCCTAGGGCAACTGCAACTTCCAGATGCGCACAAGGCCGTCGTCGCTTGCAGACGCGAGCAGCAGTGCCTTCTTGCCACCGTCCTCCTGCAGTTGCGGACTCCACCGCACGCAGTTGATGTCACTCGCGTGTGCCTCTTTCTGCTGAACTGCCAGCTCGAACGAGGAGGGCGAATCTGTCGGCTGGCCCTGGAACACCCGGATGGCGTTGTCGGCGGCGCCGGTCACCAGCAAGTCGCCGTGCTTGGACCAGTCCACGCTGAAGATGGTGCGCTCGTGGCAGCCAGACACCGTGAAGGCCTGCTTCCACTCCTTCGGGCTGTAGCAAGATCAGGTTAGCAACGGTGTCTTGAGAAGATCATCAATACAAGAGTCAATCGAGTCCGCCTGCCTACCTTCCGTCCTCGTTCACCTCCTTGCTATTGACGTCACGCTGCCAGACGACCACGTCCGTGTCGTCGGACACGGAGGCCATCTGCGTGCCCTGCGGGTTGAGCGCCACGCCCCAGACAGTGGACGTGTGGCCCGCCAGCGTCTCCTTGCAGTACCAGTCGTCGTCGTTCTCGGCCCAGATGCGGACGGTGTCGTCGTAGCTGGCCGACACGAGCAGGTCCTCGGTCGGGTGCCAGGCCACGAACTTGACGTCCTGCGTGTGGCCGTGCAGCACCGAGATGCACTCGAAGTCCGTGTCGGCGTCGGCCTCCCAGATCCAGACGCTCTTGTCGCGGCTGCAGGTGGCCAGGTAGGAGCCCGACGGGCTCCAGGCCACGCTCTTGACCTCGCTCTCGTGGCCCTCCAGGCTCGAGATGACTTCGTACGAGCTGCCCTGCTTCTCCCAGATGACGGTGGTGGCGTCGAAGCTCACGGACGCCAAGTAGCGGCCATCGGGCGACCTGCAACGGGCACGATACTATTAGCAAGTTGAATTCGTGGCCAGGCCAAGGCGACCAAGTGCGACGCGACTCACCACTCGCAGGCGCGGATGGTGCGGCCCTGCGCGTCCTCGAGGATGGCCACGCACTCCCAGGCGCCGCTGCTGCCGGGCGCCCAGAGGCGGATGGTGCGGTCGCCGCTGCAGGAGGCCAGCAGCTTGCCGTCGAAGCGCCAGGACACGTGCCACGCGCGCTCGCTGTGGCCCTCGAGCGCGCACACGAGCTGCAGCTGAGACGTCGTCATCGTCATCGTCGCCTTCGGGCCGCTAGCGGGTACGTAGTGAAGTGTGCGTCAATTGGCCGGCCGTCACTCACTGAACAAGATGGGAGTGGTACAGTGTACCACGTTTCGTCCTCCCCCTTCGTTAATGAGAGCAGGCCAGTCACTAACTGGAGCCGAGCGGACGTTATATACAGGGCGGGCGCGAGTGTGACCATGAGCGCCATGAAGATGGACTTCATCTGCAAGGAGGTGCCGGCGGCGCAGCCTGCAGCGCCGGCCGAGCACGCGGACGGCGTGAGCGACCACGAGGACTCGGAGGACGAGCAGCTGGAGCACGCGGCCTGGCAGGACGTGGACCTGAACCCGGCCGTGGAGCTCGTGGCCAAGCTCGTGCGCGAGTCGTTGGACGCCGGCAAGACGTACAACAAGAGCATCACGGCCAAGACGTCGCAGCTGCTCACGGGCTGCGACGCGCTGCTGCTGGACATCAAGGGCCTGGCCGAGGCGCGCGCCGACGCCCGCCAGCGCGCGGGCCAGCGCCCCGGAGGTGGCCAGGGCGGGGCCGGCTGCTCGTGCGGCCAGGCCATGGCCATGCTGCCTCTGCGCAACCCGGAGCAGTCGCGCGCGGCCGCCGCCGGCGACGCGGCCAACAAGCTGGCGGCGCCCAGCGGCGTGGACGAGGCCACGGAGGACCAGACGGACCGCGCGCTGGCCAAGATGGAGGCCGCCATGGTCCGTCTCCGCGAGATGGCCGAGCTTATTCAGGCCACCAGCATGCAGGGCGAGGCCAATCTCGTGTCCAAGGTGTCGCTGCAGACCGGCACCTTCCAGGCCCTCGAGGCGGCCGTGCAGGCCAGTGCCGCAGCGGCCACGGCCACGGCCATCGCCCAGGAGCGCGGCCGCTCGTCCTCCGCCTTCGGCCGACTCTACATGCCCCTGCAGGTGCAGAAGCTACAGGAATGGTACTACTCGTACCCGCGCCCACTGCTGGACGAGCTCACGCTCATGCGCACGATTTTGAACTACCGGCCGTACGCGAACCCGTTCCAGGTGGGCGGCCTCTCGCTGGCCCATGTGCGCGACTGGTTCAAGCGCCGCCGCTACCGCGAGCGGATGCGCTACGTGAAGCTCGCGGTGGAGGCGGGCCACGACGCTCAAGCTGCGGAGGAGGAGATCGATCTGCGTCTCGAGCAGCGGATCACACAGCTGCGGGCCTCGGTGGACCCCAATGAGCTGGTGAAGGAGGTGGACCGTGTACGTGCCCAGAGCTACCTTTTCGACGCTGCAGTGAACGCCTTCACTCGGCCGACCAACATCCGCTCGTACATCGCGGCTTCGTACTCGGTGCCTACGACTGCCGATCAGCTCGGACACAACGCCAGTGGACGCGGCAAGCGGCAGCGGACGCAGGACTCTGAATTGGATGATATTACGATGGTGAAGCATGCCACCGTCCTGGAAGTGATGGCACTGCAGAACCGGTTGCGCAGTCTGATGGAGCAGCCGAAGACGGCCATCGTCACGAACGGCTTGCAGCAAGTGGTCGATCTGTTGCGGGCTATGAAGGTCGAGCCTGATGTACGTATCCAGACTGGGCTAGTGGCCGACCTGAAGCAGATTTTGAAGGCCTACACGAAGCCTACGCTGCTGCGGAAGGCCACGATTGCGTTAATGGAGAGTTTGGGCATGAATCGCCGCGCGGTTGTAGAGCAGGATGATGATGACGACGCTCCATTGTCTGCGCCTTCAAGTCCAGCTCTGAGCACAGCATCGAGTGCGAGAGGAAGAACGCCGCTGGGCGGAGATCACGCTCCGATGAGCACGCTGGACCACAGCGGCGCAGTGTTTGGGGATGAATCGTCCCTGTTGTTGTCTGGGGAGCCGGCAAAGAAGAAAGCCAAGCCAGCTGCACGTCCAGCGAAGCCGCGCGCGAAGGAGAAGAAGGGCCGTGTGTTGCGGCCTATGAAGTTCTCTATGGACCAGTTGACGGCGCTGGAAGCGTGGTTCCAGCAGAAGTACAAGCCGTCGCAAGAAGAGATGGAGAACTATTTGGTGCAGCTCAACACGCCGCCGCTACGTGATTTGAAGAAGCAGACTGTGGATGTGAATATGACCCAGTTAAGGCGGTGGTTCAACAAGAGGCGGTGTCTGCGCCGTCCGCCGTTTGCACTTATGACTCAACAAGAGGCCGCTAAGGAAGGATCCAAGAACCCTGCGATCCTCAAGGCAGTGTCAACCCCCGGAGATGATGTCGAGCCGACTGAAAGCGTCCAGGGCGACGACGATGTCGAAGAAGTGGGGTCTGAGGTTGGAGGGAACCACTCGTATGATGATACTAACGACGACTCCAGCGACGACGACGATGATGATGACGATGATGACGACGACGACGATGACGACGATGATGATGGAGACGATGATAGCAGCGACGATGGCGAGCATCTAATCGACCAGGCATTGGCTTAGGGGCGGAGTTCATTGCTAGCTGATCAATAAGAGGTGGCCTCCATCTCCGACTGAAAACTCTTGTCGTGACTCATGAGGAAAGCTAGAGCGAGGCATCCACCTTCATATATTTGCAATGAGACCTAGTCTTTGCTGTCATGAGTCCTTTACTCAGCTGGAGCTTCGGGTGCTTCATCTGTACCAGCGCCTGCTTCAGGATCAGCCTCAACGATGACAATGTCGTCTAGTAGCTCCTGCGGCTCGGGGGGAGGAAGACCGCTACTTCCATCGAATTGTGGTTGTTCATAATCGTAAGTATCAAATGCGTTGAGATCTGTAGCTGGGTCTTCCGCAGGATCAGCATCAACTGGATCAACTGTAGCAGCTTCAGCGATTGCAGCGGCTTCAGAGGTTCCTACCACACTAAATGATTAGTTATTCGATTTAGCCAAGGGGAACTAGGCATGAGCAGTCCTACCTTCTTCTCCTGTTTCAGCATTTTCATGGTCTTGCGGCGCAATTGGCGCTGGAGCTTCATCTGCATGTACTTCGCCGCCTTGATCCACAAAGTCTTGAGCTGCGATGACCTCCGCTTCAGCCTCTGGGGTGGCTGGATTGGGATTTTCAGCTGCCTTTTCAATAGGGACATCCGTGGGCTCCGTGTTTTGCTCTGGGTCTTCTGTAGGATTACCAGCTTCCACGACATCACCGCGAGAAGTTTCATCCACAGCTTCGACTTCTCGTTCTGTTCGCGGTGTTTCTTGTGCGAACTCATCTTGCTCGTACTCCAGGTCGTCGTTATCAGCATCCTCAGCACTTGTCGGCTCTGGTGGTGGCTCGTTCGCCACCGATTCTTCGGATACAGCAACTGGCTCAGTGTCCTGTGCTTCGGCGGGGTTGTCACTATATGCGTTGTCGTCTTGTCCGTCCATACTCGCTGCTGGTTCCAATGCTGCTGCATCTAATTCAGCGTTTTGCTCCTGCGCAGGTGCATTTTGGTCGCGTTCCTCGTTGGTAAAAGACTCCGACCCTTGTGGCAATTCATCTCCGTCCTCCACAAACGTAGGACAGTCACTTTCAGGGTCGTCTGGGTGGGCTCCAGTCTCCACTTCAGGATCGTAATGGTCGCTTGCTATTTGCTGCGCTTCATTGGCCTCTTGTTCGTTGATTTGGTCATCGCTTTGAGATTCGAGGACCTCTGCTTCAGCTTGGCCTTCATCGTCAATCGGAGCACTGTCCGTCACCCCCGTCTCCACAAGGTTGGGCTCATTGTCTTGATCGGTAGTGGCTTCACCGTCATTCGGAAGCTGCCCGTCGACCTCTGTAGCAACGTGCTCAGGCTCAATGGACTCTGTAAACCCAGCAGTCTGTTCAATAGGGTCGTGCTCTTGATCGATGGTGTACTCACCAACAAAATCACTTGGCGCATCCGTTTCTTGCTGTGGAGGATCCTCTAACTCCTGTTCGTCATTTTGGACAAGCTCACTCTCGTATTCAGCGCCGCCGAACTCATTGTCGTCTAGGAGAGGAGTAGAAGCATTGTTCTCCTCTTTCTCCTCTGCATTCGCAGACGGCGGGACCACTCGAAATTGCTCGAGTGCATTTTGCAGCGTCACCTCGCGTGTTGGAGGAGCTCCGGCCCCACTTGCGAATTCGATGATCCACTTCATGAACTCCGCTTTGGTGATACTTTGAGTTGAACCTTTGTTCAGGTCGCGGTAGGCCTGCAGCGAGACTGTCTCCAGCTCTTCATCGGAGGGGACAGTACCCACTCCAGCTATCACACAGAACCCACGCGTGGTGCAAAGGAGCGAAATGGTCTGCCACAAAACGCCATGGTTACCGTTTTTCACGCAGACATCGTATATGAAGTGCCGACCTTCTGCCTTACCATTTCGTCCATTGAGATCTGCTCCGTGCCGTCAAAATCTAACGCGTCGAAGATCACTGCAGCATCGAAGTTTAGTTTACACAAGTTTGGTCAAATAAATAACGATCTGGCCGTACTTGCAGCCTTCTCCAGTGCCGGTCCAGAGCACACTAAGCACGCTCCACAGATGAACGCAAGCGCATTGATGCTAGAAATTCAAGCGGCCAGCACCCGAATCAATACAAAACAACTTCTATAATGTTGTTGTGGGAGCAACGTACATGCCCGTGGGGCTTCTGAAAGCGTCAATGATGCTTTCAGCCCAGTCCTTGTCGCCTCCGAGCAGATCCGCCAGCCCCTGAGCATCCAGACCGAAATCCAAGTCCTTGTCCTTGTAGTCCTGCAGCAATCGTCGCGAAGACTTCAAGTCCCCTGAAGATAACAAGACTTGCATTAGGAGCATTCCCGCTTGCACCATGCAGCCACGCGGCTGGAGATCTTACATGCTGCCATGCGCTTGAACGTCGGCGCCAGGGGCGACGCCTTGGAAGTCGATGAGCCCATGGCTGCGAAACTGAAAATGGAGACTCGAAAGGACGGTCACGGCGCTAAAACAGCGAACTGAAAGTACACCCGCTTTCTTCCAGCGCCACATCACCATGGGGCCTGTAAATTATTGTCACGGAAGTATTCAGCAGGCTTACCGATATGGTTCTATATTGCACGTCATCTGAGCAAGAAAATGACCAAAAGATAAGCAAAACTGAGCGATACGGGGGTAGTCAGAAATTGCTCAATAAATGTGAAATCGCACTTAGAGAGAGACGATGGCCCCTTCCCGGCGTGGTGGCGAAGCAGAGAGGGCGAAGTAGTAAGGGCTACGTCTCGGGCGTACTTGAGCTGCATCCGCAGCGCAACCAGCGTGCGCGCCCTCGACAGAGCTGTGGAAAATATGATTGCGATTGTAATATTGTCAAGATTGTCAATCACAATAATTGATTGTTCCGTGATCTCAATCGACAATCCCGTTCCCATATTGTCCCTTTACTGATTTTGAGCCTTTGCCAGTGATCCGGTAGAGCAATATGCAACACCAAGCCCATGGAACCGATCCTAGACTCATCAAAGCCTTTCTGTGTCATCTGCTACTTCGAAATGCGGAAATGAGGGATCATTGGGTGCCCGAACGGGGTACACGCTTAACATGATGAATACAAGACCCAACATTGCTTTTTGCCAAGGCTTTTGAAGGTTAACACGTATGCAATCGAATAAGCAAAGATATTAGGGCGATAGCGCCGCCAAACGAGTAAAAGTATGAACCTAGCAGAGGAAATACAAGCGAGAACTTAGATTGCAATCTTTTGTTTTTGGGATTGTGAAGATTGCAATAATTGATTGTTTCAGATCTGAGTCGCCAATCAATAAACAATCTATATTTCCACAGCCCTGCGCCCTCGATAGTATTCTCGGAGGTGGTGTTGGCGGCCGCTAGGGGAGAGCCTACCGGAGTAAGCACGCGACAGCAGCACATACGCAACACTTATGCGGCGGGTCTCGTATACCTAGCTTTTTTGCCCTCGCAGACAGCTTAGAGAGCGCCCCACTGTCTACGAGACGACACCTAATGCACACACACCTACGGACAGTCCTTGTATGTTCATGGCCGCGGCCGCCTGCGGCTATGGCGTCGCAGCCAAGAGCTATGCTTCACCGAGCCGAGATCGCAGCACCCCGATCCGGGGTGCTCTATGATATATACATGATGTGTTATGCGGTAATTTCAATAGGGGGGGGGGTCGAACCTGGCAAAAACAGTGCTTACAGTTTGGGAGTTGCTCTGCTTACTTTTTGGGAAATTTCCTGCTCATTTCCGAAGTAAGCCACCTCCAGAGGTGGCTTATTTGTGAAATGAGCTGCTTATTTCGAAGTTCAAGTTCGACGTTGTGAAAGTGTACTTGGCCCCCGACACCTTCGGGTACTTTTAACCACCCAACGAGAGTAGGTGCAGCGGGCAAGCCGACGGAATATCTCATAGAGCACACTTAAAATTTGACAATACTACAGTAACCAAACGCCGCTCCCAATGACGAGAGCCAATCATAAGTGAGATTCCAAATGACTTCAACAAAGCATGGACTGGTTTATCGGCACCAAAGCCAAGAAAAAACCTTAAGGTTTTATTTTTGGCTGGCTGCACAGCCTTCTCCGCCTTCACACTTTCCGCCCCGCATCTCCAACACAACAGCGCGCTCCGAGCGTGCCGCACGCCGTCCCCGCCGGCCACACCAGACCCGAGTGCCCCCAGGCGCGCCCCACGCAAGGACCCGTCGAAAGCAGCTACAAAGCCCGGCAGGGCGGGTGTTATGCTGCCGGTTTTGGTAGCTGTCGGCCAAGCACGAGGTCGTGCGCGCTCGCTGACGGTATGTGAGCGTTTTTCTATTGTGTATGACTTTGTATCGGGACTGACGGGAATCTATGCGCTGTGTTTAAGTTGTGGGATGGCGATGACGGGTGCATTTGCGCCTTGAATTCGATTATTCATGTTATAGGAATAGGAATGTATTAAGCGTTAATACAAGCTGCGTGATCCTACGACTCCAAGTATTTTTGCTTCCATTGGTGACTAGCTGGTGTGCAGCGGTCGACGATGCCACCGTTCGCTTTGCGGGTGATAAATGCTGAGCAGAGCGCGTCGTACGCAGAGCGTTGGTCAACGCGCAGCTTCCTCCAGCGCTTCCGTAGCGACCCCGCGGTTTTGGATCGGCCTTTACCGTCGATACTCCCAAGCGCAGCGTTGACCTTCTTGTCCAAGTCTTCCGCTAGCGTCCAGACACGCTGCTTCCACAGCCGATACGCGACGCCATCCCGGTCCAGTAGCGCCGTTGGAAAGTCTACCTCTCGTCCTGCCGCTATGATCATGATGTTGACGCCTGCCTTGAGGTCAGCGCGAACAAATTGTTGTTTCGTTTGGGTTGCTATGTGCCACAGCTCCAGTGTGTACCAGTTGTAGAAGCATCCAGCAAGAGAGTGCGCTTCAACGACGGTGTCAGTGCTCGCCTGCGGGGTCTGGCCAGCGCAGCGACAAGGAGCAGGACCGTCAGCGCTGGCGGACTTGCTCTCGTGGACCACGACGAGCTTCTGAAGTGTGCGCTGCATTGCTGCGATGGACAATAGCATCTGGGTGACGGCTGCGGCAAGTATGGTGGTGTTTCCATTGCTGCGTTCACCCAGCTGCCCGAAGTTCTCCGTTTGCCAAGCCGTGCAAAGCTGCCGACCCCAACCAATGCACGTGTCCAGCGAGAGCCGAGCTCCCAGCGCTACGTTGGTTGCGTCCGGAGCTTCGTGGAAGCGGTACAGGTAATGCGATGTGAAGCCTGTGGCAGCCTGCTCCTGCTGGACTGCCGTCGCGACGTCGTCAAGATGGAAGAGCAGGAACGCCAGAGCCACATCCAGGACTAAGGCGTCGACGTTAAGCGTGGTGTCCGTGAAGCCGCTGACGTTCTTGAAGAGCTGGCCGCGCAGGGTTAGCAGCTGGGCGTACTCGAGCGCAGGAAGTAGCTCGCTCAAGGCGACAATCGTGGGCGTGACGCATGGCAGGTGCGGGTCTCGGTATCCAGCGAGGACTTTGCCGACACTCTGGTCCTCGCGTGTCGTGGTACCCACGTACGCGAACGCCTTCGTGAGCGAGTCCAGCAGCCAAGCTCCCCGGGTCGAGATCCACTGGATCGCAAGCTGCGGTGAGGCGTTCGCATACGCTGCGGAGCCGCGGCGCAAGGAGTGGCTGCTCAGCCCTGCGGTGAGCGTCGGGGACAGCGGGGCAGAGGCTTGGGCTTGGCGCTCGCAGACCATGGTGATGACGTCGTTAATATACTTGGACACGTTGGGCCTTCCTCTCACGCGCTTTGTTGGTGGCTCGTTCCTTGGTTCAGCTTTCTCTTCAAGGTTCTCCTAGTAGAGTATAGCTTCGTCTTGGCTGTAGGTCTTCTCCCCTGGAAAATCCGATGCCGCCGCTTGCGGCACTAGCGGGAACACATAGCTGGAAGGCTCCGACGCTCCGACGAACAGCATTCCGAGGCCGTGCAGCATACACTGCTCCCAGTGAGTCGCGGCCTTGTAAATCGAGATGCCTTGAACCACCGAAGTCTTGATTCGAGCTAGATGCAGAAAGAGCTCCCCCAATGCCGCCATAGATAGCTTGCTCTTCCTAGCAAAACAGGTATCGATCGCTCGACCAAACGTGTGCGACATTAACGTTAGTACAGCAGCGTCATGCAAACTCTTATAACCTGAGCCAACCCCGTTAATCGCAGTTTCCTGCACCCGAACACGCAAGTCGCTGAGCGTGCAGCCTGGAGCTTTACCAGTCTGCACGCCAGCTAGCAAATTTCGCTCCTCAATAGTTGAACCCATTTTGTCGCGTATTTTCGCAATTCGCTTGCTGTCTGACAAGTACAGAGGGTACTGATCTCGGAGCAGGTTCACAAATTGGGGCATATAGCCCACAGCAGTAGCCTTAGCATGACGGTCTCCTCGAGCACTTGGCTTAGTTTGCAAGAAAGTGGAGAAGGCAGTTAGCAAAGAGTAAAAGTTTTGACTGGGTAGAGCATCAGGAATAGACAGCGACTTCGCAATACTAGCAATTGACTCCTCATTTATGTTAGCAAGAGCTAAGAATTCGCTGAAGCACTTCATCGCCGCTGCCTCCTGCCCTGCTGTCCCTTGCGGGATGTCAAGCCCTCTCGGCGCCCGCTGCATCTTTTCAAATGGGAGAGGAGAGAAAGCAAACGAGGCACAACCACCAACAATACAATCATGATTTGTATTGGGAATTTGCGGTCAAATATGAGTAATGCAACATTTACACTTAATTTTTGTATTGGACATTATTCTAGCAAGACTGTAAATTCTTAAAATAATTGGGAAAATGTTGGGATACACACGAATCGATCGTGATTGGCTAAATTCATTAAGGAACTTGTCCTGATTGGATAGATGCAATGACAGAGAAGCGCAAGGAATGCCAAGTTGAGAGAAAGCTTCCTTATCCTACAATAAGAGTATAGTAGCGCCGGAGTCGGAGTGTAGTGGGTTTCGGTCCTGTGGCCCTTACCCTTATCTATTCAAGCTTCACTGGCTCCCCAGTCTTCCTGGACTGCCTATACCGGGCAGGCAACACTCGGGGGAGCCTCGTCAGTTCGGGATTTACCCAGAGAGCAGCAGAAGAACATAAGCAGCAGTATCATAGTATATGTCGGTGGCTTTGGGCGTTCCAGCGCCCACGTTGGTGTTCTGTCTGTAAATCCTCGACCTACTACACGGAGTCGCCACGGAGTCCCACAAGAGCGGCATCCGATATGGCGCAACGGCGCGACAGCCGCATCAAATATAGCGGGAGGGCGGTCGTTTTGGCCGATTTAAAACGGCAATTCCGACCTGCTTGATCAGCTCGACCGAGGTTTAACAAGCTAAATCGTACCTCCACCTTTGGGAGTCCCTCGGCTTTATCTCTGAGCGGCAAATTATATCCGACCCGATATATCCTACTTTCCCTGAGCATCGGAATTGCCAAAAATTTTGCAAGGCACAATACATATTATGTAGCCATCCTTAGGCTCTTTGATCTCTTCTACTAACGGATAGCTCCAAATAGCGTACCCTTTCCGAATTGAATACCTCCTCTCAAATCTGATAGAGTTTGGTCAGTATACAAAGCTATTGTACCTACGCCAATTTGTATACCTCAACAACCATACAGAACGTTGAGTACTTTCTAATTTTCTCGAAACAGCAAAGTTTATGTTAAGATTAGCATGTTAACATCTTCTGACTTGCTAAGAGATGCCTTATAATTGAAAGTCACATGATCAAGGCGTCAAATACTTACACTCCTTTTATTTTTACTTACACACCTTATATTTTTTTAAAATACTTACACTCCTTTCATATTCTCCGTCCTCTAACCGAGAGTCCTGTCGGTCAGTTCGTCACGCTTTACGCACCTACAGCATAGACCTGTCATTTCGACTACATTACCGCGGACCTAACAGATGCATTATTCACTCATCAAATCGACTCGCACTGGCTTTTTAACTATTTACGAAACTACAAAACTAGACACAATCACGCTAAAAATCGTACTTACGCGGAAATAATCGGACTTTAACGGGTGTGATTATCACATCACCCATTTTGAAAGTTGGCGCGCGGCGAACGAACGGACCGAGGAAGCGAGCGGGAGTGAGCAGCGGAGTGCAGCGGCAGCGGACACTTTACATGCATACATCTACATAAATAAACTACTTTACGGTTTCGGAGTTCCGCCTGTTGGGATAACTGGTACCTTCAGGGCAGTCGAGGGTTTCTAGTACGGAATTAGGGGTAGACTGGTGCTTATTAGGCGTTCTTAGGGACACTTATTTAAGTGTCCGTGGGATGTTGCAATAGGCCGCCATACCTACGAGACAGCCCACCCCACGTCGAGACGCCTACGGACTGCGCAGCCGCCGGACAGTCGCTCTGAATCCACAACATTGCTACTTTGTATGAGTGTCCGATTTAATTATTTGGCATGATTATACTGTAGTACTGTGGCTTTCTACTTTAAACCCGTTATCATCCTTAATAAGGGGATGTTTTAAACGCCTTTTTAGGATAAGAAAGATTGCAGGTGGCACCCGCCGCCGTACTAAGACTTAGCTCTGTCGCACCTTTTGCTCTTCGGAGCCGCGACCCTGAGGCGCCCATGTTTGCCCGCCAGCGGCATGGGAAGACGCATACCCAACCGAGTTTTGGCAGATCCATGTGGCGATAAAAGCCGGCTTTGCCAGGCCGCCTGTTTAAAACTCGGAATAGTGGTCGTGTTACACTATTAGTGTATGGGACCGGTACGTTGGATTGGGGGAAACCTCGGTTCCGTGCTTCTGTGTCCGCGACAGAGCGCATGCGGCCGGCCACGTGGCTTGGGCGGGGACCCGAGCCGAGCCACTGGGGACAGTGACTTGAGGGCTTATGGCTTACCTTTTGTTTAGCGGCAAACTGAGACCGTCAGTTCCTTTCGGGGGGCGACGGAAATCTTTTTGCTTCGGCAACTGGAACCGCTTACCGCATTTCCGACCCACCCACACCCAAACATACAATCCAACAACACACAAGACAAAAGAGAGCGGTATTTTCATTGCTACATAAGGGGTTTCTAGCCTATTGCGACCTGTGTCGTAGTAGAAGAAAACTTGATGTGTGCTACTTTGCCTACGCTTTTTCGGGTTATGTACCGATTAGCGGTCTAAACGATCCTTCGATGCCTATGATGCCAGTGGATGTTCCGGTAATTAAAGCAATACCCAACAACTGACCCATTACCCCTTATAACCGGAAGTGGTTAATTGCCTGGGCTGAAATAGCTTAGTGGCATTAAGCAGACACTCTACCACGGTCACCAAAGGAAGTGATCACAACCCAATAGTGGGGAGTTGTCGCTTCAGCACCGAAAATAACCCGCAGCTAATTTCTCCAAAGGTATTGAGAAACGGCGGCAACAAAGCGGGTTGTGCTTCAAGGCGGTAAAAGTGGAGCTGAGGAACTGAAAGCAAAAAAAGTACCGGTTCAAAAGCTTGGCTAATGAGGCGTCTTACCGTCGTTTAAATTGCAGTTGGTATAGTAACACTGGGAATACCGTAGGTGATGTGGTCACATTAGGCTTTTTCTGCGGACGCGGGTTGCAAACAGCACAGAAGTCCCTTCACGGTAACCCACGGTACAAATCTCTTCAAGGCGGTGCGGCGGAAGACAAACGGCATAGGCGATGCTGATCTTACTCACCTACTAACAAAGCATAGAACCATACATAGTGGCATGCTACTTTTACGGATAACTAATAGAGCTTCGTTTGTTTTGTTGCAGGATTCATGTCTCGAAAACGAAAGTATACGAGCGAAGACGATGTCAAAGAATCGTATCCTACACCGGATGGATACGAAACCCCAGCGGAAAAGAAAAGAAGGCTAAACAACCTAAACTCGGCGTTGTCACGTTTTCGAAAGCAGCAGAGAGAATCGGCGGCGCAGGATACAGAATCTGAAATTCCTGGAGTGGTGACAGCGTTACAGGGTGTTGTGATAGGGCGGGGTATGGCAAGATCGACGTTGGAGGCTACTACGGCGAGTAATGTGGCCCCAGCTACACTTCTGAATCCGCAACTTATATTGAATGAAGTATCGGCTACTGGGGAGACGTCATCCGCAGCATTTACAGTTGGAATGACAGACGATCGGGCCCTTTTAGTGACGCCCGCCCGGAGCACGCCGTCCCGAAGAAGAGTGGATATGACACCGTCGCAGTTGACCCGTGTTCGCGAAAGAGACAGAATTCGAAAGCAACGTAGCAGAGCAAATCGACCAGCGTCCCAAGTTATCCGCGACAGAGAAGCGGATGCCGCGCGCACGAGAGCTAGACGTAGCAATCTTAACGATCAGCAGGTGCGGCAACAACGGGAAGATACGGCGACTGCAACGGCTAACTGGCGTAGCAACATGCCGGCGGAGCAACGTCAAGAACGCAGAAATCAAGACGCAGTTGTGCAACGTGCACGACGGGGGACCATGCCGGAGGAGGAGCGCGCTCGCAGAAGAGAGGCGAACCGACTTCGCAGACGATCGCTCCAGTACAAAAAGGGTCTCGCTTACTACGAAGACTTCGACCCCGCCACGGTTCCAAATGGGCGTCATTACTTTACACGCTTTACAGACGACAGTCGGGAGACAGAGAGGGTTTGTCGATACTGTAATGCGTGGAAATTCCTTGATGAGACTGCCGCTTGCTGCTGTCGAAACGGCTTGATCCGCGTTCCGCCGTCTCACGCAGCCCCCTCAGTGCTTCTTCAACTGTTCGACAACGCGGCGTTTATGCGTTCGATTCGTGCATACAACAACGTCTTCGCGTTCACGTCGATGGGCGCTTCACGGTCGCGCTCTCTCACTGTAGATCACAGTGTGTGTCGGGATGGTGTGTACAACTTCCGCGTTATGGGCTCGGTTTGCCATCGAATTGGGTCATTATTGCCGTCAGAGAGCGGGAGGTCAATGTACGCACAGGTCTACATCAACGATCCGGATATGAATGCGCGTGTGACAAGTCGGATGCAGATGACAGACGGTTTGGATCGAGCGGTTCTGGAAAAGATCGATGAAATTATGGAAAGACACAACCCTTACGCGCAACAGTTTTTTCACGCGCGAAGTATATTGGTTCAGCGGGCCCAACCTGCTTACGAAGAAGCGGTTGTAGAACAGGAACGGCGAAGGGCCGCTGGAGAAGAGATACCGGACGATGATCCTGCATTGCGTTTGCAGAATCTTATCCCTCACAACGATGACTTCCAGCTTCGACTGCATGTATCTCGGAATGCAAACCCG